CCGCAGCCAGCTCAACCCGCCGCTTTCACTTGGGGGCCCCAGAGGGCGCAGAGAGGCGGCGATGCTCGCTTTCGCCACCAGAGGGAGACCGAGTCACGCGGATCTCTGCAACTGCCAGCTCCTGCCCAGTGCCGGGCAGGGCAGAAGCCGGCTCCAGGGCACGCTCGTCCTTCTCTCGTCCACCCTGGAGGTGGACAGGGCAGCCGCGAAGATCTAGGGCCAGCGGGCGTGGTGGCGCAGGCCTGTGATTCCAGACTGGGCAGGCTGAGGCAGGAGGGTCACTGCAAGTTCCAGGCCAGTCTGGGCTACAAGGTGAGTTCAAAGCCAGCCTGGGCTACACAGTGAGACCCTGGCTCACCCACACACACACAATAATAAAATAATAATAATAACAACAACAACAACAAACTACTGAGGGTGAAATGAAGAATGCCTGCCCATCTTTGTATGACTTAGGCATTCACCTTATCCATGCCTCAGTCTACGGCGGGGTGCACGGTGCCCACTGTGTACTGGGCACAGTGTGAAGGAAGGTGGTGGGAATTCGGGCACAGTCAGACACTTCTGCCATCCCAGCAATCTGGGAGGCTGAGACAGGAGGATTGAAGTTTGAGCCCAGCCTGGGCTACATAGTCACTTAGAAAGACTTTGTCTCAAACCGAGAAGGATCAGGAATGCAGCCCGGTGCAAACATTTAAAAAAAGACGGGGAGGGACTCATTTCAAAACATGCTTCGAACTCACTGTGTGGCCCAGGTTGGCCTTGAAGGTGTGGGTGTGGGACACGGTGCCTCTGGGGGATGGGGGCATTCCGTGCCTTGGGTGCTCACAAAATTTTCAAATGCATTCTGTTGTATGTAAACTCCATCTCAATAAAGTGGTTATTTTTCTCATTTTGTTTTGTTTTTTGAGGCACTGTCTTGCTATGCTGTCCAGGCTAGGCTTCATCTTCCTGACTCAGCCTCCTGTGTGGCTGAGATCACAGTGTGTAATCCACAGCGACTGATTTTGATAAAGTTGTTTTTTTTGTTTTTGTTTTTGTTTTTTTTGTTCCTGGGATCAAACTCATGACCTTGCACTTACCAGGCAAGTACTTGAGCTACTGAGCTAAATCTCCAGCCCTAAAGTTTACTATTTATTTTGTTTTCTTGGCGGTTTGGTTTTGATTTGTTCAAGGTGAGGTTTCACTATATAGTTTGAGCTGGCCTCAAACTCCAGGCCATCCTCTTGCCTCAGCTTCCCCAAGTGCTGGGCAAGGTATGTGCCACCAGCCCAGGGATAAAGTTGATTATTTATTTGTTTGTTTGTTTATTTATTTTAGTACTGAGGATCGAACTCACGACCTCACATTTGCCAAAAAGTTGATTTTTTAAGAAAGTAGGTAAACAGCCTATGTGAGTTTATGTAACGAACAAATGTGTTATGAAATATCTCAGGCGTATATTGTTATTCCCAAATTAAAAAAAAAAAAGAAAGAAATATCTCAGGCGACTGCCCACCTGTCTAGTGCCACCTTTGTCCCGGTTGCGAGTCCCAGAGATGAGCCTTGGGATTGAGGTCTCTGGTGCCCCACCCCTGCCAGTCCCCGCCTCCCTTAGCGGTAGAGAAAGACGCCCCGTGCCTAGCCCTCTACCAAACTGTCTCCGTGGGCTTCTGGGGCCTCCCTTCCAGCTGCTGCTTGCCAGGCCTGCCGGCTCAGCGCGCCAAGGTCAGCGGTGCGATGCCCAGCTGCACACCGGGGCCAGCCATATGGCGTCAAACCCTGGCCGATTCCGCCACCTGCTGGCATCTTTGCCGAACTGCAGCCCAGTTGGCAGGGACGACAGAGTTCGAAGGCAGCCAGCAGGACTAGGGACTGCGCTGCCTGTGCTTTGGACTGGTCGCTCTGCACCGTGGCCTTTGCAACACAGGGAGTGGAGGCACAAAGAAGCTGAGAGATTTGTCCAAGTTCATACAATAAACTTCAGACCTGTGATTCCTCCCCGGGCTGTCAAGATTCCGGTGTATTTCTTTTCCTGAGATGGGGTCCCGCTCTGTCCCACAGGCCAGCTTTGAACTCACTGTGTGGCCCAGGTTGGCCTTGAACACTTGCAGCCCTCCTGTCTCAGCCTCCCGAGTGCTGGATCACAAGCCAGGGCTGCCACATCTGACTTGCCAGTTTAAGCCTGTCCAGGTGACATCTTGCTTGAGGAGGAGGAGGAAATGTTCCAACTGTCCCCTCTCCATGCCTTCCTGGAGGCCAACAGCCTCAGAGCACCTGCTCAAAGGTGCCTTTTGAGCTGGGTGTGGTGGCACACACCTGTCACCCCAGCACTCAGGGGCCGGGACAGGAGGATCACTGCAAGTCTGAGGCCAGCCTGGGCTGCAAAGTGAGTTTAAGGCCAGCCTGAACCATACAGTGAAACCTTGCCTCAAAAAAAGACCAAAAACCCCAAAAAAGGCACCTTCTGGGGAAGGAGAGGGTCGTGTCCTCCACATTCCAGCCACTGGGCAGGCACCAGGTACAGTCATGTGGGGAGATGTTGGAAAAAATGCACCCCAAAATGTTGTGCCTAGTGTTCTGCCACGCAGCTCAGCAGTAGAGCCCTGCTCTGGCCCCAGGTTCCCTCTGCAACCCTGAGGAAGAGTGAGTTGGTGGCCACACTGCCCACACTGTGACACTGCCTCGCCATGAACTTTGTCAGTCCCAGGAAACCCACAGCTCCATCCCAGTTAAGTCAAACGAGGTCTCAAATCCATTCCATGGACCTAAAACCACCCCGTGCTCCTAATAATAATAACCCGAGAGTGGCACGGTATTTGGCATGTTATTTTGCATCTCATTTGCATGTGATTAATTCCAAGTCAAAGGGAATGAGGTCAGCCTGGCCCCGTGCTGCTGGGTACCCACCCCAGGTGACTGGCCTGCCCTCCTGCAGCCTCTGCCCACCCTCAGGGGCTCCCAGAAGAGGCCCCTACCCTGGCCCCTTCCGGCACCCACGTAGCCCCCACCACCTGGCCGCCCACCAGAAAAAACTTTTCCCCAAGTTCTCGAGAAGTCGCGTAGGTTCCAGGAGAGAAAAATCAAAGTAATAAAACTTCATTTAATTCTTCACAGAGGGCAGAGCTGCGAGCTGCAATTATCTTAATGCCGAGCTATTTTTACCCTCCATCTCTGCTCCTGCTGCTGTCGTGAGTCTTCCTTTTCTCCCCGATTCCCTTTGTCTGTCTCACATGGCTTTCTAGCTCTTTTTGCCTTCTTCTACCCGCCTTCCCAGATCTGTGCCCTTTCCTTCCAGCCTGGGCACTGGGAAACCTCTCTTGACTTGGGGGCCCCGGAATACGTCTTTCATAAATAAGCCTTAACCAGTGTGGTGGTGCACACCTGTCTTCCCAGCACTCAGGAGGCTGAGACAGGAGGATCACTGTGAGTTTGAGGCCAGCCTGGACTTCATAGTGAGACCCTGTCTCACAAAGACAAAACCAATCATAAACCAGCCCTGAGGCTCGGTGGAGGTATGACAGTGTGTTTCCTGAGGCCTCTTCTGCTCCATGGGGCACCAAGGTACAACTCTATGCCCACTCCATGTCCCCTTTATCTGGCCCCATGATCTCCTCGCACCCCCAGCCCTGGAAGCCAAACCCCCCTCCCTCCAGGCTCGTCCATGCCCTTCCTGTGCCCCTTGTTATTTACCCACTGGGTACTGCCAACCTAGTCTCTGTCACTCTCCACTATGCACCAGGGGGCAGGGAGGTTCTGGCCAAGTCAGGGGGTGCCAGAGATGCCTATACCTCTGGGCCTGCAGCCTGGCATCCGGCTATTTCCCAAACAAGTATAAAAGTCAACAAACACACAGGGACTGGGGCCAGGCATCTCTTGAGTTGGAGGACGCCAGTGCTTCACTGACCAGACCAACTGGTCCCCTCCCATGCCCTGCCCACCTGAAGTGGGGGCCGAACCTTGTGCCCCTAACCTGTCTGCCTCAGGAGTCCGAGGGCACCAGTGTGCTCAGGTGGGGCAGGAAAAGCTGCCGGTGGAGCCAGGGCCGGGCAGGGCTCCCAGCTGTGCCGGGCTGTGCCAGTCCAGTGAGTGACCTAGAGGAGTCGGCCAACGTAAGCACATCCGGGAGGACACACTGGTCCACACGGGCAACTTCTAGCACTGCAGAGAGGCCATGAGACACCCAGATCCCCCGGGCGGGACAGAAGGGTAGCCTCTCTCTTCCCCGCACACAGACACCTCTGAGGCGAGGCTGGCACCTGGGAGCGGCATTCACCCCCCTACCAGCGCTGTTCCACGGGATAGCATGTGTCCCAAAGGGCAGCCCCAAGCCCCAGGCCGCCCCGAGGGACACCATATCACGGCAGGGATCTGTCCTTGTCCCTCCACCTGGCCTGCCCACCTAGTCACGGGGCAGTTGTGGACCGGTGTCCCCACCCTGTGAGCTGACACTGCCTGCATCACCTTGGCAGCCTTGACGTCCTCCCACACCCACGCCCGCCCCCGAGCACACGCAGGCCGCCCACGCGCTGCCACTCACGCACGTCTCTACCACTGACACGCTCGCTCGCACACGCACAGCTCACCCCACCCCGACGCCCCCCCCCCGCCCCCTACTCCGGGCCCTGCACCGCTCCCTGCCACGGTGACTGACGCGTGTCCTCCCACGCGCTCCTCGTCCACGCTGCTGGCTTTCTGGGACACCCCCATTCCCAATGTGACAAGTGCCACTCTCCGCGGGCCTCCACGAAACTGAGCGCCCGGGCCACTAAGTGGTGAACGTCGCGGGCGTCCTCGCTGACCCCTGCGCCCCGCCCTCCTCCAGGCCAAAAGCCATCAATAATGCAGCACCGGCCCAAGGGTCCGCAGGGTGCCCCCACCCCGCCCCGGCCCCGCCCCTTCGAGGTCCCGCCTCTCTTCCCCGCCCCCCGGGAGGGGGCGCGGCGCTCGACGCTCATTGGCCACGGGCCCCGTCTCCCCTCCCCCCGCGCTCAGGCTCCACCCGGAGAGGGCGGAGACGGGCTGGGAGACAGGCTGAGACCCGCGCTGAGCCCCGCGGGAGCCACAGGGACAGGGGCGTGGGGCAGGGCAAGGGCAGCGGCCCGGAGGGGACCCCGGGACCCGCCAGCGGCGCGGAGAGTGGGCGGGCGCGCGGAGCCGGACAAGGGCACGGGCGAGCCCAGAGGGGGCGCAGTGAACCCAGCCGAGCACCGCGCGCTGGTGCCACCCGGGCCGGGCGCGGGAACCGCTGCGCTCCTCGCGCTCCTGTCCCGATCCTTCCTCCTCCTGGTCCTCCCCGGCGGCTTCGCCCCCCGAGCCCCCTGGCCGCCCGGAGGCTAGAAAAGCGCGCGGGCGCGGAGCGGGGACGCAGCCCGAGATCCCGGGGCGCGCCCGCCATGGACCCCAAGGACCGCAAGAAGATCCAGTTCTCCGTGCCCGCGCCCCCCAGCCAGCTCGACCCCCGCCAGGTGGAAATGGTAAGGGGCCCGGCCGCCAGGGCCCCGACCCACCCGGCTCTCGGCGGCGCGCGCCATGGGGGGGGGGCGCACGGCCTGGGTCCCCACCTGGGTCCCCGCGGGCCGCGCAGCGCCGAGTTCGCTCCGACACTCGCGCAACTTTTCCAGGCCGATCCCGGGCGGGGAATTCGGCCAAAAGCGTCGGGGAGCTGGGCTGGCGACCCGCCTTTCTGGCAGGAGGCGTCTTTTCTAGGGAGCTGCCTCCGCTAGTCCCCTTCCCAGGCTCCTACTAGGACCTCCTGCCACGGTTCCAGCCCCGGAGTTGGTCACACGTGACAATCACGGAACATCACACCTGACCCGGTTACACTCGTGGAGCCGGGGCCCTCACCTCCGCGCCCCCGCGCCCTGCTCGCACCCCGCTTGTCCGGACCTGTGTGTCCAGCTGGGGTCGCGGACCTCGCCCTGGCCCTCCCTGCTCTCAGACCCCATGGACTGAAACTCAAAAGCCAGAGGCTGCCGGCCGGGCCTCAGCCGAGCAGGATTACTTGTTGCTGGGGATACAGGGGAGGAGGGGGACAAGTGGCCTGCGAGGAGCGGACAGGCGGGGTTGACAGACCGGCAGCGATGAGTGAAAAGGGCAGTAGGGACTCAGCAGGCAAGGGGGAGGCGACAGTTTCCCAGTGCATTTCCCTGGAGCTTGGAGGGGACCTACTTAAGTGGCAGTTGGTCTGATTGACATGCGGGGGGGGGGGCAGTGTGCCTCCTTGGTGCTGTAGCAAGCAAGGCAACTCCTCGCCCAGGGCACCGGTGGATCATTCCCCAGACCGGTCCCTAGGGTGTCCCAGGGTGGGCTTGGAGGTGCCCACCTTACCTGGCTGGGTCTCCCTCTGCCTCTGGATCCAGCTTCTCAGGAGCTCTGGATCTGATCTTAGGTGGGCAGGGCTGTGTCCTCCCAGAGGGTCCAGCCTCGGGGAGGAGATGGACAGGAAGATGTTGATTCTGGGGTGGCCATGGAGCAGGAACCAGGGTCTGGACCTTCTGGGCTTTTTTCAGTCCTTCGAAGTTGGTGTGTGCTGTGTGACCTCAAGCACATTACTGAACTTCTCTGAGCCTGGGGTTTTCATCTGTGCCCAGTGAAGGAGCTGGGGGAGCTACAGAGTTCCTTCTGTTCTGGGAGTCTTTGATTCAAAGGCTCCCTGAGGACTCCAAAGCGCTGCTCCCTGCTGCCTGGGGCTGGGGTGGGTGGACCTGGGGTTCTGTCCTGCAGATGTCTATCCTGCCCCTTCCTTTCCTCTCCTCTCCTCAGATCCGGCGCAGGAGGCCAACCCCTGCCATGCTGTTCCGGCTCTCAGAGCACTCCTCACCAGGTAGGCCCCTCGTCTGCTCCTAGTAACCCTTCTGGGGACAGCAGGGACGGAGCTGAGGCCTGGGAGAGGTTCAGGTCTGGGAGCCCAGCACTGCTGGGATCGTTCACAGACTGGGACCCCCAGCGCCAGGAGGGCTTGGCACCCAGTGAGACGGGGGTAGTAACTCCTCTCCCTTCTTTCTCTGCAGAGGAGGAGGCCTCGCCCCACCAGGTGAGTCTCCCAGGCCAGCTGGAGCGGGAACACTGGCCCTGGGGGTGGAGGGGAGGGTGCCTGGTATGCCAGGTGCCCAATGCAGTGTGCTCTGGGAGGGCACAGTGGCAGATCAGTGGCACCTCTGAGAGGCCAGGCTGTCGCCGAATCCTCCTCTGCACCCTCTCGGTGACATGAGGGACCTGGGCCGCTTTGGTGGGATGGTGGCATGGAGGGAAGGAAGGAGCAGGCCCTGGGGAGCCCCCTGAATCCCCTCTCCTCTCACCTGCAGAGAGCCTCTGGAGAGGGGCACCACCTCAAGTCCAAGAGACCCAACCCCTGTGCCTACACACCGCCCTCACTGAAAGGTACAACACCTGCTTTCCCCGGGGACAGGGATGGGGCTGACACTGGGGGGGGGGGAGTTCCTGACTTAACCACCAGGACTGTCAGAGTCCCTGCCTGCAAGACACAAGGTGCCCAGAAGCTGAAAGGACAGCTGGAACCTTGCAGCAGACTGTGGGGGAAAGGAGAGGGGCTTTGGCCCCAAGTGACACTGGCACATCCATCCGCTAGGCCATGTGGGGACCCCCGCCCTTTCCTGCTCCTCCGCTCCTGTCCACTTCCTGAGCACCCCATGTGTACCAGGCCGCACTGTTGGACGCTGAGGGCGTGCTTTCCTAGCACGGGTGAGGCCTTGGGGGGCTCCCAGCTCTGGAACAAGGACAGCCAAGTGAGATTTAGAGATCTGCTGCCAAGTCCCTGCCCTCCTGGGCCCTGGGCCTCCAACATCCAGGAGCACCCAGCTCAGGGCTGAGGCTGGTGGTATAGACCTGGGCTGGAAGGAGCAGAGGAACCAGGGGCAGAAGGGTGACGCAGGGCCACCAGGCCTGGTCTTGGGCCAGGGAACTATGGGAGTCACAGCCAAGGGAGAAAGGGCGCTGATTGGGTGTGCTGAGGGCCCCCTCCCACACAGCCCCCCCAGGGGGGCAGGAGGCCTGGTGATCCCAGCACCAGCCAAGGTCACCAGGGCCACCTGGCACTGCCTGCTGGGCTGGGTATGGAGGTGGGAGGCTCCTTTTCCCCCAGGAGAGGGACAGAGAGAAGGCCGTTGGAGCAAGTGGGTAGCACAAGGGATGTGGGGGTCCCAGAGCAGGACGGAGGGAAAGGTGACTTCTCAGGAATGCAAGGAATTGGCCCCCCATTCTAGGCGGGGGAGGGGGGATGGAATGGGCAAAAACTGGGTTTTTTGAAGGATGCTGGGAACCAAACCTGGCACGTGCTAAGCATGTGCTGCTCCCCAGCAACACCCAAAGTCCCCATGGTCTTCATGTGGGGGTGGGGTGTGGTGAGCAGGCCAAGGGGGGGCCAGAACAGGAAGGGGAGGCTTTCTACATCTGTGTTGGCCTAATGGTGCTTAAAAAGAGAGACTTTGCCAGGCATGGTGGCACACGCCCATAATCCCAGTACTCAGGAAGCTGAGGCAAGAGGATGGATGTGAGTTCAGGTCAGTCTGGGCTACAGAGTGAGACTAGTCTCAAAAAGCCAAAAAGAAAAAAACATAAAAGGAGACTTGTGTTAGGGAGAGTGCAGGGCGCCAGAAATGGAGAAGCTAGAAGGGACAGTCTAGGAGGGCAAGAAAAGGGAAAGAGCCAGGCGTAGTGGCACATGCCTGTCATCCCAGCACGTGGGAGGCTGAGGCAGAAGGATTGTTGCGAGTTCCAGACCAGCCTGGGCTACAAAGTGAGCTCAAGGCCAGCCTGAATTGCACAGTGAGACCCTGTCTCAAAAAGACAAAAAAATAGAGAAAAAGGGGAAGGATGAGCCCTGCAAGGTCCAGTGACGCCCCAGGAGGTTCACAGCACACACACCTTCAGTCACCCTGGCTCACCGCTGCTGTCCTCCCCCAGATCCTCAGCTGCCACCTTCTCTCACCCCAAACACAGGGGCACCCTGGCACAGGAAGGTGCTGGGTTTCTGGGGACCCAAGGGCTGTGGGAAAGGGTGAACCGCACCAGGCCTTCGCTTGGGGGGGGGGAGGCGGGTGCCAAGGTGACAAAGTCACATTTGGCTCAAGATGAGGCTCTGCCGAGTCCCCAGGGCCTGGGCAGGGTGATTTATTGAGCTTTTATTACTCAGGAGCCTGCCCAGCACCAGTGGGAGGTGCAGGCACACACAATGTATCCTCTGTGCCTGTCCCCAAGTTGGCAGGAATGTGGGGCCCTGTTGCTGCCCCAGAGATTTCCAGGCTGGATCTACCCCTGGTTTGGGGAGTGCTGGGGAACCCAGGAACTGCCAACCCCACCCCCTGGACCAGGACTGCTGTGGTGCCCTGCGTGCTCTTACATCCCATGAGCCTCTCTGCCCCCTGCCACCGATCTGTCCCCAACTCCCACTGTCCCCCACCCCGTGCCCTTCCTCCTGCCTGGCCTCGGGTTTGGGGCCATCACTGGGAAACTTCCCTCTCCGCTTCTTCCTGGGTGTGCCCCAAGCAGGTCTCAGTAGTCGGGGGTTGGCAGCTTTCTAGGTCACTGCGAGGGAACTGGGAGCTTGGGGATGAGGGTCAAGATGGTTGGGGGGCCGCACTGGAGCAGGTCACTTCCTCAGGCACAGACTTCCTTGGCTGTGGACAACGGGCGTCCTTGGCCCTAGCACCGACCCCACCCTTGGGACTGGAGCAGGGGTGGCATGGTGGGGGTGGGCATGGGAGGAGGGAGCAGTGAGCCCTACGCACACTGACACACACACCCCAAAAAGGGGAGGGCAAATCACCAGGCCCAGTCCACAGCCCAGCACCTTCTGCCTGGGGCCTTATTGCTCCCCACGGGCTGCTGTCCTGGGTCCTTGGCCAGGGAACGTCAGGCTGTTCTGTGACTGCCTGGGCTTGCCTGGCTGGTGCCCCGTGGTGCAGGGCACTTCCTGGCCCCGGTCTCCATGGGGCCAGTGTCTCAGAACAGCTAGAACCCAAATGCAATGTAATCTACCCCCTGCGGCTGCGCTGGCTGCCCAGGGCCATGGCCTGTGGCAGTGAACTTGGGCCAGAGGAGCTGGCCCAGACCCCGGGGAGGCAGCGCTGGGGCTGCTGCCTGGCCCCACCAACCCTGTCCTCCCGGGACCCTGTCAGCTGTGCAGCGCATTGCAGAGTCCCACCTGCAGACCATCAGCAACCTGGGCTCAGAGGAGGAGGATGAGCTGGGGGAGCTGCGGGAGCTGGGGTACCCGAGAGAGGATGACGAGGAGGAAGAGGATGATGAGGAGGAGGAGGAGGAAGAGGACAGCCAGGCTGAGGTCCTGAAGGCCATCAGGGGCTCTGGTAAGCCAAAGGGACCATGACACATGACCACAAGGGTCCCCAACACCTGTACCTCACCCCCCATCCAAGAGCCTCACAGTGGCTTCATCGGAGCCTGGGGCTTCCACCCTTTTCCCAATCATGTTTTCCCTGAAGATTCCTCTTTAAGGCAAGGTCACGTGGTTTGAAACTACAGGTAAAAAACGGACTTCTAAGCCAGGCCTCCTGGTGCACACCTGTCATCCCAGCAGTTCGGAGGCTGAGGCAGGAAAACTGCTGTGAGTTCCAGGCCAGCCTAGGCTACAAAGTGAGTTCAAAGCCACCTGAACCTCACAGTGAGACCGTCTCAAAAAGACAACAAAACAAAACTGCTTGTCAGAAGCTGCAGCCAGCCCAGGTTGCACCTCGGGCTCAAGGTCAGCCTGGACTACATAGCAAGACCCTGTCTCATACAACCAAAAAAAGGGACTTCCACCCATGGCAGTGAGGAGATGTCGTGAAGAGACTAGGAGAGGGGATCGAGGGGACCCATGTCCCCCAATGCTTCCATTTCTGAGCATTGGATGTGGTCTCTTTGGGGCCGATTTGCCGCCCTCTCCAGAACCTGGGGACTTTCTTTTTCCTTACTAGGATGGGGTGGGAGGACGCCCTCTAGTGTCCACAGGGAGAATTTAGGATTTAAGAACATCCCATCTCAGCTGCGGGGGGGGGCGACACCTGTAGAGAAGGCCTCGGAACCAAGGATCCCTCCCGCAGTCATTTCTGCAGGCCTAGCTAGCTGTGGGAGGCTGTGTGGCCTCTGTCCTTCCTGGTGCAGGGTGACCCTCTTGTCCCATTATTTATGCAAATGACAATGGTGGATCACCCCCCCACACACACACACACACAAGGACTTGAAATATTCAACCCTTACACCCTAACAAGATGGCTTGTGCCAGCACCTGAGGGCTTGAAGATCCTAGAACAGGTGGGGAGGTAAGAGGAGCTGGTCTTCTGGAGCAAGCAGGAGGGCCCTGTGTCACATGACAGGAGTACCAAGGGAGCTAGGCATGGCAATGCACACCTGTAATCCCAGCTCTGGGAGGCTGAGGCAGGGGAATTGCTGCAAGTTGGAAGGCACACAGCAAGACTCTCGTCTCAGAAAACAAACTACTATGCTGTGAAAACTCCAAAGGACTCAGCCACCAGTCTTAGCTTATGCTTTGGGACAGCAGAAGACATTCACAGCCAGTGTTTTTTTTATTCCTTCCTCCCAACCCCAGCAGGGCAGAAGGTAACCTGTGGCCAGGGTCTGGAGGGGCCCTGGGAGCGTCCGCTCCCTCTGGATGAGGACCAAAGCCCAGCACTCACTGGTATGACTGGGGGTGTAGGACGGAGAGGCAACTAGGGCTTGGAGTCCGACCAGGCCCTGAGTCCCCCTCTACTTGTCTTGCAGAGCCAGAGGAGGAACCCCAGCGCCCCGACCCCCCTGAGCCTGGCACATAAGTGCACCGCTCTGCATCTTCTGGGAGGAAGTGGAGGGGACATCGCCGTACCCCTGAAAGCCACTCCGTCCCTGCCCTAAATCTGGTGCCCTTTCCCATCCCTGCTAGGGCTGCAATTTCTAGAAGACTAACGCTGGTCTGTTTGCTTCTTCGCCCACCTTTGGCTGATGCTGGAGTCCCTGGTGCCCGTCCCTGCCAGCCGTCCCTCCATTCACCCGACGGGAGGTGGGGTGGGAGCGAGCCCACGTTGGAAAATTCCGGAAACAAACAAGGATTGGCTTCCCAGTTCTCTTCCTCAGACCCTCTCCCCTGGGCACAGGAGACCCACAGGGCAGGACCCTACGATCTGGGGAAAGGAATGAGAACCTGCGGGTGCCCTTAGACCCTTCTCCACACCCTCATTTCTCTCCCCCCGCGGGACCCCGAGTCACCACCCCTCACCAGCGTCTCCCAGGCCCCGGGACTCAGATCACGCTCCAGGCACAGCCTCCATTTCTGGGAACCTCTGGATCGCCGCTTCTCCCCTGCGTGCCTGGAAGACGGACTGGCAGCGGCTGCTTTGTTGCGTTTTGTTTGTGCTTTGCTGCCGGGAATGCCGCCTAGTACGCGTCCTTGGGGGACACACGCGGGGGAGCAGGTCCTTATTGTCCCCCCGCTACGCTGTTCCCTTCCCCTTCTCCCCCTGACGCCAGGCCTGAGTCCTTCCAGTGCTGTAATAAATCTTTGTAAATAACTATGTCGAGACTGCGCTTTCAGGGGAGTAAAGACATTGGGAGACGGTGAGACGTCCGGACGCAGAAGGTTGGAGCCAGAACTCTTGGAGACCAACTTCTGCGCAGCCGCTCTGCGGCGCTTCCGCCGGCGTTTAAGGGGCGGAGCGCGGCAGTACGCAATTCCTGATGTAATCTGGGGGCGGCTTAGGGGCGGAAGTGGCTCCACCAGGCCAAGTCCTTCCGCCCAGAGGCTGCCGGGTCTGCGGGGCAGGACTGAGCCTGAGTCCGGAAGAGCTAAGACCGTGGCTGCTATGGAGCAGGTGGGTTCTACAGCAGTCCCGGGGCCCTGAGGGTGGTACGAGGGCGAGCTCTCGTCGCCGGATGCCGCTTCACCGCCAGGTGTCCGTTACAGGTTCCGTCCGACCCGTCCCACGCCCCCCGCGTTCTAGGTTCCGCCCCCTTCCTCGGCTTGGCGGTGCAGCTCCCGACTCCTGGCAGGGGTTTGGTGGCTGCGTCCCCGAGAGGGCTCCCGAGGCCTTCACGGACTGACAAGGGAAGAGGCGAGGGGTTGCATCTGGGCATCGCGGGAGGCTCAGGGTCTGCGAAGCAGGGGCAAAACCTCTGCATGCTCCGTTAGGTGTGCGTCTCAATGTCGTCTACTGCCTCCCGACTTCTGTGGAAATGGCCGGGAGCAACTTTGTGATTAAAGCGTCGTTTGCACCACGCAGAGTCCTAGGGACTGGTTCTCCCTGCAGATCCATTCTTCCTGCCTTCCACTTCCTCTTTTCCCTCGATTGCCACATGGAAGAAGTGACCTATAGCAGCTTCCCTTCTTTGAGACAGGGTCTCACCACGTAGTCCAGGCTGGCCTAAACTCGTAGGGATTCTCCTGCCTCAGCCTCCCTAGTGCTGGTATCAATAGGCGAGCAACACTGCACCGGCTTTGGCAGCAGCTTCTAATAACGACTTCCTGCAGGTCAATTTCCCTACTCTTCACTTGTGGAGGTCTCTCGGAACACAAAGCTGACTGTCACTTCCTTTATAACTGCCTGCCTCCCATCGCCTGTTTTAAGAGGCTGAATCCTCAGTGCAGTTTGCAGAGCTCGCTATAATCTGACCTTTTCCCTAGCGATTTCTCTGTGTTCCCTAAGTTTGAGTCACACAGTGCCTTGGGGTTTGCTCTGCTCATACCTTGGACTGCTCAAAAAACTCGAAGAGCTCCTTGACTGATTATGATTTTAATTTCATAAGTGACTTAAGAACAGTTGATGCTGCTTACGTCTTATTCTGTCCCAGAACCAAAGAGCCAGGCTGTTTGTGAGTAAATAAGAAAGCTAAGGTGAAGGGCACGGGACAGGGGAATCTGAATTTATTATAGAGGATTCAAGGGCACAAAGTTCCAGGTTCCGTAAAACGCACCCCCAAATGGGTCATTGTTACACTGTGAGCTTCTGTCATGGAGAGATGTTTGCGGCGTGCTGGGACCCCAAGGGAGAGACGCCAGGGTAGATTCCCAGGAGGGGACAGCCAGAGGCCTGGGTTCCCTGGCTTTTCACTGCTGTGACAAAACACCTGACCCAGACCACCGAAGTCTGGGAGCCTGGCGTTTGGGGCTGGGCCTTGCCTAATCCTGGTCCTGGCTGCTCAGCCCTGGCCCTGGGGGTGAGGAAGCTGTACTGACACCTGAGCACCCCAACACTGGCTCAGGGCCTTTGCCCTGGAGGACTGAGCTCTGTGGGAAGGTAACTGGCCCTTTCCAGCTGGCCTCAGAGCCTGACCTTTCCAGCCCAGTGTCACCCAGCACTGCTGAGGGCTGGGGTGGTACCCTGCGTGGGTCAGGGATGTGGGGCCATGGGGTAGCTGGGCTGTCTGGTAGATCTGCTGGTTAGGGCTCCTGGGCCCTGCCTTGTGCGTTGGAGTGGGGTAGGGGTAGAGTTTGTCTTCCATTTCAGCTCAGCCCTCCTTCCTCTCCACTTCCTCCCCCACTCCACCCTGGAAAAAGGAGGAATGGGGCCCGGCTCTGGCATTTTGATTTTGTTTCATTAAGATGTCGCTGACACAGCCCCCTCCTCTCCTTAAACCTCTATTTCCCTGGGAACTTCCCAGATCCATGCCAGGGTCCCCAGGCTAAGGACAGGGGCCACTAAACCTAGGAGAGCCCCAAAGACACCATCCCTGCTCATCCTTGGGTGAAGCACACCCCCCACTCGGGGTACCTCAGTCTTCCATGTGCTGAGCTGGGCCCCACCCACCCACACACACTGTGACCACACAGTCATGGGGCAGCTGTGCAGCCTCTCATCCCTTCCAACCCTGCAGCAGGCACTGTCCTACCCCCATTTTACAGGCTGACACACTGAGTCCAGAGAGCCTCAGTGGCTTCCGAGAGGGCTTGGGCCTCCAGGTCACGTGCTGGGCCCTGCACCACATGCTGCCCTACTCCAGGGTGGACATCTGACCTGGAGGCAGCTGGCTTACTAGACAAAGCCCTGTGGGACCTGAGCCATGTGGGGTTTGGGACATGGCCTGGCTTTGAGGGTTCAACAGAGACAGCACAGAAGCTCAGATCTAGTTGTGGGGCAGGGATGTCTGAGCCAAAGTCCTGAGGGACCAGGACAGCTGAGATGATGGGAAACTTGTTCTTGACCAGGAAGGGTGTGAGTTCTCCCCAGCAGGAGGAAGTACTTCCCCGATGAAGAAGCAGGTGTGACACCCAGCCGGGCCTGGGGGGTCTTGGGCTGAGCCTCAGAGCAGGAGAGCAGGGCAAGGTCCCTCCTCCCCCTTGATCCTCCTCCTTGCACATGGGGACTTGGGTGGGCAGGGGGGTCAGCACCCTGCCCTTGGGTGCCCAGGAACTCAGTTCCCTTCAACTCCTTGCCTTGGATGGGCTGTCTGGGCTTGGAGCGCAGAGGTGACTTGAGTGTCACATTCCCTGGACATCCGCTGTGAGCCTGGGTCGTGCTTCTGACCCTGGGAAATCCACGCTCTCCTAGAGTTTGTATCTGATGGACAACTCTTTTATAAAGACAAGGCTCTGACACATGGGAGGCTGAGGCAGGAAGATCGCTGGGAGTTGCTTCCTGCCTTGGGTAACTCCCCTTATCCTGGATATCTGTAGGACTGCTTGCCTGGGAACACCAGCCCTGGCCCACAGCCCTTGGGTGCTAACAGCTTTCTGTCTGGAGGGGAAATAAGGCAGGAGTAGCAGCCCACTGTCACAAAGCCACAGCCGCCACCCAATACATCATCCACTCCTGACATCGAGGACCTGATGCTGTCACCAGTCCTCTGCATGGAGAAGGAACCCGAGCCAGACCTAGTGACAAGATGGGCAGGGACCCAGGGTCGGCCAGTGCAGGGGGCGTGTGGGCTAGGCTGCATTTCCTGGGGATAGGGCTCCCTCCCCTCAGGGGGCCTTGGGGAGCCCACATGCCCAGGGAACATTGGTCCTTTGGATATAGCGGACACTTGCCCTCCCCACCTGCTGGGTATTTAATCCCAAATACTGTGTACAGTCCTTTAAGTATTATAATCTTTTTTTCTAGTTTTCCTCACAATCCAAAAATTATATTTGTAATCCCACTGAGAAGTTATTGGAATCCTGGCAAGTTAATTCCAGTCTACTACCTCTAATCCAACCCAAGTTGAGAGTAAAGACACCAAGACAGATTCCAAGTTAAGGGTAGTCAAAGGGTCCCAAGTCCAATACCCGTGAGGACAAATGGACAGAGCCCCTGATCCTAGGCCTCCCATCGTGAAGAAGGGGGGTGCCTCAGTGACAGTGAGGATGGAGGGGATTACGTGAGGAACTTGAGCTGGGGGTGATGCGGGGGTGGGGGGAGCACCTCTGCAAAATGCAGAGATGAGGGTGTGCAGAAAGATCAGCACTGTTTTGGGAGGCTGTGGCTTTGGTTTCTGTGCCCCGGAGACTCACAGCCTCTTACCTTGAGGCTCTGCCCAGCTGACATTCCCGGAGCTGAGAACTCTACCGTCCTGCTGCGCACATAAGCTATACAGAGAGCACTGTGCAGGAGACAGGACCATCTGTGGCCTTAGAGATGACACACCAGCGCCTCGCTGGCCTTATTTGCAATGCTTAGAGCCAACTGAGGAGAGAAGGAAACACCATAGAAAGATCTTGCCAGCTGCTTGTGTGTCCCCGGCCATGCCTGCCCCAGCACCTGCCCGCTCCTGTCTTACCTGAAAGCATCCCTGTCAGCCCCAGTGGGGGAGGCCCAGCTGCAGGGGCGCCCCTGTAAGGTGACCCCCATAAGGTGACCGTAGTGGGAAACTCGAAGTTTAAACCATTCTGTAGCGCAGGCCCGGGAGCCCTGGAAATGCTGTTGATTTCATACACTGTTGCATCCAGTGCCTGGTCAGTGCATTACTGTTGCCTCTCAGGGATGCGGGGTGCCTGAATGCAGGGCTGGGATGAGGGGTGGGGTGGGGGAACGGGCCCTGGTGGGCATGCGCACAAGCGTGCTCACGGCTGAGGTCTCAGTGTCCCTGGTCTCATCTGCCTGACTCTGCAACAGGCCTCTGAATCAAATCTGGTCCCTTCCTGTGATCCAGCTGCTTTGAGTCTGTTGCCCCGGAAGCCCGATTGCGCAAAAGCTGCTCCTTCTGCTCCTGGGGCTTGGGGGAGAAGCCTGTGCTGTGCCTGGGACCTGACCTGCCCAGGCCCTGAAGACTTAGCACCCCCACCTCCTGCCTGCCTCCGCCTTTGCAGACTTCCCCTGCCCTCTCCCCAGGCCTTGGCAGCGCCAGCTTCCTGCTGCCAGCACTGTTCCCTCCACACCTCTGCAGGCACATGGGAGGCGGGTGACAGCTGGCTGCGCTCAGCAGTGTGCTGGGGTTCTGGGTAGGAGCCTGCTGTCACCTCTCCTTCCTTTGTGGCTTCCTCCTGAGCTGCCAGCCTCTGGCCTCTGGCCCTGCCTGCTCACAGGGACCAGCTGCAGGGCAGGGTCAGGCCGGAGTGGACTGGCGCAGCTCCAGGCCTTTTGTGGTCACCGGAGTGAGCCACATTGTCACCCTGACCCCGAGGAGACCTGGAGAAAGTTGGGTGTGGTGGTGCACACCTGTAATCCTAGCTCTCTGGGAAGCTGAGGCAGAAGGGTTATAATTTGGGGCCCAGTTTGGACCCCAGAGTGGAGACCCCATTTCACAGAGAAGAAAGGGTGTGGGGACTTTTGAACCCAGCAACCTCCTCCAACACCCGGAGAGCGGCAGAGGCCTGGTGAGCAGGACTCTGGGTACAGGTCCTGGAACTCAGGACTGCACTGCTCTGCTGTCTCCCCTGCTCCTGGGTGGGCACATAGCTGCATTCACAAGGAGGTGACCCTGACCCCTGAATTTCTTCCTCTGCGTCTGCTCTCACCCCGAGTCCCCACACCTGACACCTCGGCCTGGTAGGTGTCTGGGCCTGTGGGTGTCATCAGCACCGCTGCCATGCCGGAACTGCTGCTGCAGCTATGTGGGAAAGTGGGGGGACACATGGAGGAGCACAGGGAGGGGGCAACAGGGCTCCCAGCAGTGAGAGCAAAAGGGAGCTGGGGACAGCCAAGGGCCGGGTCAGAGCTTGGGGAGAGGTGAGAGCGGCCTGGGCCCCGGAGACAGGGAGGGTGGCCTTTGCCTTTCCTGTGCAAGACCAGGTTTCATCTCCAGGCCTGCAAAGAAAAAAATCATAAAATATATATGGACTGGGCATGGTGGTGCCCACCCGTGACTGCAGCACCCAAGAGGTTGAGGCAGGAGAAGTGGCTTGAGTTCGAGGCCAGCCGGGCTCCGTAGTGGGACCCTGTAGTGTTCCTAGCGACAATGGCATGTGAGGACTCAGGGTGGATGCCTGGGCCGCTGTGCTGGCACCAGGGGCCCAGAGACACAGGAGGGCTCGGCAGGGCTCTTCCCTTGGCATGTTTTGGTGTTTGGCGCCTAAAAGGTTGTTTGTTTATTGCTATACTGAGATCACAGCCAGCGTCGGGTGCATAGTAGGTGAGCTATATCTCACCCCAGATTGAGAAATTCTTTCTCTCTTTTCCTTCTTTTCCTCTGTTTCTTCCTTCCTCCCTCCACACCTCCCCATTCCCTTCTGTCCTTCCTCTTTGGTGGCACTGGAACTGTCCCCGGGGCCTTGGCACTGAGCTATGTCCCCAGCCTGTTTTTATTTATCTTTTTAATCTTTGGACAGCCTTTCACAGAGCCACAGAATTACCCAGCCTGGGTTCCAATTTATAGTCCTCCTGCCTCAGCCTCCCAGAGTGCTGGGATTACAGCTGTGGTTGCTACCACACCTGGCTCAGATTCCTGTTTTAAACAAACAATAACAAAAGTGAGAAAGGGATTAAAAGTAAATGGATAGGGCTGGGGTGGGTTTGGACTCAGATTTCTGTTTTAAACAAACAACAACAAAAAGACAGATGTGAGAAAGGGATTAAAAGTAAAACCATAGGGCTGGGGGTTTACTCAGTAAGCCCTGCCTGGCAAGCACGAGGTTAAGCCCCAGAACAAGAAATAAAATAAAATAAAATTATCGGAAGAAAACACAAGCAGAAAGTTATATGTGAAAGCTGCTGGAGAGAAAGATGGAGAATGGAAAGGAAAGCAGACAGACCCAGCTGGATACGGGAGGCCATCAGAGCCAGGGAATGTCACCAGCCAGGAGCTGCAGGCCCTCAGGGTGAGGGGCGTGGGAGCCTGGTGCCCGCTGGGCTGACAGATGTGGGGCTCCGTGGCCAGCAACCCTGGTGTCCCCTCTGCAGCTGGACCCAGCTCTGGGATGTCTTCGCCTGGATATGTCACAGGGACCCAAAGTGGCTGGGATTGGAGTGACCTTGGGCTGGTATCACTGCCTGTTGTGTTGGCAGGCTTTTAGGGGGCTAGCACCTTTCTGGCCATGAACTGGGGGCTTTGGTGGAGCACATAAGACTCCAGGGCCTCCGCCCTCACCAGGCTGGTGCGCTGGGCACCTTGGCGTTGACCTCTTCCACTCCCACCCAGGAGACAAGGCCACCTGTAGGTCAGCAAATTGGTGGAGTGGGGACTCTGGGTCTGGGGGCTACAGACAGGAACAAGTGGGGTGCAGTTCCTGCTGTCACTGTGGTCACATGGGGGTTTGGGAACCTCTCTGAGCCTCCTTTCCCCGCTGTGACTGGTTGGGCATGAACGTAGCCCAGCACGGAGATCTGGGCACCCCAAGAGTGGAGTGAACGCAGAGCAGAGTGGGTCCAGAGAGGTGCGAGATGGCCAGGTGCCTGGTGGGGGAGGAGCATTCAGGGCAGTGGGGACAGCTCTGTCCAGGGGCCAGAGGCAGGGCGGGGTGGCCACCTGGAGGAACCTGGCCAAGGCCAGCGTGTCGGAGTGGTAAGGAGAGGGCCGAGCGAGGGCAGCTGGAACTAGGGTGGCAGGGGTGGTATCCTTCCTGTGCCAGAGCAGGGCTTGCTGGGCAGCAGGGAGGTGACCCGGTCCGGGGACCCCGTGCCATCTCCTGGATGGGGCAATGAGGCCACAGCGGTTCCAAGATGTCCCTGGTCTGAGCACCCAGTTGCCAGGCCCCAGGGTGGTGGGGAGGGGAGGCCGAGGCAATTTGCTTTGTGCTGGGAAACAAAGAACAGAGCCCAGGGCCTCTCCCGGGGCGGGGACAGCCAGGCTGTTGACAGGACCCACGCTGAGGCTGAGCACCAGGGCCAGGCCTTGGCAGTGGCTCCAGGTAGTCGGGAGCGGGTTGGTGGCCAGCGGGGGCCCCAGAGTGAGCCGTGCCAGGTGCATCTGGGCGCGCGGGCAGGTACCCTGCAGGGACCTGACCACCACCGCCCCCATTCCCAGCCCTGCCACTGAGGCCCCGAATCCCTACCCACGGCTGAGCCACCAGGATGAGCAAGCTGCCCGGGGAGCTGGCCCGAGACCTGGAGCGCAGCCTGCCGGCCGTGGCATCCCTGGGCACATCGCTGTCCCACAGCCAGAGCCTCTGCTCACACCTCCTCCCGACGCCACCAGAGAAAGCCCGGGCCATCTCCGATGTCCGCCGTACCTTCTGCCTCTTCGTCACCTTTGACCTGCTGTTCATCTCCCTGCTGTGGATCATCGAGCTGAATGTGAGTGGGGCACAGCCGGGGGGGGGGGGGGTGTCACCGAGCCTCAGTTTACCTGTCTGCTGCGCTGACAGCACTGGTGGGCCTGGCAGCTGCTGTCACCTTCCAGTGAGGAAATGGGGTCACAGGGCTGCAGTCTTTGGGCCTAGGCGTCCCAGCCGGCTGGGGTGCTGCCCCCTGGTGACACGCTGGGAGCAGCGGGGGGGGGGGGGGGGGAGGGACCCGCTCTAGCCCCTCTGTTCTGCACTGTGGCTTCCGTTCTTTTGTTCACCCCCTTCTTTCATTCAGCAAAAACGTTTGGAGTCCTGGCTGGCTCCTTGGCCCTGTGCTAATCACAGGTACAGTGGGAAGTATCAGTAAATACCCCCAAGTTCTCCAGCTGGAGACAGCTGCCTCAGCCTGCAGGGGCCACCCCCACACACACTGGAGGGCACAGCCGCAGGGCCGCACCCCTCACCCCTCAGCATCTCCTGCTGCATGGGCTCTCCACTCCTCCGGGTGGCATTGCCTCTTCCTTCAGGTCCTGGGCTTGGGTGACAGGAATGTGGTGCCTGTTTGTTTCCTTGCTTGGATTTTTTGTTTTGTTTTTCAAGTGGGTCTTGCTGTGTTGCCCAGGCTGGCCCTGGACTTGGGCGCTCAAGCAATCCTCCTGTCTCAGCCTTCTGATTAACTGGGACTACCGGCCCAGCTAATAGTGCCTTTTTTTTTTTAACCTTCTATACTGGAGATTGAACCCAAGGCCTTCACAGTAAGCCACATCCCCAGCTCTTTTCTTGTTTTGTTTTGTTTTTATTTTGAGATAGGGTCTTGCTAAGTCACTAAAGCGCAGTCTGGACTTGAACTTTCCATTCTCCTGCCTCAGCCTCCCAGAGTGCTAGGATGCCAGGCACACGCCACCTCACCCAGCTACCAGTGCCCTTCTTGATGGAAATGAAATTTGGTCTGGGTGTGGTAGCACACGCCTGTCATCCCAGCACTCAGGAGAGACAGGAGGATTGTTTCAATCAGCCTGGGCTACAAAGTGAGCTCAAGGCCAGCCTGAACTGCATAGAGACCCTATCTCAAAAAGAGGAAAAAAAAAAAAAAAAGAAAAAATGCTTGGGGAAGGGCTGGCTTAGAGACAGAGAGGACACTGTGATTCTGGGTAGGTGAGGGCTGGGGGGGATGGGAGGGGCTGTCCTGCAGCAGGACTGTGCTTCTGTGACAGGGCCACTTCCCTAGGGGACTCGGGAACCAGTCTTGGGCCCTCTGCAGACCCTCAAGGTCCTGGGGTTCTCCTTGTGAAAGTCCCAACGATCGAGCGTCCAAGCAAACGTTGCAACCCAGCCGCCCAGCACCGGTGCAGAGCACCTGCGACCCCTGCAGAAGCATCGACTCGGGGTTGCTGAGTGGACTTCCTGTGGTGCAAGAACCTCACCTCCAGATGGTCTTCAGGGAAATTCGCAGAGCATAGGCTTCACCCTCAGCAGGATCACTGGCTGCTGGCCATTTCCAGCTCACTGTTTTACCTCTGTCCTGGGGTGGCTGCTGGCTGGGGCTCTGGCTACGTCTGCGCTGTCTGGGGCACACAAGGCTCTGTGCGTGCTCCGGGACCAGTGCAGAGCGGGGCAAAGCAGGGATGGCATCCCTACCCCACCCCACAGCCTGCCAGGCCCAGGCTTCCTTGCGGAGCCCCCAGATCAGGCGACGGCAGAGGACCAGACGCCGCGTCCAGGTGGCTGCAGAGGGGCCCAGGGTTCCAGGAACTGGCACCGTCCTTCCCAAGGAGACGGCGGCAGTGTCTGAAGTCCAGGTTGGGGTGTGGGGGTCAGGCTGCAGCCTGATGGATTTTGCTCATTAAGGAGAGGGTTCACTGCCTGGGGCTCCCCCTGACTGCACGGCCTACCACGGAGCCGCATGCAGACTAAGGGGGAGTGGCTCCTGGCCTGTCCACCGGCCCTGTCCAGTGCCCTTATCTCTCTCCCTCACCTGAGGCCTCGAAGGCAGAGCACTCAAATCCAGTACCACTCGTCAGAGCTGCCTGCTGTTTGCCTCCTGTTTTTGATTTTATTGGTTTTTGGGTTTTTGACAGGGTCTTGCTATGTAGTCGAGGCTGGTCTTTGAACACACTATGTAGTCCAGTCTGTTCTCAAATTCACAGTGACTCTCCTGCCTCAGCTTCCCACGTGCTGAGAGGAAAGGCATGGGCATAACAGCCAGCTGCTACTTGAGGAACAGTATTGGTGCTCAGGGTCTCCGGCTTCTGACTGAGTCCCCTTTGGGTGGTGGCTTAGTCTCACACCCTCTGCACCAGATCCTCTCCACTCCCTGTCCTTCGAGGCAGGTAGGGGACAGCCCTAGGGTGTTGGTGCCACCTGCTGAGCTCTTCCTGTCTTTCTCCCAGACCAACACGGGCCTGCGGAAGAACCTGGAACAGGAAATCATCCACTACCGCTTCAAAACCTCCTTCTTTGACATATTTGTGAGTGGCCTTGGGAGACCCAGGGCAGGGGCGGGGCGGAGTGATGGGCTGTATTCTCTTTTTCCTGTATGTTCACACAAGTGACCAGGAAGGCTCTGCTCTGTCCTCCTCAGTCTCTAGCAGGTTCCTCAGGGCCTAGTTGGGAGGGAGAGACCATGCCCTGTCCAAAGTCACATCCAGCAGCTGCTTATGGTGGCCCACACTTGTTATCCCAGCACTCAGGAGGCTGAGGTAGGAGGGTCGCTGTGAGTTTGAGATCAGCCTGGGCTACATAGTGAGACTCTGTCTCAAAAAGGCAAAGAGAAAAAAGTCCATCCAAGGGATCCCAGAGGATCGCTGAGCCTGCTGTTCTTTCCTGAGGCCGTGAGCCCCTGTAGGAGGCCTTGGTGCAGGACAGAAGGGGTCACTCTGCAGTGGCAGTGGGCACCAGCTCACCCCTGTGGCACTCGCCCACAGGTCCTGGCCTTCTTCCGCTTCTCCGGGCTGCTGCTGGGCTATGCAGTGCTGCGGCTGCGGCACTGGTGTGTCATCGCGGTAAGATGCCCCCCTCCCTTGTCCCCAGGGCACAGCCCCCAGTTGGCGCATGGAGGAGGACCCCTCCCCCGCTTGGCCTTCCTTTTGTCCTGTCCTGTCTTGCAGGTCACTACATTAGTGTCCAGCGCCTTCCTGATCGTCAAGGTCATCCTCTCTGAGGTCAGTGGCTGGGGTCTGGCTGGACTAGGGCTGCTTCTGTGGAATGGGGCATCTGCCCTGGTTTCCCAGCTGCTGCAGGGATCAGAATGTCCTCCCTATAGTGTGACCTCAGTGTCTGCTGCTGCAGACTTAATCCCAGCATGGAGACCACTGCCACAGAGGGCCCCAGGTCCGGATTTGGGTGGGGGGGACTGCTCCCATGGCGCTCAGCCATCTTTTCCTTCATGAAGCTGCTCAGCAAAGGGGCCTTTGGCTACCTGCTGCCCATCGTGTCCTTTGTCCTGGCATGGCTGGAAACCTGGTTCCTCGACTTCAAAGTCCTACCCCAGGAGGCAGAGGAGACGCGATGTGAGTGTGGGTTGCAGGGGGTGCAGGGGAGGGCGCCCTGCCCAGGGTGGGAGAGGCTCAGGTCATGTGGCCACCTAGCAGTGACCTCCCAGGATGTTGACTGTCCTGGGTGCGGGATCTGTTCCCCAGGGTACCTGGCAGCCCAGGCTGCGGCAGCCCGAGGACCTCCGCTCTTCTCCGGGGTGCTGGCCGAGGGCCAGTTCTACTCCCCCCCAGAATCCTTTGCAGGTGAGGGTGGCAGGCAGCGCAGTGGGGAGGAGGAACAGGGGTTGGGTGCGTTCTCTGTGTTCCCGCTTGGCTCCCGGGGGACCGCCACACCCCACATCCTCGAGCTCCCGTGCCTTCCCTACCCCCACTGCCGCCCGCGCTCACCCTACTGCCTGTCATCGGCTTGTTTCCCGCAGGGTCTGACAGTGAATCAGACGAGGAGGTCTCGGGGAGGAGAAGTTTCTCTGTCCAGGTAGCAGCTGCTCGGGCCCCAGCCTCACGCCCTGGTCCTGCCTGCGCCTGTCAACCCCTGGGACCACAGCCCTCGACCTGTCCCTACCTCCACCCCGGCAGGAGCGGGAGTACATCCGCCAGGGCAAGGAGGCCACGGCCGTGGTGGACCAGATCTTGGCCCAGGAAGAGAACTGGAAGTTTGAGAAGAATAACGTGAGGACCCCCTACCCCCAAGGAGGCATTTCCATGCCTTTTTCTGAGGCTGAGACTCAAACCCCAGGGTTGCTTGGGTTGAGGCCACCCGGAGAGGTTGGGTCCTGGCAGGAAGCGGTCACCAGGTTGGATGATCACCTCCCCTGCCGTACGCCTGCCACCCTCAGCACCAGGCCCTGTGTCTAATGTTTTGTTTCATGATCAACATAACATTATCTGCAAAACCTGGTGAGCTCGGGAAGTGCAGAAACATGGCTCGGCCTGCTTCCCAGGTCCGTGCCTCTGCAGACCAGCAGTGGCCCAGGGACACGGTTTGGTCACGGCTGCAGCTCGCTGCTGCCCTCTCTGCCACCTTCATGGTCCCAGCCATCCCTCCGCAGGGGCTGCTCTGGTGCCCCCAGCTCCAGGGTTCCCCTCCCTGCGCCCCAGCCCACCCACATAGGCGCCTCCCTCTGTCCCTGCTGCAGGAGTTCGGGGACACCGTGTACACCATCGAGGTCCCTTATCACGGCAAGACCTTCATCCTGAAGGTGAGTGGAGGCCTCGGGGCTGCAGGAGGGGCCCCCACAGGCCTCCGTGGAGGGCAGAGCTGGCCCTGAGCCCGAGGCCCAGCCAGTCCTACCCACCTTGCCCAGGCCTTCCTGCCCTGCCCAGCAGAGCTGGTGTACCAGGAGGTCATCCTGCAGCCTGAGCACATGGTGCTGTGGAACAGGACGGTGACTGCCTGCCAGGTGAGCCCAGCTGGACGTACCCCAGCTTGCTTCAGTTTTCCAGTGTGTGCAGTGGGGGCATGGTTATAGCACCACCTGGAGAAAGCAGCGGGCCCTGGGACCCTGTGCACGGGGAGGGTTGGACTGGGGACCTGACACCCCAGCACCATCCCTGGGCTTTCTGGCGGGCGGCACCTCAAGACCCCTTGTGAGCCCTCAGATCCTGCAGCGGGTAGACGACAACACCCTCGTGTCCTATGACGTGTCGGCAGGCGCCGCAGGCGGCGTGATCTCCCCCAGGTGAGTACCTGCCACCCCGAGACTCCCAGCCACCCAGACCTGGGCTCAGTGCCCCCATTCTGACCCTGCCCCTCCCCAGGGACTTTGTGACTGTCCGACGAGTGGAGCGGCGCAGAGACCGGTACCTGTCTTCGGGCATCACCACCACCCACTGCGCCAAGCCCCCCACGCTCAAATACGTCAGGTGAGCCGGCCTGTGGGGGTCCCCGCCAGCACCCCACACCAGCACTCACAGCAGGGAAAGAGCCGGGCACGGCGATGTGGTCATCACGAGTCTGGGGTTCATTTTCCTGCCTGGGGAGGCTCTGGCTCTCAGGGGTTCCCCTTTCTTCCTCTTCCTCCCCATCCCTACTGCCTGCTTGGCCTTTGCCTGGGTCCTGCTGCTGCCTGCCCTGGGACCTGTGATCCCCACTCCTGCTGCCTGCCCTGGGGCCTTGCCTGCTTCCCTGGAAGCCACAGCTCCCCGGACTGGGCTGGGAGCGGAGCAGAGAGACAGGAGGCAGGAGCCCCCCCAGTGGCCTCTCTCTTCTCAGAGGGGAAAATGGGCCAGGAGGCTTCATCGTGCTCAAATCGGCCAGTAACCCCCGAGTCTGCACCTTTATCTGGATTCTCAACACAGATCTCAAGGTGGGGATTCTGGGGGCCCTGTGCCTCCTTTCTGATCAGAGGATGGGGCGGGTATGGAGGCTACTGGCCTCCCTTTCACACCACCCTAGTCTCCAGGGCCCCAGCAGCTCTAGCTGTTGGTGCCCATCCCAAGTGCCAGGCACTACATACCCCTCCAGCAGCACCTAGGGGAAGGGTCTGGGTGGGCGTCCAGAGCGTGAGGCAGGGTGACACCTCCTGTCCCCACAGGGCCGCCTGCCGCGGTATCTCATCCACCAGAGCCTGGCAGCCACCATGTTCGAGTTTGCCTTCCACCTGCGGCAGCGCGTAGGGGAGCTGGGGGCCCAGATGTGACCACCCTGCAGGCGGGGTCACCACATCCTCCGAGTCCAGGAGGGGACTATCCCCAACTGTGGGCAATGCCTCAGCCCCTGCTGCTGCCCCCTGCCCACCAAGCCACACCACCAGCGGAGGCCGAGGGCCTCGGACTTCCGAGGAAGTGGGGTCCACCCCGATGCTACACTGTGTCCTGACAGTGGAAGAGGAGAACACTGCCCACCTTGCCAGGGGCAGGGCCAGCAGAGAGCGATCCAAAGCCAGGCCTGGCAGGGACAGGACGGGGCAGCCACAAGTCCGCCCAGTCTCAGGCTGGTGTTTTAGTTACTCACTGGGTCTTGGAGCTGGGACCTTGTGCTCAGTGGGGGGGGGGGGCGGCAACTCTGCAGCCCCCAGGCCCCCCAGGGACCCCTGTAATTGTGAGCCAATTAAAGACATGCGCTCAGAACACAAAAGCAAGCACCCTGCAGCACCTGGCTGCCCAGCCTCAGCTTCACCTGAGCCTCAGGGTTGGCTGAGGGTCAGGGAGACCAGCAGTGCCCAGGGCCGTGCCATCCGTCCCTAGGACTGAGGTGTCACTGGGGCACCTCTGGGAGCCCAGGCCTCTCAAGGCCTGCTCACCACCCACCTCCCTTTTCCCCACCACCCTCATATGGGGCAGTTGGGCCTCGCTGTCTTCCCGAGAGGCCCTTTGCTTACAACCACCTGGGTCCTGTGTGATCCTTGGTGGCCATGTGGCCCGAGCACATCTACCTCTCAGAGCCTCCATTGCCTGCTTTGCAAAAAACAAACTGGCATCAGCCAGGTGTGATGGCAGATGCCTGGTATCCCAGCCCTCAAGAGGCTGAGGCAGGAGGATCAAAAGTTGGAACCCAGAGCCAGGGATATAGCACAGTGGCTGCCTGGCAAGTGCAAGGTCGTGAGTTCGATTCCTGGTACCATAAAAAAAATTTGAACCCAGTCTGAACCGTTTATCAAGATCTTATCTCAACAAATAAAAAGAGCTGGGGATGCAGCTTGGTACAAAGACCCTGGATTCAGTCCCCAGGGCTGCAGAGAATGAAGCTGGGCCCTTACCCATGGTGCTGCTGTGAGATTAAGCAGCTGGGGCCTCCTAGTGAGAGCGAAGTTCCGTCACCTGCTGTCCCCACACTGCCACCCCTGCTGCTGCCGCTGACCTTGTGCCTCCCCCTGTACCCTGCACCCTGCACCCCAGCAACTTGAGCCACAAGTCCACACCCAGATGCTAGGTCCCCTCTTGTCCCCGTGGTGGCCAGGGCCAGTGCTGCCCCTGGCACGGCCTGCTCACAGCCCTTGGGGCCCCAGCCAGGTCCCACTGCACTCATGTCCCTGTCTCATCCTCTGTGTCCCCCTCGAGGTGCTGAGGTAGCACTGGGGCCTCCTTCCACACCTGCCCCCTCTGCCCTGGCTGGGAGACCCTTTATCTGAGCACTGGCTGGGCAGCAGAAGCAGCTGGCAGAGGTTGGCGCCTGGGTCCCAGGTGTGGCACTCATGTCCCCTCCCCTCCTGCAGTGGCAGGGAAACTTCTGGTCAAGGGACTGGGGTGGGAAGCGGGCACCCTTGACCTGAGGAGACATCAGGGAGGGGCCAGTGCCCTGTCACAGTGCGGGGGCATGGGTGCCTGCTGCCCCTGCTGTTTACAGACAAGCACCGCGGTGCTCCCCAGCCAGGGCAGTGGGTGGGGCAGAGCAGCACTCGGGTGGCACAGGCTGGGCTGGTGCCTACACAGTCAGGTACCTGGGGTGCTGCCTTAGGACCCCAGAGCATCTCAGTGCCTCTGAAGGCCAACTTCTGACCTGGGCACCTTGCCCCCTGCCCCAGATGCACAGCCTCCCAGATTGGTGAGTGTGGAGCTGCTTATAGCATCTGACGCCAGAGGGGCCAAAAATAGCCCCAGAGAGGGGGAGCAGGGGCTATTTAAAGGGCCAGGGGGAGCCGGCAGAGCCAGAGCTACATCAAGCATGGCTACTTTGGAGCTGAGCTGCCAAGTGTCTGAGGAGGACCGCGCACGGCGGGAGGCCTTCTGGGCTGAATGGAAAGACCTGAGCCTGTCCACGCGGCCCGAGGAAGGGTGAGCACTCCGCATGGCTCCCCTAGCCACGGGAAGCCTGAGGTTCCTGGGGGTAGGGGGGACCCCACTGGTCCTGCAGCGGAGCTCACTGCACCTCCCCCCTGCTCACAGCTGCTCCCTGCACGAGGAGGACACCCTGCGGCGTGAGACCTACCACCGGCAGGGCCAGTGCCAGGCGCTGGTGCAGCGCTCACCCTGGCTGGTGATGCGCATGGGCATCCTGGGCCGTGGGCTGCAGGAATACCAGCTGCCCTACCAGCGGGTGCTGCCGCTGCCCATCTTCACACCCGCCAAGGTGGGCACCGCCAAGGAGGAGCGCGAGGAGACCCCCATCCAGCTGCGGGAGCTGCTGGCACTGGAGACAGCACTAGGTGGCCAGTGCCTGGACCGCCAGGATGTGTCGGAGATCACCAAGCAGCTGCCACCCGTGGTGCCTGTCAGCAAGCCAGGGGCCCTTCGGCGCACGCTGTCCCGCTCCATGTCCCAGGAGGCACAGAGAGGCTGAGCGCGGCGGTGACGCCGGCTCCACGGTGCCTGCCCCGGTGGTGGGGCCCTTCCAGACTGGGGCCATGGAGGGAGCTGCTGGCTTTGTAGTTTGCCCAGAGCTGGGGGCTGGGAGGAGGGAGCCAGAGGACAGGATGCCTGGGTCCCCTGAGTTTCCCAAGAAAGATGGACGGAGATGGTGGGTACAGGGGGTGGAGAGCGGGCGGCCAGCACAGCTGAGTGGCCTCAGCCCCAGGAGAAAGGACAAGGGACGTTGGTGAGGTCACTGGGGGCAGCAGTGCCGGTGCAGTCTCACCCTTGGAGGAGGCCGGAGACAGGAAGGACCCAGAAGGCTCCAGAAAGCAGCTCGGAGGAGACAGGCGGGGGATGTGTGGAGAGCAGAGGTGGGCGGCCCAGCACCCTCTCTTAGCGCTGCAATAAATGCTCAGCGGTGTTGCACATTCAGGCTCTTGCTGTCCTGTGTCCTGGGAACTGCAGGGCAGGCGCTGGCAGAGTGGTGACAGCCTGGTCCACCCAGTGACCTTCCCTAGCGGTTCTGGGTCCTGTGTCCATTTCCTGGCACTGGTCAGTGCCTAGCAGGCCAGCTGGCACCGGTGTTAGTTTAAATGACACAGAGAGCATGGCGGGCTGGCGCTGTCCTTGGCTGTGCCCGCTGTGGTTGGGGTCAGTGACCTCAGGCCTAGCAGACATGGACCCAGATGGAACCGGGAGCTGGGCCCAGGGCTCCACCCCCACCCCCGGCTGGGCCTGGGTGGGTCGTGTGTGCGTAGGGTGAGCTCAAGTTCCTGTCGTGACCTGCAGCTGCTGTGATGACTCAGTCCTAGCAAGGACATTTTCTCGTCAGCCCCAGAGGGGGCCAGGGGCCAGACCCATGGTGGCCAAGGGCCCATCTTGGCAGAGGCCTGGCACCTGCTCAGGGCACAGGGTCATGAGCCCCGTCTATCTCAGGAACCCCACGGACTCAGTGCAAGTAGAATCAGCCCCCCATGACTGGCGAGGCTAGCTGCCAGTTCAAGACCAGCCTGGACTACATAGCAAGGCCCTGTAGGACAAACGCAGAAGAGCAAAACTAAAAACCAGTGTCCATCCCCATGTGGGGTGTGCAGGGGAAGCCCCAGGACCTGCAGGCCAGGCCTGGGCCAGCATGGGGGTGGGGCTGGAGAAGCCAGGCACAGACCCAGCCCCTCAGGCTGCCTGGACTCCAGGCCAGGACATCCTGAACCTCCAACCCTGTGCTCCAGACAGGCGGCAGCCAGCAGACCAAGTGTCTGCCCGCCCAGTGCATTAGTACTGGTCTCTGCTATCACTGCTGCCATCTCCTTAGCCGGGGGCAACTTGGCCAGGCCTGAACACACTGTCCCAGAGGTGGGGACAGGGTTGGGTAGGGTGAGGTGGAGGCCTGATGAGGGGCCTAGATGGCATTTGGGGTGACAGCACTCAGGGAGGGGCATCCCAGAGGACAGGAAGGTGGGACAGGGGTCTGAGCCCTGTGAAGTGGGCACTAGGGTGGTGGGGACCAGGGACAGGGGCTCATTCAAACCTGGGGAACAGAAGGGATGAGACCCTGGACCTACAGGCTCAATGGACAGGGTGCTCCCCTGTTATCCCAGCACTTAGGAAGCTGAGGCAGGAGGATCTTACAATTGGGCACCAGCTGGGGCTACATAGTGAGTTTAGCCTGGGTGACACAGTAAGACCTGTCTCAAAACTCAAATAAAAAAAAAAAAATCCTCAAATACAAAAACTGGGAGTGGGCAACAGGCGCGTGGCAGGACCATCAGAGCACACGGGGAGGGAGGCGCCTGGGTTGCGGGGACCTGATGTCCCAGCCGAGCCCTGCCCCCACCCCGCGTTCGTCTGCAGCGGACACGAGATGGATGGCGGTGACGCGGGGCCCGGGGCGCTCAAGGCCCAGCCACCCCCGCACCGACGGTCCGGGAGGGGTGGCAGAGATAAAGGCGCTCAGATAGCCGGGACCAGGTGCTGCGGTGGCGGGGACGCGATGAGCCAGGAGGACCCGAGCCTCGCGAGCGTGGCTGCAGCCTACCGGCGCTTCGAGCCCGCGGCCTACCTGCGCAACAACTATGCGCCCCCGCGGGGTGACCTCAGCTGCCCAGACGGCGTGGGGCCCTGGAAGCTGCGCTGCCTGGCGGAGACCTTCGCCACGGGTGAGCGGGGAGCCGGGCGCTCAAAGGGTCGCCAGCAGGCATGGGGGCCCAGGCACAGCGCTAGGGACCCAGGAGCGGTGCAGCCGGGAGCGGACTCCGGGCTGGTGCACTGCCTGTAGTCATGCTACCGGGGAGACTGAGGTGGGAGTATCGCCCAGGCATGAAAGGCCAGCCTGGGCAATACCGTGTGACCACGGCTGTGGCTGTCTCTGTCTCTGTCTCCAGGATCCTACTATGTAGTTCAGGCTGTTCTCTAACTTGAGGCAATCCTCCTGCCTCAGCCTCTCCAACGCAGGGATCAGAGGTGTGAGTCACCACGGCTGGCAAGACCCTGTCTCTTAGCAGAAGAGAGCAGTAAAGTGGAAAGAGCACAGAGAAGGAACAATGCTCAGGACTGGGGGTGGTGGGGGTGCAGGAGAGAAGGAGGGCAGGCAGGCTCATGGGGTGTTGGGATCTCCCCACTGAACCCTCCCTGGAGACGCAGCTCCCCAGATGCAGAGCCGGGTGTGGAGAGGCTAAGCTCCCTGCCGAGGTGAGAGGTCAGTGCCGGAGCCCAGGGAACCTGGTCCAGCTGACTCTGGGGCTGAGACAAGGGCTCCCTGAGGCCAGGGTAATGGGGCAGGCCTGGCACTGAGCCCACCACCTTGTTGCCCAGGGGAGGTGACTGGACGCACCCTCATTGACATTGGCTCAGGCCCGACCGTGTACCAGCTGCTCAGTGCCTGTGCCTACTTTGAGGACATCACCATGACGGATTTCCTGGAGGTCAACCGTCAGGAGCTGGGGCGCTGGCTGCGTCAGGAGCCGGAGGCCTTCGACTGGAGCGCGTACAGCTGGCATGCATGCTTGCTGGAGGGCCGGGGGTAAGGCCGGGCAGGGCCAAGCTGGGTGGGGCCTGGGGGGCCAGGGGCAACCCTGAGCCCTTGACATCCCCACAGTGACTCCTGGCAGCACAGGGAGCAGCAACTGCGGGCCCGGGTGAAGCGCGTGCTGCCCATTGATGTGCACCAGGCCCAGCCCCTGGGCGCCGCCTGCCTTGTGCCCCTGCCCGCCGATGCCCTGGTCTCCACCTTCTGCCTGGAGGCTGTGAGCCCTGACCTGGCCAGCTTCCGCCGGGCTCTGGGCCACATCACCACGATGCTGAGGCCCAGGGGGCACCTGCTCCTCATCGGGGCCCTGGAGGAGTCGTGGTACCAGGCTGGCGAGGTCAGGCTGCCGGTGGTGCCCATGAGTGCGATGACAGTGCGGGAGGCCCTGGTACACGGTGGCTACGAGGTCCGGGACCTGCGCACCTATACCATGCCAGCACACCTCCGAACCGGCGTGGACGATGTCCAGGGCATCTTCTTCGCCTGGGCCCAGAAGAAGGCAGGGGTGGAAGTGTGAGGCCCAGGGCACCCCCAGATACCCCATTACCCAAAGTGGCACCTAATAAAGAAATTGCTCTTGCTCTGAGTTCAGGCTGTGTCTGGCGGGTGCAGTGATCCGAGTAGTTAACGGAAGAGCTTCCCTGCCCAGTCCGTTCGCCCCCAGACCCGAGGTCAGGAGGGATTTGAGGGGTGAGAGGGAATGTCCCAGGGACCAGGCCCCAGACCCACCACCAGCTCCTCCCCTGGCTGGCTGGGGCCTCTGCCAAGCTCTGACCCCGGTCACCTGCCCTCACCTCTGCCTCTGCCCTCAGCCAGCGCTGTCCCCTTCCCCCCAGTCCACCCATGGACACGACGGAGCCGCACAGTTGAGAGCTGGGAGCCAGTTTATTACACACATCCCTTCCCCAGATGCCTTGTCCCAAGAGCACTTAAGGCCCAGAGCCCTCTATCTCTCCCCCACAAGGGGGCCAGAGGACAGGGAGAGCAGAAGAGCCTGGCCTAGGCTGCCCCAGGACGAAATGTTTCCATGGTTGCACACTCTGTCCTTGGAGGGCCATGCCAGGACAGGCAGCAAAGCCACCAGTCACCTGTGCCACCAGTCACCAGGGCACTGTGGCCCCTGTCTGCCCCAGAGCCACTGGGCACAGGAGTCCACAGAGGGGGGCACAGGCAGACTGAGCCCCAGCTTTCTCCCCTCTTCCCCCAAAACGCCTGCTGCCCCGAGTCCAGGCTGGCGAAGGGGAGGCCAACTATGCCTTGCCAAGGGTGGCTGGAGAGGGGGCACCCCATGTTATTCCCCCTGCAGGAGCGCCTTAGTTGTGTAGGGTCGGGTGTGGTGATGCACCTGTAATCTCAGCACGAGGCTGAGGCAGGAGGACTGCCATGAGTTCAAGACCAGCCTGGGCTACATAGCAGACCCCTTCTCAAAAAAACCTCATTAATAAAAACCTAAAAAAGTTATCTGGGGCTCCTGTGAGGTCTGGAAGAACAGCAGGGTGTACTGGACAAGTGGACATGTGTACACGTGTGTGCACACAGACACACACACAGTGCACATCCTGGCTGCGCCCAGGGCAGAGCTGGGCCCCCCACCCCGTGCCAAACTCCCCACCTCGTGGCACACGTGATGGCCGTCACACTCGCCTCAGACTCACGCTCCCTCCTCCCCACCCACGTGGCCCACCCTGAGCTGAGCCCACACGGGGAGTCCCAAGTCCCTCCACTGCTTCTGCACTCACTTGGCTGGGCCCCCTCGCCTCCAGACTCACATACTTGCTGCGGGCCCTTGGGGGTCCTTCCTGAAGGGGGTGAGGTGAAGCCTCAGAATCAGGGTGCAGCACCCCCCACCCCAGGCCCCCTTCCAGATCCCAGCTGCGGCTTCCCTTCCACCCCATGGGGAAGGAATTGGCCTTGAAACTGGGTGGTGAGCAAGCATCTAGCGCCACCTGGTGGCGCATTGGAGTGTGGGGTGGCAGAGGTCCCCCCCCTCCCGCCCCCCCCCAAACCTGGATACCTGGGCCAGGACCAGAGGAGTTCCTGCAGAGTTCCTGACTGCCGGGTGGGGGTGGGGGTGGGAGGTGGGGGGGTGGGCAGAGGGAGCATTCCCGGCTCTCCTCCCCACATAGCTCAGCTGCAGGGCCCAGGGGCTCCCCATCAGACCCCTGGCCCAGATGACAGGAGGCCGAGGTCAGCGTAAAGAGCAAGCAGAGGCAGGCAGCTACCTGCATCTAGGTCCACATCCCTGGTGCCCACGTTCAGCAAGTTAAAAGGCCTCAGGAGGCTGAGGCAGGAGCACTGCTTTAAGTTAGAGGCCAGTATGGCCTCCACAGTGAGACCCTGTCTCAAAAAACAAAACCAAAAAGCTAAAAGGCTAAAATCTGTCATGGGGTGGGGCAGGCCCTCAGTCCAGCTTGGACTTGGCTTCCGACTCCCTCAGCAGGTACAGGCTGTCATCTTCCAGGAAGCTGTGGACCGAGGAGACACCAGCTGAGGCTCGGCTTGCTGGGAAACCCCCGGGGTGCAGGATGCAAGCAGGCTGGGTGGGAGCAGGCAGTGGCGCAGGGCCCCCAGGTCCCCAGGCACAGAGCAGGCGAGGAGCAGGGCACTCACCTGAAGAAGAGGACATGCAAGGGAATGGTGCTGATGTGCCAGATGGCGTGGGCATCCAGCACCCAGAAGAGCGGCGGGAAGTCCAGCAACTCGAGCAGGGACAGGGCCTGGAGCAGCAGGACCACAGCCGCACATTTGCGTGTGTGCGGCAGCCGCCGGCCGTTCCGCAGGCACCAGGCCAGCCACCACGCCAGGTTCGCCAGGCCTGGAGGTGCAGGGGAGGTCACTGCCAGGTGCCACGGGATCTTTCCGCAGCCCAGGACCCTTCACACCCTGCCTGCCCAGCACCACGCTCACCGATGGCCACGTTGGCCACCAGGTTGTAACCGTAGTCGAAGCGGACCAGGCTCAGGTAGGACACGTGTGCTGTGAGCAGGAGCAGCAGGAGGCCCCGGAAGGCGCTGGCCACAGCTGGGCGCTGCAGCCCCACGGTCCTGCGGCGTGAGAGCAGCTCAGACACGGCGCAGGGCCAGGGCCACCCTGGCCCTCCTGCGCCCTACATGGGACAACCCGGGGCGGGGTTTGGGGAACTGCAGCAGCTAGGAGGCGCACCTGACACAACACAGGTAGATGGAGTGCAGGATGACGGCCGAGGCACAGAAGTAATCCATTTTCTGAGGATGACAGAGCCCGTGAGGGGCGGTGGGAGGGCCGTAGAGGAGCTGGAGCAGGTGACGGCCACAGGGAGGAGACAGGGCCCGAGCTGCCAGCATCCACGGCTCTGCCCTCCACTGTTTCAGGACCCAGGAAGGCTCTGAATTCAGGGCTTGCCCTTGAGTTTGCTGGCTGAGGGCCCAGTCCTGATGGCACCTCATTATTAGCTGATGTCCACGAGCCGCCTCCTCTGAGGCCTCTCAGGCCTGGGGTGCCTGGGCACCACCACTATGCTTCAGAGTCCCCCTCGGGGTGCCACGGGGCTCACCCCCCTCAGGGGACCACGGGGCAATGCCACTCACCTCCGTGAGCTCAGTGTCCCTGGTGTGGAAGACTGTGGACCAGAACCAGGCATTGAGGGACACCTGGGGACAGGATGATGAACAGCTATGCCCTTCCCGGGCAGAGTTTCTCTGTACCCCATATCCCCAGCCACAACCACCACCCCAAATCCCCAAACCACAGGGCCCGGCCTGGGACCCAGTTACCTAATCACTGAGACAACAGCACCTGGGGCCCACACCTCCACCCCATGCCAGCCAGAAGAGCCCCACCCGGCCCAGGGGTGTAGTGACCTCAGCCTCTGGGGGCGGGGAGCAGAGGCAGGAGCCAGCTTGGGGCGTGGTGGCCTGTCCCACTGGGCCCAAGCTCCTGGGAAGCTACACTATGGCCAACCTGGCCGGCCCAACCCGCCAGACCAGAGACTGCAGGGCGGAGGGGGGCACAACAGAGAGGGGCCAGGGCCAGGGCCAGGCTGAATCTGCCTTCCAGGAAACAGGGTCCCTGCCAAGCCTGGCTCTGCTGGCGCTAGCGGGGGAGCCAAGGTCTCCTGGGAATTGAGCTGGCCCCCATCTTTACAGAAGGAGGGCTGGGCTGGGGACAGTGACAGCACAAGGAACGGACAGCAGAGCCAGGCCTGCCCAAGCTGAGGGACCTAGGGCCACTGGCATGGTTGTCACAAGAGCCCAGGTGGTGGCTGTAGGCAGAAGGAGCAGGAGGAGAGGCTGCTCTGCTGAGAGAGGAGGGGGCGGCAGGGGCGGAGGCAGAGGGGTGGCCAGGCTGCTCAGGCTCCCTGCCCGCCCTTCGTGGGCTGCAGCTGCAGCTCCTCACCAGCCTGGGATCTCCCTGGGCCTTGTCACTTTCTCCTCACAGGGCGGCCACACTGTCCCTGCCCCACAGTTCTGGGGTCACAGGCCAAGGCCTCAAGTGGGACTGACCCGGGGCTCCCTAGGGTGGCTGGGGACAGCTCCTGGCCCAAGGCTGGGGACACCTTGGGGAGGGGAAGGTGTGGGAGGCAGGAGGGAAGGCTGCAGGGACTGGCAGCCAGCCAGGTCTCCTTGTCACCCACAAAAGGTTGGGGAGGCAATGGGAGGCTGAGCTGAGTGACGATTGGAGCACAGAAAGCAGGGGGTGGCAGTGCACCTCGCTGGGCCAGACCTCGACTCCATGGGGATTGCATGGGGACTGGGAGGGGCCTGCTGGGTGCCTTCCACTAGAGACTGCCCAGAGCAGGCTCTGACTGTGCCCCTGTACCCTGGGGATGCCCCTGTATGGGGACTCCTCTTTCTCAGCCTGGGAGGCAGGAGCATGAACAGTGTGGATGCTGAGCCCAGCTCTGCACTTCCTGTGCGAGTTAGCCTTGCTAGCCTCAGTCTTCTCATGTGTAGAATGGGAATGATCACAGTGATGCTCAGGATCCAGCAAACAGGACAGATGCAGGCAGAGCCTGGTGCCAGGAACCGGGGAAGTGTAGGTGTCTTTCTCTCCTCTGGGAGTCAGCACAGTGCCCTCACAGCTCCCCACAGGCCCAGGCCAAGGAGAGCAGGTCTATGGGGCAAGGCTACACCTGTCATCCCATCACTTGGGAATCTGAGGCAGAAGGACTGCAGCAAGTCCAAGGCCAGCCTGAACTTCACAGCGAAACCCTGCTTCAAAAACACACAGACACCAGAAGCGGACACCAAGTCATCTTCCTCACCTCCCTCCAGGCTCAGGAGGTCTGGGCTGGGGCCAGACATGGCCCCCAGCCTGCACAGCAACACACTCTGCCTTCAGTCCCACACCAGCTCCCGAACGGCAGGCAGGTGTCTTAGACAGTGAGGCTCACTGTGCTGTGCAAGCGGCCTTGAGCCCCTGGGCCCCAGTGATTCTCCTGCCTCAGCTTCCTGATTAGCTGCAGGCCTGCACTGTCAGGCCGGGCTCCCTGACTGAGCGTCTGTGTCTCAGCGGCCTCAGCTGCCAAGCAGGGTCCAGCAGACCACTAGGCTCACAGGAGCCTGTGGGGACAACAGAGCCTGGTACACGGCAGGTGTCTCATGAACGCTGTGTTTCCCCCCACCAGCTCAGGTGACCCCCGACTTCCCCTTCCTCTAGGGTCACAAAGTTCACAGTGAAACCAGGGTCTCTGCCCCAGGACACAGACAGCTCCATCCCCTGACCAGTGCAGTGCCCCGGGACACTGGTTCTCCCAGAGCTGATCACTGGAGGGGGCACTGGGGTGGGGCTAGGAGCCTGGCAGGAGCTGTTTCCATCGGCTAGAAAATAAGAAAATCCACCCCGAAATATCCCAGCCGAGAAACCGGCTGGATGTCTAGAGGGCCAGATCCGCCAGGAATCCAACCCCATGCAGCCTAGTGCTGGGCTGGGGCTGACACCCTGGTAGTGGGGACAAATGGGGCTTTAAATAGCTCGGTGTCTCAGAAGTGGAGGAGGCAGGATGTTAAACATGCCGCCTGGGCCACCTGCCCCCCTCCCTCACGGTGACACTGCTGTGGGCCTCAGGCAGGGATGTCCCATGGGAGTGGGCTTCTCCCAACATCCCAAAGGACTGGCTGACTTCAGACCACCCAGAAGTCCTCCCTGAAGTCTGCTCCTCTTAGCATCTAGAGGCCCCAAGTCAGCAAATCACTGCTCAGAGCAGAGCAGCATGGGGCTCCTCCCCTCCCACGTAGACGGGGGCGTGGACTGGTTCAGCCTCCAGCCTTGGCAGAGGGCAAAGGGAGGCTGCTCTGGGGAGTGGAAGGGCCCGGCCTGGCACTCACAGCTCTGGTGCTGTCAGGTCCTGCTGGCTGCTGCCACCCAAGCTCAGCCTCTGCCTCCGAGAACGGGGTGCGGGTGGGGGTGTCCCTGTGTTCCCTGGGGAAAAGCAGAGGACCCCGCCCAGGCAGTCCCCAGAGGCAGTGCTGGACACAGAGTCAGGGCCCCTTGCTCTAAGGACCCAACCTGGGACAAAGTTCCCCACCACACCCTCTGGCAGCTCCAGCTCCCTCCCTTCCCCCTAAGAAAGAACAAAGCACACAGCTAGGGATCATATGTAGAAGCCAAACAGGGTCCTGGGGGCTGTGGGACTTGGCCTGGGACCCCCCACAGACACCTTTGTGGTGAAGGGTCTAACAGCATGGAGATGGGAGCCAGCGTTGCAGCCCAGGGTGGGGTGCAGGCCTGTGATCCCTACACTGGGGAGGCTGAGGCAGGAGGATCCTGAGTTCAAGACTGGAATCCTGCTGTGATCACCTGCCTTTGCATGCATCACAGGGGGAAGGACAAAGGCTGCGGCCCTCCAAGGGCCCCTCAGACCTGCAGTACAACCACAAAGGCAAGGGATGGGGACAGGAATGGCGTACTTGGGGACCCACCTGGGAGGCTCTGATTGAGAAACATCCGATGCACCCCGATGTCTCCTCCCTCCCTCAGGTCACCACTGTCCTGTCGTGCTGTGTCTCCTCTGATCCCAGGCCCTGGACCAGGGCACCCTTCTTCCACAGATGGACGTGCATAGCCTCGCCAGGGAGGGACAGAGACAGCACTGAGCTCCCTGGGACACCGGGGCTGCTGCCCTCGACTTGAGCTGGACCTGAGGTCGCCCGGGCCCCTGGTCCCACAAGCACGGTACCACTACTGCACTGCCCATCCACAGCTGCGAACTGCCGCCCTGGTCTTTTTGGCTTGCACAACCAGGACCAGAGCAAGATCTCTGTCTCCACCTCCCCATCAGCACCAGCCCTGGGCTGCCAGGAGCCCTCCCTGGTCACCTACCCAGGCAAAGGCCACACACGTGTGGTACATGGGGCAGGAGGTGGGCACCGAGGCGCGGTAGCGGCACAACATCACCAGGCTGGCCAGGCCGTTGAGAAAAGAAGCCATGGCGGACGCCGGCTCTTGAAAGAACAGGAAGCGGAAGAAGGGCCACTGCAAAGGCAGAGGAGGGGACCTGAGAACATGACCCAACCGGCCCAGTCATGTGGCCCTTGGCCTTCCCACTGAGCTGCAGCCCCAGCCTTTTTTCAGTTTCTCATTTTGAGACATTTCGAGGCTCGCCATGCCTTCAAAGCCAGCCTGGGCTACATGTGAGTTCCGGCCAGCCCAAGCTAGACGGCAGGCGAGACCCTGCCTCAACAAAAACAAAGCACCAGGCCTGGCGTGGTGGCTCACACCTGTAATCCCAGTTTTCAGGACACTGAGGCAGGAGGACTGATGTGAATTTGGGGCCAGGCTGAGCTACAAAGTGAGCTCAAGGCAGCCTGAACTGCACAGTGAGACGCTGTTTCAAGAAGACAAAAAAAAGCAAAGCAGCAGACTGCAAGAGGGCAGATGTGTACGCACCCGGACACCTGTCACCCGCACCCTGGGCTGCTGGGAGAGCTGGGCTGACGGCCACCCCACAGCAGCCAGTCCTGGACCGTGACTCACCTTGCCGTGGAACTGGGGCACCCTGTGGCCCTCCTGCAGGTACAGGCTGACGGTGACCCACATGCAGTTGTACTTGCAGTCATCCCGACAAGTCCAGCCTGCCAGAGACAGACGCAGCCTGTGGGACCGAGGCAGAGGACGGCACAGGGTCCAGAGGAGGCAGGGAGGCCAGACTTGTAGCTGCGGTCCTCCAGCCGAGCAGCGAGAGGGGGCAGCCAGGGAGGGGCATGAGTGTGTCCCTGTGCGCTTCAGGGTGGGCACAGGGACCATCCAGAGATGTTCGAGATAGACAGCCTGGTGGCAGGCAGACTCTTCCTGTCACCCACCAGAAGGAGCCCTGGCTGTTTACTCCCTCCCATGAACGTGAAACAGAAATCCTGGGTTTTGAGTTGTTTTACTTTTCTTTTGCTTTTTTCTTTTTGGTTGAGATAGTGTCTCACTATATAATCCAGACGGGCCTCACATTCAAGATTCTCCTGCCTCAGCCTCCTGAGTGCCAGGATTACAGCCTTGTGCCACCACCCTGGGCTTCACCATGACTTCTAAGGTTCCAAACTGTCTCCCCACCTTTCTGGCCACTGCCCCCTTACTGTACCCTAAGCACCCAGATGTGGCCTCTGTGTGGACTGGAAAGGGATGTGAAGACGACTGCATGTGGCCAAACAGGACAGAACTGGAAGCCGAGCCCTTGGGGACCCGACCTAATATCTGACCCCAGCTGGAAACTGGGATAGAGAAGCCACTGCTGTGACAGTAACTCAGCTACGGACGGGGCACCTGTTGCCTGGTGGGTGCTCGGTGTGTCGGCTCCCTATCATTACCATGAGTTCAAATTTAATCCACCATCTGGGAGCTCCATCTTCACAAAATGTCCCTGTCTCCTCCCCTTCAAAGCCAGAATCCATTTTTTTCCTCTCCTAAAGGAACCCAGTGCTTAACCTAAGGGTGTTTTAGGGTTTAAATCATTCTGAACTTTTTTTTTGTTTTTGGAGACAGGGTTTCATTATGTTCGGGCAGGCTTTGAACACGTTGTGTAGCCCAAGCTGAACTCACACTCACAGCCATCCTCCTGCCTCAGCCTCCCAAGTCCTGGGATGACAGGCTTGTGTCACACCCAGCATGGCATGAGGAATTTAAAAATACTGCCTTGGCTGAATGACTAAAAAGTAAAAATGAACTGGCTGATGAGACTCCATCATCCTGGAAGATCAACTCACACTCATAATAAACCCGGGTAGGGAAACCCAAATTCAGAGATTGCAAAATACTAGAGGCGCGGCGGGCGGGGCCACGATCAATGGGCGGGGCTTTTGAGGGGTGGGGCCTACCTGCTAGGCTCATGTAGATTGGCTGGTGGGAGCGGAAGTACTTCAGTGCGCCCCCCGAGCAATTCCTCTCCTCGCACAGCAGCACGCAGTCGCGGTACACCGGCTCGCGGTCCCCTTGGGAGGCGCTAGCCAGCGCGGCTGCACTGGCCAGGAGTACCAGCCGCGCCGCGCTCACCGCCATCCTGTCAGTCTGGCTGGCCGCGGAGGGCGGAGCTTAGTCGCGTAGGAAGCCTCCACTTCCGGAGTAACCGGAAGTACCTGTGCTTATCCTTGCACCCTCCGGTGGCGTACGCCCGCTTTTAAACAAAAGTTCCCGGATTTTTGTGGGCGCCTGGCCCGGCTCTAGTCCTGTTACAGTCTCCCCCAAAAAAGGCTACAGATTTAAGGGAAGCGGGGAGTCTGGCGAGAGCAGGAACAAAAACGAGGGAGTTTTTTCTTATAATTCTCCAGGGCTTCATATACACACACATGTATACACTTATATGTACATATACTTTTTCTATATACATATGTATACATATACTTTTAAAAGTATGTCCATATATATATGTATACTTTTTTAAACAAAGAATAAAGATTTGTTAAACTTTTGGGGACAGTAAGCTTAAACTGGCCCCAAAAGTTTAGGAAATCTTTTTGGGTAAAATCTTTTCAGAAATCTGTCAATTGAAGTTTCAGCATATTTACATTAATGTTGGCCTCAGCCTGGCGTGGTGGTGCGTGCCTGTCAGCATTTCGAGTTTGAGACCAGCCTAAGCAAAGTGAGCTCAAGGCCAGCCTGAACTGCACAGCAAGACCCTGTCTCAAAAAGACAATACAGATATTAATAATAATAAATAAAATTGGCCTCATTTGCAGAGGACTAAGCTATGCCCGACACCAGCCGTTTTGGGTCCTAGTGCCCAGCCGTTCCTGGCTCCCACTGCCCTGGACATCACCTCTCTGAGGACTAGGGGCACTGCAGTCTCCTTGCCTGTGCTCTGCCCCCTCCAGCCCCAGCTCCCTTGCTAATCCTTAAAATTCCCAGCTAGTCCCTCTCATTCAGGATAAGAGGCAGCCCCCACAGCCCTGCCTGCCGGGCTCTGCTCCCTTCTTCTCAGTCCGCCTCAAAGGACGGAGTCCCTCCTCTCGCAGCCTTGGTCCCTTTTGTGTCTCTCTCCTTGCCTGTTCTGTCACCAGTGTAAACGCTGGTCCCAAGAGTGCTCCTCAGCCTCTGCTGGGGCCTAGGTCTCCAGCACTACAGCAGATCACGGCCCATGGGAGGCCCCATGCCCATCGGGTTTTGTTTTTCATTGCTGTTTAGAAGTAGGCTCTCACTGTGTAACTTAGGCTGGCCCAGGACTTGCTATGGAGCCCACACTGACCTGGAATTCACGATCCTCCTGCCTCAGCCTCCCGAGTGGTGGGATGACAGGTGTATACCACCATGCCCGACCGATTTTTAATACATGAACGATTGTTTCAACATAACACTCATAGGGTGCCTATCTGGGACTGTCAGACCTCTGGCATGCCTCCTCGGTAGTATCCAAGGGAAAATGGAGAAGGACCGATGGGACTGACTCGGATGTACTGTTCCTGGTAGCTCCCTGGATGACCCCCAGCACCCACCCACCCACATCTCCCGGAAGCCTCAGAGCCATGAGGATGATGATGCCTCCCCTTTCCCTGTGCTGTCACCCCTTCCTTTTTAGCTGGAGCAGGGGGGAGGGGTGGAGGTGGAACTGGGGGTGAAAGGAGCAGTAGCTGTGGTCCCGTGGATTCACTGGGCCCGCAGACTTTCCTGAGCTCGTGACTCCAGCACCGCACTCAGCAGGTCACGGCTGTGGAACACAGTTTGCGTCCTGCTTTGTGAGAATGGCACCTCTGTGGTGAAACATGATGCGAAGCCCCATGTGGGGAGCCCAGCACCCAGCAGACCAGGAAGTTCAAATGGAGAAAGCACAGGCCCCTCCCCGAGCCCATCCCAAAGGACAGAGGTTAGTACTGTCGTATCTACAGATCAGAGCTTATAGAATACTTTTCCACTTTGTCCTTGTTAATTTTGGAACTTTGTTTTTCTCAAGACAGAATCTCAATATGTAGCCCAGGCTGGGTTTAAATTCACAATGATTCTCCTGCCTCAGCCATGGGCTGCAAAATCATCCTTTATTCTTCCGACTCAAGCTTCATGAACCCTGCTTTGTGTCAGCACCAGTACTAGTGAAGGGAGAAAGACAGTCGGGTTCCCTAGACTGGCGCGGTGGCATGCACCTGTAATCAGGAGGCTGAAGCAGGGCGACCTTAGGAGTCTGAGGTCAGCCTGACCTAATGTTCACAGCACAGGGACAAGAAACACAAAGCAGCTTGTGCAGAGGTAAGAGCTTGATGAGCAAAGATAAGAGCTGTTAGAGCAAAACCTGGGGGGACGGTAGACAGTGAGGGTTCCATATTCACCAAATATTTATTGAGGTTGACAGTGTGCAACGCTCCTGGGATGGGCTGTCTTTTCTGATGGCCAGAGGAAAGATACAAACACAGAAGTTGCAAACAGACAACTAAAATAATTTCACTAAAAAAATTTATCTCACTGCTGAGTTAAGAACACATTGTCCCACCACTGTGCAGGCTAAGCTGGTGCTTGCAGAGTGGAAAGGTACCGAGCCTCTTTCCGGCAGATCCCTTGCTAGGTTTGTCTACACAAGTGCAAAGTTTGGAGACGGACAGAGGTATTCATGGCTGTTTTAGTTATTTCAAATAGAAACAAAAGGTAGGCAGGGGCTCTCGTGCACCTCTGCAGTTCTAGCACTTGGGAGACTGAGACAGGAGAAGCACAAGTTCCAAGCCAGCCAGGCTACCTAGTGAGACCGTCTCCCCCAACAAACCAAAACAAAAGACTAAATGTCAATGGTAGGAAATGAATTACATTAACTGAAGGAGCTTCCCAAAATGGAATATGGAGGAAAAAATGATAGCAAAGGGGGAGACTTGTAATGTCCCAGCTTGGAAAAATCTTCACAATATCTTCCTTAAGTATAAGAAGCAAGGCGTAAGCTGGGCATGGTGGTGCATGCCTGTAATCACAGTTACGAGGGAGTCTGAGGCAGGAGCATTGAAAATTCAAAGACAGCCTGGGCAATTTAGCAGGACTTGGTCTCAAAATAAAATTGAAGGGGGTCGGGAGTTTAGCTTAGCAGCACAACTGCCTATCTCGTCATGAGTTTGATTCCCAGTACAAAGAATTAAAAAGAAGACCTGGAGATGTAGCTCAGTAGTAGAGTGATTTCCTAGTATGTGTGACTCAAGTTTTAATCCCTTGGAAAGAAAGAAAAGAAAAGAAAAAAGACCTTGTACTACTGCATATATCTTCATTTTAAAAATAAAGGCAAAATTTTAGCCAGGTGTGGTGGTGCACACCTGTGATCCCAGCACTTGGGAGGCTGAGACAGGAGGATCATTGTGAGTTTGGAGACCAGCCTGGGCTACAAAAGTGAGCTCAAGTCCAGTCTGAAGTGCATAGAGAGACGTTGTCTCAAAAAAAGACAAAAAAATTTTTTTAAAAAAATTTTTTTGTCTTTTTCTTCTATCAGTACCGGAGATCGAACTCGCGACTGCCTGCTTGCAAGGCAGGCGCTTATGCCGCTGAGCTAAATCCCCAGCCCCCCCCCCCAATTTTAAAAACCCACAAAAAAAAACAAAGGCAAAATGTAAAAAGAATAACTTCCTGGGGGCTGGGGATTTAGCTCAGCAGCATAAGCACCTGCCTGGCAAGTACGAGGTTGTGAGTTCGATCTCCAGTACCACTAAAAAAAAAAAAAAGTGTGCACCAAAAGAACAACTTCCTGTGCAGACAGGAGTTAAGGGAAGTAGGACCAGCTGACATTGTAGCTAAAGCCCATTTGGGTCAGATGGTGCCCCCCAATCCTGTTGAAAGCTAGTATCAGAGGAATCAGCCCTCTAAACCCAAGCCCTGGTGAACAGGCCTAGCTGACAACCAGTGCAAAGGCCCTGGGGTAAGAATACCTGGATCATCTTTGAAAATCACAAAAGAATAGGGACAAGACCAGACACAGCCACAAGGGTATGGTCCAGGAGACCCTGCAGGCAATGAGGGCTTCAATTCATGTTTACAGCCTTGAATGGCTGTGGTGGGAAAGGAAAAAGGTCAAGGAGCCAAGAGCCTGGTCCTTTACCCTGAGGAGAAATAAACAGAGGCCAGAGGAGCTGGTGCAGGGGTAGACGTGACAAGGCTTTGGAAGAGGTGTTGCTAGACCTCAAGGAATGATGGGATGAGAAGGGTAATAGGGTAATAGAAGAAAAGACGCACGCAGGGGGTTCAGGCAGGGTAATGCCCTCCCTCCCCCGCCACGACTGCCATTGCTGTGTGCTTCTGGAAGCTTCCCAGCCTTTTCTAAAACCAAAAGCCAAGGCATGGGGGTGCAACCATCATCCCAGTGCTTGGGAGGCTGAGGCAGGAGCATCGCTGCAAGTTTGAGGCCAACCTGAAATGTGTAATGAGACCCTGTCTCAGAAAACAACAAACAGCCTGGGAATACAGCTCAGAGGCACAGCGTCTGCCTGGCTAGTGTGAGGTTGTGAGTTTGATCCCTGGTATCAAAAAAAAAAAATCAAATAAATATTAAAAAGCAAAGAAACAAGGGATCACTGTCTTAATTCTCCCATATCCCAGACAGCAGAGTAAAGCTTTGCTCATGGCCAGGAGTGCAGCAGTGATCTGACAAAGGACCAGGCAGGTGCTTCGGATTAGCACAGCCTGTGGGCAGCGGGAGCCCCAGGCCACCAGGGAAGACCCCTGGCAAGCAGCCAGGAAGCAAGGGTGAAGGACAGAGGCCGGACCACACCCCACGGCCTGGTGCCTTCCAGGGATGTGAGTGTGAAGCCCAGGGCAGAGGGGATGTGGGAAGTGTTGTGGGCCCAGGGGCAGCGCCTCTGGCCACTGGGCTCTATCCCTTTTATACTAAAAACTGTGGCAAAGGTGGGCCAAGGCTGGGCCTCCAGGTGGCCAGTCCACCTGTGTTCATTCCAGGCCACCTTTCTTTCTTTTAATGGTGCTGTGATTGTACCTAGGCCTGGAACACACCAGGCCAGCTCTCTGCCACTGAGCTCTGCCCACAGCCCTGTGGACTCCAAGGCAAGGTCTTGCTGAGCTACGCAGGCTGTCATCCGATTTGCCATCCTCCTGCCTCAGCCTCCCAAATAGCTGGCATTATGGGTGTGTATGGCCGCATATGGCATAGGACCACTTTGCTCATCAGGTACCAGGGATCGAACTCACGACTGCCTGCTTGCAAGGCAGGCGCTTATGCCGCTGAGCTAAATCCCCTCCCCTCTCCTCCGTTTTTGTTTCCAGCCCTGGGACACTGGGCTGGGTGGTGAGGTAAGCAGAGGGGAGGAGACTCCAGTGCTCACACTCACACACTCACACACTCACAGGAGCATGTGCACACAGGATGGAGGCTGTAGGCGCCCCTGTCCCAGCATGGCTGTCAATGATTGACTGGCATTCCACAGCCCACTGCCTTCAGACCCCAGCCTGGTGACCTTTAGAGGTCACCTCCATCAGCCAGAGCCCCGTCCCACTCCTTGTCAGCCGTTACCTCTGCTGCCTGCAGGCCAGGCCCCTGTCACCCATGGTGCTGCCCTCTAACCCGGTCCGGGGTCCTCTGTGACCCACTCCCACCCGCCAACTTCACCCTGCTGGGTTCTTTACAGCCCCCCTCCTCAGGTCCCCTAGGTCTTTGTCCCTCACACGCCCTCTTTCCCGGGCTGCCAGGCCTGGCTGGAGGGACAGTGGCAGAGACGCAGTGCCCGCCCCCCCCCCCCCACAGGGCTTTTCCTCTTCCTTCCTGGCTCTGAATGCCTCCATTCTCTCTGGGAACCTCCTCCCCCATCCCCACTGGGCCCTGGCGGTGGCTCTGTCTTCCCAGCGGCCCACAGTGACCCACACTACCCAGGCATTGTCCACTCTTGCGGGCTCCTCCTGGGATCTGGGCTACCACAGGGTGGCCCGCCTTGGTGGTGGTGGTGGCAGAGGTTGACTCTGTGGAGGCCACCAGGGAGGGGGGTAATGGTCCCCTTCCTTCTTCCCCAGCTCTTCGGGAGCACGTTCTTGGCTCTGCTCGGCCGCCCAGAAAGTCCCTTTGGCCCCTGGAACACAGGTTCCCCGGGTCCACCTCTCTGAAGCCTCCGGGACTCGGACATGGATGAGGAATGTGGCTTTGGGTAGCGGGGCAGGGAGAGGGGTCTGCTTTCCCAGCCGGAGAAACCTCTCTTACAAGGGTCCCAGGGCCAAGACGCTGCTAACTGGGACCCTAACACCCCAACCTGCTGACTGGCTCTGCCTCTCTCCCCGTTGGGGATTGAACCCAAAGCCTTCACTCTGAGCCCCACCCCCAGCCCATTAAGATAAGATTTTACTAAATCCGAAGCCTAGACAGGATATGAACTTGATTCTCCTGCCTCAGCCTCCTGATGAGTTGGGATTACAGGCCTGTTGGCCATAGACAACCGGATGGCCGCACACACACTGTGATCCAGATGCAGCCTCTCCGGCCTGTGACCAGCAGGTGGCTGTCAGCTGGGTCAGGCTGTGTGCTGGCTGACCTACCGTGGGCCCTGGGCTGGAGGAGGGCAGCGTGACGGCCTGGATATGCTAGGGTTCCTCCCTTCCCGCTGACCACAAATATCCTAGGCTGTATGCTTAGCTCTTTTGAACCTGTTTCTCTGGTTTTTTTTTTTGTTTGTTTGTTTTCTTTTTGAGACAGGGTCTAGCCATTTGGTTCAGGCTGGCCTGGAACTCACTTTATAGCCCAGACTGGTCTCAAACTCCGCAAGGATCTTCCTGCCTCTGCCTCCTGAGTGCTGGGATTATAGGCATGCACAACCACGTGTGGTTAAATTTCCCTAATTTTCACCTTAGTGTTGCAAGCAGCTGAGTTAGAAGTATTCTAGGCAGTCAGACAGGCTGGGTCCTCCGTGGGGCCAGATACCTGGCAACTGCCCGGGAGACAGACACTTGTTGTGGGCCAGGCCTTAAGATAAAAGACCAAACTACTGCACCCATGTCCTAAGAATGATGTTCTAAATAGTTCCCCATCACTCTGAGGAAGAAGTCAGGAGTCACCATAGGGACTAGGGAACGCCCTAGGAAGAGTCCCTGCTCTTGAAGAATGCCTGCTTTCTAAGGGACTCGCTCCCCCATTCATTCCTGATGTAATCAGTTTTACCTGAACTATTGATCTTATTGGCTAACTCTAGTTATGTCCCACCTTATGCCCATCTGCCTTGTGAGTTCCGTCTTCCCCCAGTTTGAACCCATGATTTTGCTCTCTAAAACTCCCTAGAAAAGACAGAGTTCTTGGCAACCCACGCAGGACCCCTTCTGTCTCTCTCAGACAGAAGCTTTCTTTCTCTCAATAAATATACTCTCCTCTTAATCTCTGTTGTTCCTAAAATTCTTCAATTTTATTTTATTTTATTTATTTATTTTTTGTCATTTTCCTTTTTATCGGTACCGGGGATCGAACTCACGACTGCCTGCTTTCGAGGCAGGCGCTTATGCCGCTGAGCTAAATCCCCAGCCCCCCAATTTTAGAGAACATGAACTCACAGACATAGTAAGTTGGAAGTTTCATTCCTCTGTATCAGTAACTGGGATTCCAGGGTATGTCTCCCTTTCTGGTTTTTTTTTGTTTTGTTTTGTTTTTTTGTCTTTTTCGTTTTTATCGGTACCAGGGATCGAACTCATGACTGCTTGCTTGCAAGGCAGGCGCTTATGCCGCTGAGCTAAATCCCCAGCCCCTCTTGTTTGTTTTTTACTCTTCTACATTTTGTTTTTTGAGACAGTCTGGCTCTGGAACCTAGGCTGACCTTGAACTCCCAGCAATCAATCCTCCTGCCTCAGCTTCTCAAGTGCAGGGATTCCAGATGTGCTTCACCATACCCAGTTTTCATTCTAGTTCTCAAAAAAAAAAAAAAAAAACAAAAAAAAACCAAGGATTTGGGCTGGGGATTTAGCTCAGCGGCATGAGCACCTGCCTTGCAAGCAGGTGGTCATGAGTTTGATCCCCGGTACTAGAAAAAAGAAAAAAAAAAAGAAGTATTTGGGCTGGGGATACAGATCAGTGGCACAGTGCCTGCCTGGCAAGTGTGAGGTACTGAGTTCGATTCCTGGTACAAAAAAAAAAAAAAAAAAGGAAAAAAGAAAAAGGATTTGGCTTGACTATCTAAATTAAGGAAGAATAGGCCCCTCATTTCCAGGCATGTGCCTTATTTTGTATTTATAACTTTGTGTTCTTTTCTTAACCAGAGTCCCTCAAACTCTGTAAGCTTCAGACCCACCAGAACTGGATCTGCCCCAGTGAGTAACTAAATGCGTTTGCTGAGCAGATATTATGTGCCAGGTACTGGGCTCAGGGCTGCTGAGTGCTACCTTAGCCCCGGAACCCGAGAGCAGCAGAGGCCCGGGGGACTCTGTGCCTCCCCAAGGTCACACAGCTCAAAGGCGACACAGCCGGGTCTCGGTCCTTGGTCCTCGATCCCAGGAGTCTACAGCGCCTGTCTATCCCTTCCTGTCCCCAGTGGGTGAATGGAACTCTTGGACCAGCACTGGTGTTGGCCAGGCTGTAGGGGTCCGATTAGCATCTCCAGGCGCAGATGTGGTAAACAAAAACAAGGAAGCCCAGTGGCGTTTGAATGTCAGATAAACAGCCAGGAATTTGTTAGTGTAAATACATCCCCTGGGATTCGGGGTGGGGAACCCCAGCAGAGCAGGGGAGCAAAACATAACAAAAGGACAACAACTTGGAATGGGTGCTGGGGCCCACGAAGACACAGGAAGCAGGCCCTTCTGGGGACGGGGACCCGCGTGCCTCCCACTTGGCTGTCTCCCCGAAGATTGTGCTTTAAGATTGTGCTTCTCAGGCCAAAGACAGGAGTCCGGGGAGTTGCATTTCGGACAGGACACATCCCTCAGCCCTGGATGTCGTGGATGTCTGTGACTCACTGGAGTTGCCATGGAAAAAACCTCTCTCTCTCTCTGTAGTTCAGGCTGGCCTTGAACTCACTGTGTAGTACAGGCGGGCCTCGAGCTCGCGGGGATCTTCCTGCCACAGCCTCGGCAATGCTGAGATTTCAGGCGTGTGGCATCACACTCGGTCCCTTGATATTCAAACAAATGGGCACGAATGGAGTAGAAAGCAAGCCGGCCAGGAACGTTTGAGCTACAACCCGAGGCTTGGGGCAGTCAGCCCCAAGCCCCGGGCGGAGGGGGGCCGGGCCCACGGTCCCCCGCAGCCCGACCCGGACTCCTCCCCGCGCTCGGGCGGTTCGGGACGCACCGGCGGGCGGGGCGGGAGCGGGCGGCCCCTCCCTGGGCGCTGGAATGCGCGGGGGGCGGGGCGGGGGCTCCAATCCCGGCGGCGGCGGCGGCGGCGCGGGCGGAGGGGGAGGGGAGCTGGCGCGCGCGTCCGGCCCGAGTCGGAGCTGAGATTCGGCGCGGGCCGTGCACCCCGACCCCCGATCCGCGGTCCCCGCGCCCTGCCCGGCCCCGCGCGCGCCATGGGGCCCGGGCCGCGCTGAACGCCATGGAGCTGGCGGCCTGGTGCCGCTGCGGGCTCCTCCTTGCCCTGCTGCCCGCCTCCTCCGCGGGCATCCAAGGTGGGTTTGGGGCGCGCCCGGGGAGGGTCGCCGAGGTCTCCGGTCGGGGTATGTGGGGGCGGGGTCTCCGTGCGCGCGGCGCCGGGGGCGCCCGGAGGGACCGAGTTTCCGGAGCCGGCGGAAAGTTATGCGAGCGCTCGAAAGTTTTCCTCGCGCGCTGCGCTGCGCTGCGCTGCGGGTGCGCGCGTCACCTCGGGTCCCTCTCGCCGGCCGGGAGCTGTGGGGTCCTCGGCAGCCTCCGCCCCCCGAGTTGGCTGCGCCGGACTCCCGGGGTCCCCGCCCTCACCGGCCACCCAGCTCCGTTTCCCCAGCCTGGGGCAGGCCGGAGGAGCGGCAGCGGGGAGGCGACCTGCCCCGGGGATCCAGGGGCGAGCAGCGGTGGCGGGCGGGGCTGCGTGGTGGCCTCCGGCCGGGGTCTGCATTGGGGGAGGGGCCGGGATGTGTTTGGAACGCGTTTCTTCCGAATGTGGGTGCTGCTGGAGTCCCCACATCCCATCTCCCTCCGCGGGCCGAGGATGGAGCCCAGGGCCTCGCACCTGGACAGCGCTGTCCCCTAGAGCTCACCCCAGGCCCGTTGGGAGCAGATTTCTTTAGGCCATCCTCTGGACTGCCTGATCAAGACCGTGGAGGGTGGCGTGGCTGGTTAGGAGCTTTGTGAAGTTGGAGGGTTCCGGGGTGGGGAAGCGAACAGCAGTGAAGCCAGCTGGGGTACACAGAGGCCGGAGTGTGGAGCCACCTCCTCCTCGGGGCCGTGTGGGGGCAGGGTGACCAGCGTGGGCTGTGTGTATCCTGACCCATCTGTCCATCTGTCCCCACCGCGGTAAAAGCGGATAGACAAGCTGCCGCGCCACTCTGCCCCGGCACCTATGTAGGGTTTTGCATGCAAATCTCCCGGGCACCCAAGGAAAGTACTGTTCACACCGCTGGCTTCTGGTGCAGACCTGGAGGTCAAGGCACAGTCAGGAAGCCGCGGGGCCCAGATGGGACTGCAGACCACATGCTGGGAGTCACCTCAGCGGCACGGGGACTGCGGCCACCATCACCGGCTGCGGGGGGGTGGGGGGGAGCGTGTGGGAGCAGCATGTGGTCCCCTCGGCTAGGGAGCCTGGGGAGGCTGTCTACCGGGCCTCCTGGCGGTGCCCCAGGTGTCATCGGTGTGATCCCGTGCAGGTCGGAGGCTGCCTGCCCGGCCGAGGAGGGGGTCCCTGTGTCTATGTGTTGCCAAACTGCAGTTCCTCCCCGCTGACTTGGGGACCCAGGCTGAACTCTGCCCTCCCTGGGAACTCCCTCGAGGGGCCGGGAGGCGGAGAGGCAGTAAACAGCAAACCGGGAAAGGAGGTGGCCCTTCACCCAGGGAGCCCATCCCGCCCCTCTGAGTTTCCCAGGGCTCGGCAGCTTCACCTCCGACCCTGAGGAGCTGGGCGAGGCTGGGCTGGGCCTCGCCCTTTTCACCTTGGCCTGGGGTTGCAGAGCTGGGGAGGGGGTCCCCGCTGGGCACTGCAGGTGCAGGGAGCTGCTGAAGAAGCTGTATGGGGCTGGAGATTTAGCTCAGCGGCATAAGTACCTTGAGTTCGATCTCCGGTACCGATAAAAAAAAAAAAAAAATTGAAGAAGCTGTGTGGCCCCTGGCTGCCTCCTGTACCCCTGTCTGGGGCAGGACAGAAAGGCAGGAGGGCAGGGTTTTCCCTGACGATGTAACCTTAGAGCCTCCCTTTTTTTTTTTTTTTTTTTCTTCTTTCTTTTCCTTTTCCTTTTCCTTTTTTTTTTTTTTTTTTTTTTTTTGTTTGTACCAAGGATCAAACTCATGTCCTCGAGTTTACCAGGTGCTGCTGAGCTAAATCCCTAACCTTGCCTTCGTTTTTAAGAAACTTGTACAGTGCTCTCTGCCTGCCTACTGACTTCCTTCCCTGTGATTGGTGTTTTGTTTGTTTTGTTTTGAGACAGAGTCTTGCTGTGTAGTCCAGGCTACCTCCACTCATTGTGTAGCCCTGGCTGGCCTTGGACTCATAGTGATCATCCTCAGCCTCCCAAGTGCTGGAGTTTTAGGTGTGTGCTGTCACACCCAGCCTGTAACTGATTTTGTTTCCTTTCTGCCCCATCCTTTGACAGAAGTACACAGACCAGGAAAAGCGGGGCACAGGAAGGAAGAGATGCATGGGGCTCCCCAGCTTTCCATTGTTTGGGGAGGAGTAAGGGCTGGATAGTGGCTTGGGGACAGCCAGGTGGCCCCCTGGGAGGAGAAGCGCTAGCTACTACAGAGTGATGTGAGCCCCCAGCCCGGCCCTGCTGGGGAAGGTGGCCCAAAGCCTGGGTCCTCTTGCTTCTGACCCGCCTGGTGTGGCTGTAGGTAGAGGGCAGGAGGAGCGCAGACCTGAGCCACACAGGCTTGCGGTGGGGATGCTGGCCGGGCAGCACTTGGAGCCTAGGCCAGGTGCCTGCCCCTGGTACCTCCCTGTCAAGTGGGAGTTAGGGTTCCAGGGCTGAGTGGAGCAGCTGATGTTGGTGCCACCCCAGCTTTGTTTCCAGACTGCTCCTTGCCCCATCTGCTCCTGTGTGACTCTTGGTTCTCATGGGAGGGACAGGCGGGCGCTGTGTCGAGGTCATGCAGGGTGAGCCACAGTCCTGCTGAGCACTGGGAGGGGGTTGAACCTCTGCCTGGAGGCCTCGGCCATGTGTGGGTCACTGGGTGAGTGGCTGAGCTATGGTTCAGATCCAAAACCCCCAGCGCAGGCCCTGGTGAGACCTGATAGGCCGGGGTTTGTGGTGGGCGAGTCTTGGCATTTCCATTCCAGTATGGCTCTGGCCCCTGACTCAGGGAGAGGGGACCCTGGGGTTGCAGGGACTTCCCTGGGAGTGTAGAGACCGGAGGAAGTATTGGCTTTCATTTGACCAGCAAGCACGGTGCTGGGGCCAAGGCCAGTGCAGAGAGGGAGACCCACCCAAGGGCTCTCGAACGGTGGCCACCAAAGCCCAATGGGGGACATAAAGGGTATAACTAAACTGGGCTTGGTGGCGCACCGCTTTAATCCCAGCACTCCAGAGGCTGAGGCAGAAGGATCTTTGCAAGTTCAAGACCAACCTGGGCTACAAAGTGAGCTCAAGGGGCTGGGGATTTAGCTCAGTGGCATAAGCGCCTGCCTTGTAAGCAGGCAGTCATGAGTTCGATCCCTGGTACCGATAAAAATGAAAAAGACAAAAAAAAAAAAAAACAAAGTGAGCTCAAAGCTAGCTTGAACTGCTTAGCAAGATTCTGCCTTAAAAAGACAACAAATAAATAAATGAAATAAAAAGTGTGACTAACACAGGCATAGCGATGGGTACCGTGACCTCCAATGGACCCTTTAGGTTTGGACTGTCTCTTACACTGTTTTGTTTTTTTGAGGTGAGGTCTTGCTGTGTAGCCCAGGCTCATCTCAAACTCACAGCGATCTTCCTGCCTCAGCCTTCTGAGTACTGGGCTTACAGACATGTGTCACCACACCTGCCTGGTTTGCAGACTCTTGTCTGAATTTCATTCATAGAATCATACAGGAGACACCGGACTCTCAATGGGCCTCTCATTGTCTTTGCTCCAGAGTTAAAGGGTGGTGGTTTCTAAGGACAGGTGACCCCCACGTGGAATTAGGACCTCCTCTGCCCACTGAGAAAATCGATGGCTGAGGGGAGATCGGTGAGGAGGTGGGAAGCTTGGGGGTGGTGGCAGACGTTGGGGATCGATTTTACCACTTGTCTGCAAACACTGTCTTCCTTCAAGGCCTTCAGGTAAACAAACTTGGGCACAGGGCGAGGCTGCCACCCTCTTTGACCTCTGACCTAGCCAGCCACCCTGCCCTGCCTTGAGCCCTTATGTTTGTTGATAGCTTTGGGAGAGTTACTGAGTGTTTACACGTGTGCGTGTGCGAGGTGTGGCTGTTTGTGTGCGTGCAGTTAGGCACCCTGGAAAGAAGGAGGGCTCAATCAGCTAGACCCGAGTTCAAATGCTGCCTCTGCAGCTTGTATTTACAGCCTTGAATCACTCTGACCCCTGTTGTTTCCTTCCTTGTGAATCAGAGATGGCAGCCCTTACCCCTGGAAGGCGAGGAGCAGCTGTCCAAGGGTGCCTGTGCCAGGGGTGCCCAGCTCAGGGCCCCTGGCCCTGGCCACTGTTGCTGTTTTCTGATTGTCTGGCTGGCACAGCTGGGGTTGGGCTCTCTGTCCCTGCCTGGCCAGGGCCAGGGGTCTGGCCTGGAGACAGCTGGGCCTAGGAAGCAGCTGAAGTCCGGAGGCCGGGGGAGGTCCCAGCAGGCAGCGGGCGTTATTTTGGGCCTGGCTGCCACCCCAGGCTCCTATTTCTCCTGGGAGCCTGCGGGGGGGAGGGGTGGGAAGAACAGGGGGTACCTGTGGGTGCAGCTTGGTGTGAGGGGCCGGGGGCTCACCCTCTGTCCTGGGGTGGACCCGGATTCTATTTATGGGCCATTCTTATCCCCTGCTTTCTTTGGTCTGCCCAGGAGTGGAGACAGAAACAGGCCAAGTGACACCCGGAGACCACCAGCGTGGGGCCCTGGGCAGAGAGGGGAGCCCAAGGACTTGCCCTCAGCCTCCCAAGGCTCCTTGGGGCAGGGACAAAATTGGTGCCCCCTAGGATTTGACTGCAGACTCCAAGTTGCCTGACTTCAGGTCTCGAACCTGCGACTCAGTCCCTGAGATCACACAGCCCCTGGGGGGAGGAGCAGGGACCCAGGGAGTTCTGGGCAGCTGGCACCCCAGGGCCTGTGCATCCCAGGTGCCCCCCCCCCTCCTAGGCACGATGAGCTGGTGATTCATCTTCTCACCGGAGCAGAAAAACAAGTTCCACTGGGCCCTTTAATCTCCCCGGATGGCAGGTCTGGTGCTGGCTGTCACCCAGAGCCCCCGCCTAGGCCTTGGCCCCCTGCCGGGAATGGACTTGATGGGTCACCTGTGGTCTGGGGCACCAGGCTGACATGGAGGTGTGACGCTTTGTCTCGTGCCCCCTGGATGCTGGCTGGTGCCAGGCGGGTGCGCAGGGGTGCCGACGTTCCACTCTCGTGGCAGGAGTTTTGTGGCGTGGGTTCTGCCCACAGGCTCTGGAGTCTGGCCCTGAGAAGAGGTGGGGCAAGGTGCTGGTGGAGGAGGATGCCAGCCCTTCCCTGCCCCACAGCGGGGACCCTGAGCTGCAGGGCTGAGGGCCACTCATCCCTGCAGGGGGACCCGGTCCTGGGGTCCCCAGTACCCCAGCTATGGCTCAGCTGACCCTCCTGCCCACTCTGGGTGGCATCATGGGGCGGGCGCCCAGTGTAGGGAGGTGGGCATGTGGGTGTTGAAGCAGCATGGGGTCCAGAGGACTTGTGATTCATGCTCGATCCTCTCGGGGGATATTCACCCTGGCCTGGTGTCCCATCCGGGACAAAGGGAGGCTTTCTTTGCCTGTCGCCTCCTGCGCTGACTGGTGTCCCCTGTGGGTCTCACACTGGGGTCCCTGTGGGTGGGCACGGCCTGGAGCCTGGTGAGCCCCAGAGCCCATGGCGGGGGGGAGCGGTAGGACACTGCACAGTGGGTGCTGGGTGTCCTCCGGACAGCGTCCTACCCATCTGTCCCTCCTGCCAGTGTGCACGGGCACCGACATGAAACTGCAGCTCCCCGCCAGCCCTGAGACCCACCTGGAGATGCTCCACACCCTCTACCATGGCTGCCAGGTGGTGCAGGGGAACCTGGAGCTCACCCATCTTCCCGCCGATGCCAACCTCACCTTCGTGCAGGTGAGGCCCAGGGCCGATGCCATCTTTGGGCAGGATTCCTCCGTGTTGCTGCTAACATTTTTTGTAGCAGTGGTGTTTTTATTGGTTTGCTTTGATTTGGTTTTGGAGACAAGCTCTCTCTCCCAGGCTGGTCTCAAACTTATGGCAATCCTCCTGCCTTAGCTTCCCAGATAGTAGGATGGCAGATGTGCGCCACCACACCTGGGTCTCCACTTGGTTTTGTGCTCCCTTGCCAGCACGGTCCCTCCCCCTGCCCATCTTTCCTGTCACTGACCCTCTCCCAGCTGAGTGTGGAAAGATGGCAGGTGTGGGCTCTGGGCCCAGCTCTGCTGTGGGGCAGCCGTGGGCATGCCCTGTGGACCCTGAGCTCCCTGAGGGTGCCCCTTTCTGCATGTGGGGTTTAGCCAGCATCCTGGAAAGCTGGAGGAAGGTGACAAGAGAGACGTCAGTGGGACAGCAGGGGAGACCAGCTGGCAGGGCTGTGTCCCTGGCTGGGATAGGCCTGGGGTCAGGAGCTTGGTTTGTCACGGGGATCCAGTGTGGGCCTGGCCTTTTATAGACAGGAAGCCATGATGTGGGCTGGGCGGGGCTCGAAGTGTGCCCCAGGCCTTATCTCTCCCAGCAGGTGAGAGTCTGGTGGAGCTGGCTGGGGATCGGCCTCCATTTTGTTTCTGTTGTTTTTTTTGAGACAGTGCCTGGCTGTAAAGCTCAGTCTTAAACTCATTATGTAGCCTAGGCTGGCCATGGTGAATTTACAGAGACCCTCCTGCCTCGGCCTGCTAAGAGCTGGGATTATGGGGTGCACCATCTGGGCCTAGCCCTCCCTCATGGCCCTGCCCTGCCTCCCCAGGATGTCCAGGAGGTACAGGGCTACTTGCTAATTGCCCACAATCGAGTGGGACAGATCCCTCTGCAGAGGCTGAGGATCGTGCGGGGCACCCAGCTCTTCGAGGACAAATACGCCCTGGCCGTGCTGGACAACGGGGACCCTCTGGACAGCGGCACCCCAGCCCTGGGGACTGCCCCAGAAGGGCTGCGGGAGCTGCAGCTCCGGAATCTCACAGGTGGCCCTCAGCATCATTGAAACCTTCTGGGTTCCTGGGAGCGCCCCAGGTCAGCATGTTCCAGACCCTGGGTTCCCCCAGCACTGACTGATAAAAAGGGAAAATTTCCCTTCCATCAGGGATGTCACTGCTTGTGCTAGGGTGCACAATTAAGCCTCACAGTGCGGGCGCGTGCGGGGGGGGGGTGAGCCTCCTGCCTCAGCCTCCCCAGTGCTGGGATGACAGGTGTGTGCTACCACGTCTAGCTTTAGGACCTCTTTTATATTATCTTTTGATTTAATTTTATTTTTTTGCGGTGCTGGGACAGAGCCCAGGGCCTCCTGCATGCTGGAGGGTGCTTTGCCCTAAGCCTCAGCCCTAGCTTGAGAGCTGCCCTTATAACCATCCTGAGGTGGCCTGGGGTGAGGTACAAGGAAGGGAGGTATTTGTGACCCCTAGACGTGCACCCCAGATGTGCCCACTTCCCTGTGAAGCTATAGGTGGGGTCAACTCTTCCCAAAAGGCCTGGGAGGTGGCCCGGGTGACCCGGCCCTGACCTCAGCCCACTCCACAGAGATCCTGAAGGGAGGTATCCTGATTGAGCGGAACCCCCAGCTCTGCCACCAGGACACCATTCTGTGGAGGGACATCTTGAACAAGATGAATCAGAAGGTGCCTGTGCAAGTGGACACCAACCGCTCGAGGACCTGTAAGCCACATCTCCAGCCAACTGTCTCGCCCACCTTCCTACGTCCCCTTTCCCAGCGCCTCCTGCCGCCTCTGTCTCAGTCTCTCCCATTTCTTCCCCCCCGCCTACTTCTAGCTGCTGCTTCTGGGCTCAAGGACCCTTTCTCCAGAGTCACTGTATAGTCCAGGCTGGTCTTAACCTTGTGGCAGTCCTGCTGCCTCAGCCTCCTGAGTGCTGCACTGACAGGCACGCACGCCCCCTCACCCGGTGCTGCGTGCGCCCACTTCCCTGCCCTCTGTCGCCCACTACCTCTCTCTGCCTCTCTCCCAGGCCTGCCCTGCTCCCCGGCCTGCAGAGCCCCCTACTGCTGGGGAGGAAGCCCCCAAGACTGTCAGAACTGTGAGTCTGGAGCTGGCTGGGTGGAAGGGTGATTAGGGGCCCAGGCAGCTGCCTGGGTGTGCCAGGATCTGGACATCCCCATCTTTAGGTGGTGCTGGCAGTGATGTGGTACCTAGCTCCTGCCCACCCTCACCCCATCCTTTGCCTCCCAGTGACCCGCACAGTGTGTGCTGGCGGCTGTGCCCGCTGCAAAGGCCCGCTGCCCACGGACTGCTGCCATGAGCAGTGCGCGGCAGGCTGCACAGGCCCCAAGCATTCCGACTGCCTGGCCTGCCTGCATTTCAACCACAGCGGCACCTGTGAGATGCACTGCCCGGCCCTGGTCACCTACAACACCGACACTTTTGAGTCCGTGTCCAACCCCGAGGGCCGCTACACCTTCGGCGCCAGTTGTGTGACCACCTGTCCCTGTGAGTGCCAGTGGTGGGGTGGGCAGGAGCACCGGGAGCCTGCGGGTCCCTGGCCTTGGAGGCCGATCCTGAGCTGCTGGGCTCTTTGGATGGCTATGGAGCAGGTGGCACTTCCTCATCGTGCCACTGTGTTGCCGTGCCTCGATTTCCTTCTCTGGAAAATGGGAGCTGGGCGTGGGCATGGTGGTTCATACTGATCATCCCAGCGTGCTCAGGAGGCTGAGGCAGGAGGATCACTGCAAGTTCAAGGGCAGTTTGAGCTACATAGTGAGAGCTTGTTCCAAAGCAAAACAAATAATTTATCATAACACTATCTAGGGTGACATTATTTTGTGTTGCTGTTTTTTGTTTGTTTTTTTGCGGTACTGGGGATTGAACTCATGACCTTGGGCTTGCTAGGCAGGTGCTTATGCCGCTGAGCTAAATCCCCAGCCCTAGGGTGACATTATTTTACAGTGAGGGTCCCCCCCCCTTTTTATCTGTCTCTGAACAATTATGAATCTAAGAAGATTAGGGTAAATTGTTTTTTTGGTTTTGGTTTTTGTTTTCTTGGTATTGGGAATCAAACTCATGACCCTGTGCTTGCCAGGTAGGTGCTGTGCCGCTGAGCTACATTCCCGCCCTAATAGATGGTTTTCTAAATTAAATTTCAGTTTCAAGTTTATATTAGCTTAAAGGGATATGGTAACTCCACAGTCGTGTTTACGCAGCCTGAGACATAGGCATACCAGGTGATCATCACTGTCTTCTATGTGGCATACGACAAAAAAGTTATCCCCCCCCCCCCACAGAGTTGAATGGTATGATTTTTGGGGTTTTCTTTCTTTTTTTGAGACAGGGACTCACTATGCAGTCCAGGCTGGCCTTGAGCTCACTTTGTAGCCCAGGTAGGTCTTGAACTTGAAATGATCCTCCTGTCTCAGCCTCCTGAGTGCTAGGATTACAGATGTGCATCAGACCTGGCTTCAATACTATGATTTAATGGTTAAACATGTGATGGTTTAAATTCTCATTTGACTGAGAAATAGAAATATGCATTTAACAGTGAATGCACTTACCTGCTTTATTTTTATTTATTTTCACCAGTTTTTTATAATTTACTTTGAGACAAGGTCTCACCTAGTCAATCAGCTAGTCATACGAGGTTTTAATTTGGGACCCTCCTGCCTCAGCCTCCCAGAGTCCTGGGATGACAAGTGTGCAGCACCACACTCAGCTTTCGGTGTCCTCTTCTACAAGATCAACACTTACTGCCTATTATACGCCTGTGAGCGTCACATAGCGACACTGACAGACAATACATGCTTCTGTCTCCACAGACAACTACCTCTCCACGGATGTGGGCTCCTGCACACTGGTCTGTCCCCCAAACAATCAGGAGGTGATGAAGGACGGGACCCAGCGCTGTGAGAAGTGCAGCAAGCCGTGTGCCCGAGGTGCCCACCCTACGCCCTGCCTCCTGTGCTCTGCTGGTGTGGGGAGGGACCCTGAGCCCAGGCCAGGCTGAACCTCTGCCTCCCACCTCACAGTGTGCTACGGGCTGGGCATGGAGCACCTCCGCACTGCCAGGGCCGTCACCAGCGCCAACATCCAGGAGTTTGCAGGCTGCAAGAAGATCTTCGGGAGCCTGGCGTTTTTGCCGGAGAGCTTCGAGGGGTGAGAGTGGGCTATGTCTGATGCCCCAGATAAGGCTTCGCATTGCTCTCTGGGCTCTAGGGACAGAGGTGAGGGGCGGAGAGGCAAGGAGCTGGCCAGGCAGGGGTTACCTGAATGCCGCCTTGCCGGTGAACTTGGTTTTCAGTGGTGATCGCTGCAGCCAGATAAGGTCATGTTCTCTTGAGTTCATTCCAGCCACTTCTGCCTTAAAAAACAGCCTCCTAGTGGAAAAGCCCCATGTGAGTGTCGGGGTCAGTGGGTAAATAAATGGTGATTTATTGTACCACGGAATCCTCAGCAACACCAAGAAAGGAATTTCCAGTAGGGCTGGGGTGGTGACGCACACAGGAGGCTGAGGCAGGAGGATCATTGGGAGTTTGAGACCAGCCTGGGCTACAAAGTGAGCTCAAGCCCAGCCTGGACTGCATAGGGAGACCCTGTTTCAAAAAGACAAAAATGATAATGATAATAGTAATAATAATGCTCTGAGGACTGTGCCTAGCAGGTACTGAATGCTCCTGATGTTAGTTTTCATCCTCCAGCCGGGTAGACTTGGGCCAGTTTCCGGCTTTGCTCCTGCAAACAGTCCTGCCTTGTGCACACCTCTGGCGACAGCCGCTGTCCTTCTGGGCTGCGTTCTTAGAAGGAAGATTTCGAGTTCAAAGGACACAAGTGCTGTTTTAACAGATCCTGCCAGGCCAGGGCCAGGGCAGGGCTCAGCCCAGTGGGCGAAGGGTTGCGTGGACAGTGCTGGCAGTGGTGCGGCTTGGAGGTGGCGCGGGCCCCTTAATTCTTCCTGGTCCTTCCAGGGACCCCACCTCCAACACGGCGCCCCTGCAGCCCAAGCAGCTCAGTGTGTTTGAGACCCTGGAGGAGATCACAGGTAGGTACATCCTCTGTGTCTCACCTTCCTGGCTGGGCTGGGCCCACCCTGTCCCCACGCCCCTAGCGGCTTCCTCTGCCGGCAGGTTACCTGTACATCTCTGCATGGCCCGAGACCATGCAGAACCTTGGTGTCTTCCAGAACCTGCGGGTCATCCGGGGGCGCATTCTGCACAAGTGAGAACCAGGGGATGACGGGAGATGGAGAGTGGGGGGAAGCCCCAGGGAACCCCCTAGAGGGAGGGGCATGGGGGCAGGGCCTGGGCTGGGCTCCGAAGCTGAGACCCCTCCTCCACAGCGGTGCCTACTCACTCACCCTGCAAGGCCTGGGCCTCCGTTGGCTGGGGCTGCGCTCCCTTCGGGAGTTGGGCAGCGGCCTGGCCCTGGTCCACCACAATCCCCACCTCTGCTTCGTGCACACGGTGCCCTGGGACCAGCTCTTCCGGAACCCACACCAGGCCCTGCTGCATAGTGGCAACCGGCCCGAGGCCGAGTGCGGTAAGAGGAAGGGCCCACCAGCTGGACCCCGGAGTCCAGGCCCCACTGCAGTCCACCGGGCCTGTGTGTGTGACTTCCAGCTGGGCCCTGCCACCCCGAGTGGTATCCCACCTTCCCCTGCCCACTGTACTGCGATCGCAGGACGCTTCCCCTCCCGCATGGCCCTGCACCTGCGTCCTGGTTGCGGGGTGGGGTAGAGGGTCTCCTCTGAGTGCCCTGTGGCCCCGTCCTCCCTGCAGCTGCTGAGGGCCAGGCCTGTGACCCACTGTGCGCTCATGGCCACTGCTGGGGACCGGGCCCCACCCAGTGTGTCAACTGCAGCCAGTTCCTCCGGGGCCAAGAGTGTGTGAGGGAGTGCCACGTCCTACAAGGGTACGAGGGGCCGCCGAGGGGCAGTGAGGGGACATCGGTGTCCCCCAGGCTCCTCACTGCCACCCGTTGTCTCAGGCTGCCCCGGGAGTATGTGAATGACAGGCACTGCCTGCTGTGCCACCCTGAGTGCCAGCCCCAGAATGGCTCTGTGACCTGCTTTGGATCGGTGAGGAGCCGGGGCTTAGGCTGGAGTCGGGTGCACATACACGGGACCCCGAAAACCTGGATGGCAGGAGGAAGTGGGGGCAGAGCCTGGAGTGGGACACCTGGCTAGTTTGCTGGCCCCGGTTCCCTGGGGTCCCAAAGGCCAGGGCGTCCTGGACTCCGTGGGTTCAGGGTCAGCCTCGGTTTCTGCCTCACATAGCGCATGTTGTAACCGTTCCTTCCTCGTTGGGTGTGGCGGGAAGGGACTCAAACGGCCTGGCACGGCGCCTGGGCATGCAGTTGTTGCTGTTGTTGTCCGTGTCGCACCTTGGGTGTTACACGGCCCTGGCCGAGCACTTCCGATTCCCAGGTCAAAGCTCTGAGCTGGGACTATGGCTCAAAGGCGGGGTGCTGGTGGGGGGTGCACTGGGACTGTGGAGCCCGAGGTCCGACTCAGCAGTGGGGCACAGCGACGAGGAGTGGTCAGGGGAGAATGAAGGGCACTGGGCCTGCCATCCGGGGTGTCAGTGTCAGCCCCCCTCCTCTCCTTTCCCCCAAGGAGGCTGACCAGTGCGTGGCCTGTGCCCACTACAAGGACCCTCCCCTGTGTGTGGCCCGCTGCCCCAGCGGCGTGAAGCTTGACCTCTCCTACATGCCCATCTGGAAGTTCCCGGATGAGGAGGGCACCTGCCAGCCCTGCCCGATCAATTGCACCCATTCGTGAGTCGGGAGGGCGGGGAGGAGGATGGGGCGGCACTTTCCTGAAAGCAACCTGCTCGGACTTTTACTGTGAGCAGGAAAGATTGCTTTTGCTTTCCTTTCCCAGAAACTTCATCGTTCATGTATTTTTTCTAGTCAGAACAAGGATCACCGTAAACACTTATGCTGCTGGGTGCAGTGGTGCACAGCTCTTAGCCCAATGCTTGAGAGGCTGATCACTGCGGGTTCAAGGCCAGCCTGGGCTCCAAAGTGAGACCCTGATTCAGAAAGCAGAGCAAACAAAATACTAGTTTGACACACGAGGCTGGGTGTAGTGGCTCACATCCATAATCCCAGCACTTGGGAGGCTGAGGCAGCAGGGTCCCTGGGAATTCGAGACCAGCCTGGGCTACAAAGTGAGTTCAAGGCCAGGCTGAACTGCATAGTGAGACCCTGTCTCAAAATTAAAAAAGAAAGAAAGAAAAAGAAACAAGAAATTGACACACAAAATATAAATTAGTGCTGGGAATTTAGCTCAGTGGCCTAAGTGCCTGCCTGGCAAGCCTGAGGTTGTGAGTTCAATCCCCAATACCACCAAAAAAATAAAAAAATACAGATTGGGTTGGGGATTTAGCTCATCAGCATAAGCTCCTGCCTTGCAAGCACACAGTCCTGAGTTCAATCCCTGGGACCAAAAAAAAAAAAAAATATATATATATATATTTTATATATATATAAATTATATATTTTTTATATATATAATTTATATATATATAAATTAGTGTGTAAAAAAATTAGTGTGGCTACTCCCATTTTATTTTTAGTACTTTGGGATATTTTCTCCTGGTGTTTATTTATTTATTTTGGTGATAGCTGAGGGTTGAACTCGAGGCCTTTGCACTGAGATACATTCCTAGACCTACTTTATTTTTTATTTTGAGACAGGGTCTTGCTGAGTTCCAAGGGTTGGACCCCAGTTTGCCACCCCCCTGCCTCAGCCTCCCGGAGTGCTGGGATTACAGGCTTGCCCCACCATGCCTGGCTGCCCGCCCCCTTTATTGCAGCTCCGCTCCCTGTATAGGTGCATGCTGTGCATGCCCCCTAGGTTACTGGTGTGGTCAGTTTGGAGCATGCACTAAGAGCCGGACTTTGAGGCCTTCCTTTGATGTCCTTTCACTGATAGACCATGGGGATCAGAACCCAGGGCTCCTGTGCAGGGCACGTGCTCAACCCAAGTGCACCCATTTTTTTAGAAAGAGCAGAATATATTGAGGGGAAAGAAAAGCTTTCATCTTGAGAGACAGAAGGGGTCCCACCCCCTTACTTAACAGGTGCTGCCAGGCGATTCACAGTGCCGGAGCTTTACCCAGAATGTTATGGAGGGAACAACTGGTGCCCCAGCTGGCACACCTGGGGCTCTCAGGCCAGACAGGGCTGGCCTGCTGGGGTCCCGGAGCACTGTGGCCTCAGCTCAGTGCTGCCTTTGCCCAAATGCCCGTGATCCCTGGCCACACCCATACAGAGGACGTGGCCATGCTGGCTGATGCCGCTGTCTCTCCTGCAGCTGCGTGGACCTGGATGACAGGGGCTGCCCAGCTGAGCAGAGAGCCAGGTGGGCCTGGGCCCAGAAGAACCCCATGCCGTCCCCGCCCATTCCTGGTGGTCACTGTGGCCATGACACCATCCCTGCCCAGCCCCCTTCCCCACCTGGGGTGTGGGGAAGGGAGCAGCCTCCAGGATGAGGCTCCTGGGAGTGGTCTGGGGGCTGTCTGGGCTCCACTGTGGAGGCAGTAGGGAGCCATGGCAGGTGTCAGAGCATGGACCAGAGGGTCAGAGCTGTGGGTCGCCCTTCCCACCTCCCTTTCCAAACGCCAGGGAAGTTCGATCCCAGCACGAGTCCCTCTGAACCCCTGTCCCAGTCTGGTACCCATCCCTGACCCTAGCCCCTGCCCCCAGCCCTGTGACGTCCATCATCGCAGCCGTGGTCGGCATCCTGCTCTTTGTGGTCATGGGCGTGGTCGTCGGCTTTGTCATCAGACGCAGGCGGCAGAAGATCCGAAAGTACACTATGCGGCGGCTCCTGCAGGAGACTGAGGTGAGGCAGCCTCCGCCTTTGGGTGCCAGGTCTGCGCGGCCGGCCTGGCACTGACCCACCGTGCTCTCCTTGCAGCTGGTGGAGCCGCTCACGCCCAGTGGGGCGATGCCCAACCAGGCTCAGATGCGGATCCTCAAGGAGACGGAGCTCAGGAAGGTGAAGGTACTCGGATCCGGAGCTTTCGGCACCGTCTACAAGGTCAGGGGCTTGGGAGGGGCAGAAGTGGGTGGGGGTGGTGCCGTTTGTAGGGAGCAGGATGTCCAGTGACCGGGCCCCAGCTGTGACCCCCATGTACCCCTCCCTCACATCTCCTCTTCTTCAGGGCATCTGGATCCCTGACGGGGAAAACGTGAAGATCCCAGTGGCCATCAAAGTGTTGCGGGAGAACACATCCCCCAAAGCCAACAAGGAAATCTTGGACGTGAGCCCCTCTGCCCTCCTGGGGGAGCCTGGGGGGCCCCCAGCTGTGGTCTCATCTGTTCTCCTGGCGGGGGTGTGGGTCCTGCTCCTGCTCATTGTACCCCCCATCCCCAGGAAGCCTACGTGATGGCCGGTGTGGGTTCCCCCTATGTTTCCCGTCTCCTGGGCATCTGCCTGACATCCACGGTGCAGCTGGTGACACAGCTCATGCCCTACGGCTGCCTGCTGGACCACGTCCGGGAGCACCGCGGCCGCCTGGGCTCCCAGGACCTGCTCAACTGGTGCGTGCAGATCGCCAAGGTAGGCCCCGTGGGGAGCAAGCCCCGGGGGTGCAGGGTGACAGGGAGGGGTACAGGGGGTGAACATCCATGGGTGAGTGCCAGGGCTCCACTCAGTGCCTGTTCCTGTCCAGGGCATGAGCTACCTGGAGGATGTGCGCCTGGTGCACAGGGACCTGGCTGCCCGCAATGTGCTGGTCAAGAGCCCTAACCATGTGAAGATCACGGACTTCGGGCTGGCACGGCTGTTGGACATCGATGAGACAGAGTACCACGCGGATGGGGGCAAGGTCGGGGGACAGCGGGGCCAGAGCGGGCAGGGTGTGGGGGCATGGCCCCTGGGAGGTGTCTGGGGAGTGCCACCCCCTAGCTGGAAGGCTGCCATCTCGTCCCTCAGGTGCCCATCAAGTGGATGGCCCTGGAGTCCATCCTGCGCCGGCGTTTTACCCACCAGAGTGATGTGTGGAGCTACGGTGTGTGGGCTGAGGCGCAGCGAGGGACCTGGAGGGGAGGAGAAGGGAGAGGGAGGCGAGGCGAGGGGATGGCCGGCTGCCCATGCCCACCCAGTTCCTGACGACTCTTCCTCCTCCCTGGTCCCAAAGCACCCCTGATCCTGACGGTTCTTTCTGCCCTAGGGGTGACGGTGTGGGAGCTGATGACTTTTGGGGCCAAACCCTATGATGGGATCCCGGCCCGCGAGATCCCCGACCTCCTGGAGAAGGGCGAGCGGCTGCCCCAGCCCCCCATTTGCACCATTGACGTCTACATGATCATGGTCAAATGTGCGTGGAGGGGCGGGGGCTCAGGGACCTGGCACGGGTCAGATCACCAAGTGGATTTGCAGAACCCTTAGTGGAGGTGTGGGGGCGCTCTAGGCTAGAGGAAAGGCTCTGGAGAGACTGCACAGTTCAAAAGCAGGGAAGCAAACCAAGCCTGTAATCCTAACACTCAGGAGGCTGAAGCAGGAGGGTAGAGGCCAGCCTGGGATACATAGTGAGACCCTGTTTCAAGCAAACAAAATCGGGGAAACAAATAATCATACACTGGAGTTCACAGTGTAATGTGGTTCTGCCTCTTTGCCATGTGAGGGTTGTCCCGACCCCAGAGGGTGCGAAGGCAGAGGTGGTCAGCACCTGGGCATCCAGGAGGAGGGTGCTGAACCCTCTCCCCCCCCAGGTTGGATGATCGATTCTGAATGTCGGCCTCGATTCCGGGAGCTGGTGGCTGAGTTCTCCCGCATGGCCAGGGACCCCCAGCGTTTCGTGGTCATCCAGGTACCCAGCCTTCCCACCGTCCTGTGCAGGGTGGTAGAGGGCACCCGAGAGCCCCCACGCCAGGCCCCCCTCCTGCCCTCCCAGGGGTTGCCACCTCATCCCCTGCCTCCCTAGAATGAGGACCTGGGCCCTACCAGCCCCTTGGATAGCACCTTCTACCGATCGCTGTTGGAGGACGACGACATGGGAGACCTGGTGGATGCTGAGGAGTACCTGGTGCCCCAGCAGGGGTTCTTCTGCCCTGATCCCAGCCCAAGCACTGCGGGCAGCACCCACCGCAGGCACCGAAGCTCTTCTACCCGGGTCAGTGCTGGGACACCAGGCTGGTGGTTTGCTTGCCCTGCCCCATGCACTAGGATCCCTGTTCCCACTGTGCCCTGACCAAGCCCCTCTGGGAGACCCTGTGACCCAATTCTCTCCATCGTGACCATAATGGTCACTCCCAGTGGTAACTCTGCTGCTCTTCCAGAGACCCTCCTCAGGCTCACAAGTGGCCCTGTTATCATGAACTCATCCCCTTTCTTTTCTGCCCCCAGAGCGGTGGCGGGGAGCTGACACTGGGGCTAGAGCCCCCCGAAGAGGAGCCACCCCGGTCCCCACGGGCCCCCTCAGAAGGGGCCGGCTCTGACGTGTTCGAGGGTGATGCGGGAATGGGGGCAGCCAAGGGGCTGCAGAGCCTCCCTACACATGACCCCAGCCCCCTGCAGCGGTACAGTGAGGACCCTACAGTCCCCCTGGCCCCGGAGACGGATGGCTACGTTGCCCCACTGACCTGCAGCCCCCAGCCTGGTATGGAGTCCAATCTGGGATGAGATAGAGATGGGGAGGTGGGGCCCCTCACTCAGGCCGGGGGATACTCCAGTTCCCACCCCTAATAGTCCCTTTTGCCCTTTCAGAATATGTCAACCAGCCCGAGGTCCAGCCACAGCCGCCATCACCCCTAGAGGGTCCTCTGTCCCCCGTTCGGCCTGCCAGTGCCTCTCTGGAAAGGCCCAAGACTCTCTCCCCTGGGAAGAATGGGATTGTCAAGGATGTTTTTGCCTTTGGGGGTGCTGTGGAGAACCCTGAGTACTTGGCACCCCGGGGAGGTGTCCAGCCCCATCCTCTGCCCACCTTCAGCCCAGCCTTTGACAACCTCTATTACTGGAATCAAGACCCACCAGAGCGGGGGTCTCCACCCAGCACCTTCGAAGGGACCCCTACAGCAGAGAACCCGGAGTACCTGGGCCTGGACGTGCCTGTGTGAGCCAGGAGGCCGCGCGCCAGGACCTGCACGAAGGAACCTTGCTGTTGCTTGGATTCCCAGGCAGCCGAGCGGGTGCCCTCAGCCTGGCTGCTGGAGGGGCAGCATCACAAAGTCTCTGGATTTGGAAGTCACCGAACTCGGGGCAGGCTGGTGACCACCACACCCCAGCGTCCTCACCGAGGCAGCAGTCCCACCAGGCCCTCTTCCAATCCTTGGTACTGAACTGAGAGGCTGAGCCGAGGAAGGAGGTGGCCCCACAGGGTGGCAGAGAACAAGCCGGCCACTGGGAGCCCGAGACCCAAGGCCACCTCCAGGAGGACCAGCACCAGCGCCCAGACCAGCCCTGTACAGGGTGTTTTTTTGTTTCGTTTTTACTTGTTTTTTAAAGATGAAATGAGGACTCTGAGGAAGAGCAGTGTTGTGTGTGAACAGGGTTGCCCCGGGGCTGAGGGAGGGATGGCCCTCCCCTCACCCACTTTGTCCATTTGCAGACAGGTTTTGAAGAGCATCTGGGCCCAGTCTTCTCTGGGGCAGCTCAGTGTCAGGCCCCACTGCCCACTCTGCCCATAGCCCACTTCTGGAGAGGAGGTGGCTGGGGTCCCTGGGCCAGAAAGCCAGTTCCCACCCCCACCCCATCCCTGGCATAGGGCTGCAGGATCCTGGAACTCGGGGATTTGTTGTGAGAGTCCGCAGGTAGCCAGTCACCCTTGTTTGGTCAGACTCATTCCAAAGTCCTCCCCTAGAATGGGGTTACTTCTTCCTGGTGGACCGCAGGAGTCAGGCATGGTGGGGACGATGGGATGACAGGCAATGTCTGTGTGACTCAGTTTCCTGGCCTTGCTACAAGCAGCTGCCCCATCCAACAGTATAGAGGGCTGGTTGCCCTTGGTGCCCTCCACGCTACAGGACAGGCTGGGTAAACACACACCCCCTTGGCCAGAGTGTTGAGTACCTCTTTATTGCCAGCAGCTGGTATCACCCAGGGCTCAGAGGACATGAGTTAAGAGCCACTGCAGGCTCTGACAAGTACTGCCAAGTACTGGGAGAGGGCTTGGACTCATGGGACACCAAACCCAGAAAGGGGGTACAGGGTGCTTGTGGAAAGCCCACTGAGAGTGCCATTCCTAACTCCATGGCCACAAGAACTCTTCTTCTGTGCCCAAAAGGGCAACACAGAGGCCAGCGTCCCTCAGCTTCCCAGTGCTAAGTGAAGGGAAAGAGGTGGGCGAGGGTGCTCCCAGCAGGACCCAGGGAAGCCAAAGCATGGACCCCAGAACTTGGAGCAGTCATAGGATGACGCAGGGTGGGCGGCTGTTGGTGATCTTCTCCAGGGGTTCTCCATTACTCGCTCTGCGAATGGCCTCGATGAGCTAGATGGAGGCAGACAAGGGCAGAGATGGGTAACAGTGTGGTACATGGTAGGGGTCGGGGGTCTCGTGTCCCACCCAGTATTTCGAACACTCACATCTTTCTCGTACGGGAAGCCCCCATTCTCTAGCTTGGAGAACACCAGCTGTCCATTGATCTCGATCTCAAATGCCCCTAGGGGGGAATAAACACATTGGGTGGTGCTGCAGAGACCAAGGCACAGGTCAGGGGAGGTCCCTATGAGCCCCATCAGAGACCCTGGAAGAGGTTACCCCAGGTGACTCCAAAATACCTGAGGGACCCATGTGTCCCATCTCTATGAAGGGCTCCTCCTCTTGAAACCTGCGCTAGCGCCATCAGCTTTTTTGGGGAGACATAGTCCAGCATTATAGTTCAGACTGGTCTCTTAACTGTGATCCTCCTGCCTCAGCCTCCTCACTGCTGGGATCCAAGCCCAGATATTGCCAACAGCTTTCTCCCCACCAGGCCTCGTCTGTGGCCTCCTTGCCTTGGGAAGGGGCCTCGCGTCCCGGTTTTGCTATGTGCCAAACGCCGCCAGGCACCTGACTGGCGCGGCCCATGTCCGAGCTAGCGCGGCAGCGCCGGGGTTCTGGGCACAGGCTGGCCCCGCGGGCGATCGTGGCGCTCACCCGTGCCCCCGAGGCGCGACTCGATCTGGATGCCCGGGTACTGCTCCTTCACGGCGCTCGCCAGCTCCAGGTAGGTGGCCTCGAAGCCGCAGGGCTCACTAGGGAAGAGACGCGGGTGGGCTGGGTCTCGCGGAGGGGGCCCATGCAGCCGCATCCGTCCCTCCCGGGGCACGCGGGGACGCGCCCGCCGCAGCCGCTCACCAGTACTCCACCACGATGCGGACCCCGCTGCCCGGTTCCACCTCCCCGGGAGGGCGCGCCACGGACAGCTCCCCAGGCTCCCCGCTCATTGCTACCGGCTGCGCTCAGCCGCCACTTCCGGGTGTGACGCCACGCCGCAGGCACGTGACGGGGCGGGGCAGGCCGAGCGCTGCGCTCGCGCGCCCCCTGCAGGCTGCAGCGAATGTTGCTTTCGAATGCGGCCCCTCGCAGAGAGCTCACGTCTGTGACAGAGATCTCAGCCCAGGAACCCAGTTCTCTGGGCCTCAGGGCCTCGCTTGAGCTCAGGAGCCACCTTGGACTGCAAAGCGCTTTCCAGTCTAGAAAAGGAAAGTTATGGGACGAGCAGCCTGGGGATGAGCCGGCTGGTGGAGAGTTTGCGAATGTTGTCTTGCTAACATGTGGATGAAATTTTATTTAAAATTTTACTTTATAATTTATTATTTTGGTGCTGGAGATTGAATCCAGGGGCACTCTGTCGCTAATCTAAGTCCCCAGTCGTACTTACTGTTTTTTAATTTAGAGACAGGTTCTTGACAAGTTGCCCAGGCAGGCTTGGAACTTGGTGATCCTTCTGCCTCAGCCTTCCAGAATGGTGGGAATCACAGGCATGCGCTACAATGTAAACTATTCCGTAGTTACGCACTAAAGTTCTTCTAACTCCCAAGTGCTAAACTGTGCTTTTCCCAAACTTTTTCAACTACCTCTTCTCTGCACTGGGGAACTTCAGACTGGGGGTTCACAGCAGGGCGCACCTCCCCAGGCTTCTGTTAATTCTTTTTTTTTTTTTTTTTTTTTTTTTTTTTTGTCTTTTTCTCTTTTTATCGGTACCGGGGATTGAACTCACGACCACCTGCTTGCATGGCAGGTGCTTATGCCGCTGAGCTAAATCTCCAGCCCCCTCCCCAGGCTTCTGGCCCCATCTCTTGCACCTATTTCTTGCACACCCTGCCTCCTCCCAGCATTGTTAGTCTCTGCAACTCTGCAACTCTGGAGGGGACACATGAAACTCCTGGCTGCCTGTCCCTGCCCAGGGGCCCCTCTGGTACCCCAAAACGCCTCCACTCGGCCACCTTTTCCTTTTAAACAATGCAGTGATGTGTAGTTGTGCAGTCAGTACCACGAACCAGTCACAAAACATTGCTACCACCTAATGAGGCCCTTCCGGCCTGGTTGCAGTCCGTCTGGACCCAGCTCCAGCCCTGGGCTGTCCCGCATCCTCTGGAACCACCTCTGCTGGACAGGTCCGGCAGGTGGAACTGAACCAGGCCAGGCCTTCCACTTCCTGCTTCCTCGCTCAGTGGAACGATTTTCTGAGGAACCCCATCCTACCAGCAGTAGTTCTTTTTTATTGCCAAGTAGTATTCCATTACAAGGATTAGCATGCTTTGTTTATCTGCTTACCAGGTGGTGCACGCTGGGAGCTGGAATACGGCCGCCGTGACTGTTGTGTGGTGTCTGTGACAATCATGTGGGTGTCAGTGTGTTGATGAGAGCTCCTTCCTTTGGGGCAGACTCATAGGAGTAGTTCCAGATTCTATGGGACGTTTGCATTGAACCTTTTAAGAAATTAACCGACTGTTTTGTGAAGTGGCTCCCCATCTTACGTTCTGGCCTGGAACACGCACGACATAGGAGCATTCTGTTACTCAGTGTCCTTGAAATATTTGCCTGTCTTTCTTTGCCTCTGCCTGTGTCTCTCACCTTCTCACTGGAGACTGAACCCAGGGCTTTCCTATTGGGGTTATATCCACAGCCCATTTGTATTTTTTTTTTTTTTTTTTTTGTCTTTTTCGTTTTTGTCAGCACCAAGGTTCGAACTCACGACTGCCTGCTTGCAAGGCAGGCGATTATGCCGCTGAGCTAAATCCCCAGCCCCTACCCATTTGTATTTTTGAGACAAGATCTTTCTAAATTGGCCAGGCCGGGCTTGAGCCTTCAATCTTCCTGCCTGTGCCTCCCAGAGTACTGGTATTACAGATGTGGGACACTCTGCCTGTCTCACAGCCTCATTTATTGAAAAGACTCTTTTATTGCCAAGTATGGTGATATATACCAATGTCCCAGCTACTCAGGGGTAACCTGAATTGCAGATCCCCTGGACACTGAGAAAGATGATAAAAAACAGGGTGGGGATGTAGCTCAGGGGTACAGCACTTGCCTAGAAGGTGTAAATTCCATTCCTAGTACTGCAAACAAAACAATAGAAACACGACAATCTGCTCTTTTCCTATTAAATCATCTTGGGACCTTTGTCAAAAATGTACTGCCCAAACCGGGCATGGTGACAAATGCCTGTAGCCCCAGCCCTCAGGAGGCTGAGCAGGAGGATCACTGTGGGTTTGAGTCCAGCCTGGGCTATGAAGTGAGTGCAAGGCCACCTGAACTGCACAGTGAAATTCCGTCTCAAAACAAAACCAACAGAACGTGCTGCCCAGAAATGTAAGCGTTTGTTTCTGAACTTAGTTCTGTCTCATTCATCTACATAGACAGCTCCTGACTTAGAGATGTATGATTTTTCAGCTTTACATGGTGTGAGTGCAAGCAGGATCCAGTAGAAACTGGTAGTTAGGTGCTTTGTTTTGTTCCAGTCCTAAGCACTGAACCTGGGGAATTCTGCCCACTGAGCTCCATCCCCAGCCTTTGTAATTTTTTTTAAATTTTATTTTGAGACCAGGCCTCCTTAAGTGGCCAAGACTGGCCTTGCACTTTGGGCCTCCGGAGTGGCTGAGAACACAGGTGTGCACATCACACCTGGCCAGGTTGGCTGTGTATTAAATGCAGTCTCAACTGACAATTGGTTATTGAGTCGTAACCTCATGAATAAGCAGCATCTCTCAATGTATTCTTTTTTTATTGCTTCTTTAATGAACAAATTCAAATATAATTTATACACAGTGAAAATTCAGGGTGCAGGGCTAGGGATTTAGCTCAGCAGCATAAGCACCTGCCTGGCAATCATGAAGTCATGAATTTGATTCCAGTACAAAAAAAAAAAAAAAAATCATGGTGAATGACTGTAACTGTCAACACCCAGAAGGCTGAGGCAGGCGGATTTCGATTTCAAGACAGCCTGGGTACATACTAGGTAGAAGGCTGGCTGAGCTACAGAATGAGGCCTGTTTCCAAACGAAAACAAAAGCAAAAGCATCCTTAGTGGGCTGCTCTGGGAGTCCTGACATGCATACCCAGTCAGTTGTGCGGCTACCTTGGTGCCTGAAACAGAGCAGCCCTGTGACCTCCCATGAATCCCTGCACCCCACCTGCCAACCTCTCCCTCCTTCTCAGCCCCAGGTCTGTGTTTCTTTCCCTTTTTTTTTGAGGATCTCACTCTGTAAACCAGGCTGTCACTCTATAACCCAGGCTGGCCTTGAACTCATGGCAATCCTTCTGCCTCAGCCTTCCAAGTGCTGGGATGGCAGGTGTAAAGGAACCACATCTGGCATCTAGGTCTTCTTTCTGTTCTTCCAGACCCTTCCCTCCAGAAAGCTACAGAAACTGAATCCTCCAGCATTCTGCTCCCGGTGGGCGGGCTTCCGTCTCCACCCCCACCACCTGGAAGCCACCCAGTCTGTCCAAAGTCCAGAGGACCCCGCTGCCTCTGCCCACCATTCCTGCCTGTCTGGATGAACAGGACGGGTGGCTCTCTGGCCTACTCACAAAACAGCCACCTGAGGGCTTGTTGACAGCAGGAATTTCCTGGGGCTCCGGCCCAGACCCGGATCCAGCAGCCAGGAAGAGCTGAGGGACCTGTTTTCAACACAAGCCCTGGGGACTTGGGCGTAAGAGGTCCCCAGCCACCATTTCAGAAGCATGGCTGGCTTTCTGCATGCCTAAACACCTGCTCAGGTCACCTGTGTGGCCTCAGCCCGCTCTGCCCCTGTGGACTGAGCCCCTCAGTTCCCCATCTGCGTGCAGTTCTCTCTTCCACAGAGAGGTCCTTCCCGAGTTCCTGCCTGAATCACCCTCCTGGCAGAGCTGTCCCCTGGCCTCCCTTGCTCGTGTGACTCTGCTAACGTCAGTGGCCCTGGGTGGGTGCAGGAGGCTGAGGGTGAGGCTGATGTCTGTATTGCTGGCTCCCAGCACAGGTTGCCACACAGCAGGAACGGAACCAACAGGTGCTTATGTGAATATGTGCATTGTCCGCCTGTCCCTGCCCCAGCTGCTGCGTGGCACAGGTGACTCCCCCTCCCTCTTCTCACCCTCCCCATCTCACGCTCCTCTGCTCGCTGTGGGGAGGTGGCTGCTGGTTTTGATCTTGGTCTCTCAGCCCCTCTTCGTGTCCCCATGTTTGCAAAGGTTGGAAGGACAAGCCAAGGGCACTGCTTTTCAGGGATCCCCTGGAGTTCTGGCCCAGAGGCTTGTCTAACTCTGCCAAAATCTCGATTTAATTTAATTTTATTTATTTTTGGCTTGTTTTTGGAGACAGGGTGTCACTATGTGTTCAAGCTGGCCTTTGGCTCACTTTCGTAGCCCAGGCTGGTCTCGAACTTGCAGTGATCCTCCTGCCTCAGCCTCCCGAGTGCTGGGATTACAGGCGTTCGACACCACTGACACCACGCCAGACTCAACCTGTCAGTTTTAGAGGAGCAGGTGTGACCTGGACTTTGCTCATGAGGAAGGGCATCCTTGGAGGCCTCTGAGAGGCTGGGATGCAGCCTGGGTAGAGGTCAAGGGGCAGAACAGGTGGCTGCGCACTTTTCTGCTGGACACCGATTTCGCAAAGGGCCTTTGCCCTGGGGGTGGCACTTGGAGCTGCGGATGGGGCCCTGTTTGGCCAATGAATTTGGCAGCGCTGGGCGGGGCGTGAGGACGAGTGGGCGGGTTTTCAGAGATTGGGCGTGGTCACGGCCGGGTTTTCCAGCTCGGGGCCCGCCCCTCCCCGGGAACCTGCCGCTGGGGCGGGAAGACTGGTGGGCGTGGCCACTGTAGTCCCCGCCCCTCTCCAAGCTGCCCGGCCCCGCCTCCACCTGCCCAGCAGAATTTGAGTTTCCCTGGGCCTGGAATCTGGTTTCGCTGGGCGCCTTCCTCCCACCTGTAGAGAAGCGGAGAGAACCAGGAACCCAAGTCCAGTCCCCGCGGTCCCAGTCAGAGCTGGACGCGGTCCTGCTGCTCGTGCGGACTCCTCCAGGTGAGGACGGAGATCGGCTCCGCCGCTGCTGTCCCCAACCCGCCGCCCGGCCCCCGCAGATCTGTCGCGGGCCAGGCTGGGGGCTGAGGGGACGGGACAGGCGATCGCCAGGACCCCCCTTCCCGCTTGGTCATGCAGGGGCGGGCTGAGCGGGGAGATAAGGGCCTGGTCTTCCTCCTGCCGGGTGTGCAGCCGCCAGGTCCAGAGAAGGTCCGGGGCGCGCGCTCCACCTTGGGGGCGCGGGACAGGTGGGATCGCAGGCGGCCTCTGGCTTCCCCCTTGCAGACCCATCCTCCGCCCCCAGGGTCTCCAAAGCCATTTGCTGCCTCTCATCTCTTTCCCCTATCCTCAAGTCCAGTTAACCGGGGCGGGGGCGGACAGGCGGGGGCTCCAGCTGCCCCCCATTCCCGGAGCTGGAAGGGGTCGCTTATCCCAGTTCTCCTCAGCTCGGGCGCCCCAGTGGAGGACCCTTCCCTGCCCTGGCCCGAATCCTCAGCTTGATGGGAAGGTGGGGACGGGTGGCCCGGGTTTCCCTGGCCAGGGAGGCGGGATGGTGAGTGCTGGGCCGGGGTCCTCCGTGCCGAGGGCGGGCTGTGGCCTGCGTGTCTTGCTGAGGCCGAGGAGGGTCTGCTGGCTGCACCCGAGTCCCCAGGGCAGGCTGGGGACAGAATGCCCCCGGGAGGCTTGACAAAGTGCTCTTACCCCTCTACCTCCCACGAACACCCTCAGGGGCGCTTAGGCTGGACTCTGCTCTTCCGTCTCCCCTTGATACCCTGCTAAGTGGGGGGGGGCCCTCCTCGAGGCAAAATAATGATTAACCCCACTGAGGAGACTCCAGCATTCTTTCCAAATTAAACTTTAAAAGCGCTGCCCCCCTTCTCCCATTGGGTGTCTTTTCCAGGCTGAGGGAGTGGGTGGGACCTCAGTACCCTAGGCCCTCCCCCAACTCTGGGTCCCCGCCGGGCTGGCCACCTCCTCACCTGGGCCCTGCTCCCCCAAGGTTAGGCCCCTCCCCCACCGAAGGTTAGCCCTTTCCTGCGGGTCCCGCAGCACGGGTCCCCCGGCCCCGCCCCGCCCCGCCCCAACCCAGGAAGCCGGGAAGGTGGCCTTGTTTTCTGGTGGCCTTGTTTTCTATTGGCCTCAAACACTGGGGCCGCCACCCGCCCTTAGGGCCAGCCAGGTGGGGCGAGATTCAGGAAGTAAACAAGCTGGGGTGGGAAAGAGGGTGAGGCTGGGGCAGCCGGGGCAGGAAAAGGCCGCCGGGAAGCCAGGGCTGGAGTCCTGCCGGCGGGGCAGGTTGACCTGGGGGGCTCAGACTTCAGGCTCCCCCACTTCCTCCTTCCCTCCCAGTGCTCCCCATCTGTGGTCTATGGCAGACCCTGCCCCTTCTTCCCTGGCCCCCCTGGAAGGAGAGGGGCAGGTGACTTGGACGGTGGGTGTGTGTCCCCCAACCCCAGCCTCTCCCCACCGCTGCTCTGGGGGTCTTTTGTCCCATTTCTCTGTCTGTCTGTCCATCTGTCTCCTCCTGTGTTTGATCTTCCACTCCTGCCCTGCTGGTTCCATTGACCAGAACATCCCTTGAGGAACTTGGCAGGCTGCAGCCCCAGAAAGAGCCAGCTGGGGGAGGACCCGGGGTCAGGAGCCCCGGTGCTACATGGGGGGGCCGGTGGACACCACTAGAGGCTTGGGACCGAGGGGGCCACAGATTGCAGGTCCCACCTGGCCTGGAGCTAAGCCAAGGCTGGGGAGGAAGTGGTGATGTCAGAGGCCCCCACCCCCCAGGCTGCAGTGGGTTAGGGGGGAGGTTGTTTGTTTCTACCAAGCCAAGAAGCCATGGATGAGTCAAGGTTGAATGGAGAGCCCGGGGCAGTGCTGTCCTGCCCCTCCTTGACTCACCTGTCCCCTCACTGTGAGCTCAGATGCCTGCCCCGGCCTGGCAAGGGGATCCCCAGTACCCTCACTGGCCCAGTTTCGAGGCGGGCACCATCTGCAGTCCTCCCAGGTGTCTGAAGCCTGTGGGCTTTGTGGCCCCTGGGGAGGAGGTGCCCATGCTGCCCCACCCCACCCTTCATCTTGGTCCTTACTTGTCCTGGTTATCTGTGGGCCTCTAGATGCTAAGCCATGGGTACTACTGGCCCTGCCTAGAGCACCGCATGCCCTCAGGCAGTGGGTGGATAAGACTGGTGCACAGTGTTGGTGCAGAGGACTGTTCAGTGTGAATCCAGGAAGGCTCCTCAGAGGAGGCGGCCCCCACGCTGGCACTCAGGAAAGGGCTGGGCAGGATCACGGAGGTTAGGCCTTCTCCTGCCCTCCTGGTCGTTGCCCTTCCCCACTGCCCTCAGCCCTGCACACACCACCCTTCTCGCCACTTGGCTGAACGCTGCCACAACAGGCTTGGCAACTGGGCCTGGCAGGGGACGCTGGGAAACCCCGGGGCAGCGGCCCGCACCAAGAGTGGCCTTGGCCTGACCTGAGCACTGAGCCCAGGGCGTGGGTCACAGAGCCTGAGGCTGTACCAGGTCAGGGGTGCTGGGACCTTGTCCACACTTTGCTGAACTGCTCCTGCCCAGGATGGGCACTGCGTGTGGAGTCCAAACATCAGACTGAGCTGTGGCTGTGGGCACAAGGGCTCCCCTGGGCCTCTGTGTTCCCTTTTGTAAGAAGGGGTTCATCCTCCAAGGACTCTGGAGACTCCAGGGAGATGGGGAGCAGGAGCCTGATGTGGTGTGGCAGACACCTGTAATACCAGTACTCTGGGAGGCTGAGGCAGGATTATAAGTTCTAGGCCACCCTGGGCAATTTAGTGATTCAATGAGACCCTGTGTCCCCCCCCCCCAAAAAAAAAAAAAAAGAGCTGGGGATATGGCTCAGTGCAAAGGCCCTGGGTTCAATCCCCATTATTACAAAGAAAAAGAAGTGGGGTGCAAGGACAGCTCTTAGGGCACCATGGCAGCTGTGTGGGCCTGTGTTTCCCGGGATGAGGCACTTCCTCTTCTTTCCCAGATGTCATGGAGCCGGACCTGTCTCCACCACATGCTGGCAGCCCTCCAGAAGACCTGTGCCCGGAGCCTGGGGCCCCACCCAGGACCCCTCCACCTCCTGACACACCTCTGCCTGGGGAGGCCACGAGGTCCCAGCCTCTGCCCATCCCAGCCAGCAGGTGCCGTGGGGTAACAGACGATGGGGTGAGGAGTTGGGAGGGACTGGGGGTTGGCGTTGGCTGATACAGCCCCCTCCTTCTGCCTAGGAAGCTTCCTGAGGAGGAGCGCAGGGCCGCCTCGCTGCCTTCCATCCCCAATCCCTTCCCTGAGCTCTGCAGCCCCACCCCGCACAGCCCCATCCTCGGGGGCCCCTCTAGTGCCAGGGGACTGCTTCCTCGAGACACCAGCCGCCCCCACGTGAGTTGTTCCTGGGGTTGCTCGGCCTCTGGGGTGGAGGTGGGAACGTGGTGGTCTGGGGTCCCTAGGGTACAGCAGTCACCTGCCTTGTGTTCTGTGCCTGGGTGCAGGTGGTGAAGGTGTACAGCGAGGACGGGGCCTGCCGTTCGGTGGAGGTGGCCGCAGGGGCCACGGCCCGCCATGTGTGCGAGATGCTGGTACACCGCGCACAGGCCCTGAGCGACGAGAACTGGGGGCTGGTAGAGTGCCACCCCCACCTGGCCCTGGGTGAGCGGGGACACAGGGAGCCCAGGGAGGTGGCCCAGGTGGAGGCCAGTCCCTGGCCGCGAACCCCAACCCTAACCCTGTGCCCTGACCACAGAGCGTGGCCTGGAGGACCACGAGTCCGTGGTGGACGTGCAGGCAGCCTGGCCAGTGGGCGGAGACAGCCGCTTCGTCTTCCGGAAGAACTTCGCCAAGTACGAGCTGTTCAAGAGCTCCGCAGTGAGTGTGGGGGGCCTGGCCTGGACCCCTGACCCCTGGTCCCTGACCCCTGACCCCTGACCCCCAACCCCTGGCCTCTGTCTCCCCAGCACTCCCTGTTCCCAGAAAAGATGGTCTCCAGCTGCCTTGAGGCACATAGCGGCATGTCCCACGAAGACATCATCCAGGTGAGGGGTGGTCCCCACCACATGCCTGACTCCCCAGAGTCCACTCCCTTCTCTGCCCCAAGCCAAGTGCTCCCCATGACTTTGAAAATTCCACCCCAGAATGGGAAGTTTAGCAACTTAGCAAGATCCCGTTTCAAATAAAAGATTTTGTTAAAAAAAAGGTTGGGGGTGCAGCTCTGTGTGGAGCCCTCAGCTCAGACCCCAGTGGGTTAGAGCTCGTGGCACAGCCCCTGCCGCAGGCCTGGCACAGGCACGGAGCGGGTCCACCTGACCCCCCTGCCTCTGCCCGCCATCACAGAACTTCCTAAACGCCGGCAGCTTCCCTGAGATCCAGGGCTTCCTGCAGCTGCGGGGCTCCGGCCGCAAGCTTTGGAAACGCTGCTTCTGCTTCCTGCGCCGCTCTGGCCTCTACTTCTCCACCAAGGGCACCTCAAAGGTGAGGTCCGGAGGTGCCAGCCTGGCCCTGCCATGCTGCATCCCTGCCAGAACTCTGGACTCCAGCCCTAGGAGGTGCCCTAGGGAAGGCAGGCTTCCTCTGTTGCTGTGTGACCTTGGGCATCTCCTGATTCCTCTGGTCCTGGGGTCTTCCCTGGCTTGAGGGCAGTAGGAGGAGGATAGGGTATCCCTGTACCAAGTCCTGCACGCTCGTGCCACTCAGGACCCGAGGCATCTGCAGTACGTGGCGGATGTGAATGAGTCCAACGTGTACATGGTGACGCAGGGCCGCAAGCTGTACGGGCTGCCCACGGACTTTGGCTTCTGCGTCAAGGTGAGGACCTGGGCCCTCCCTGGCCCGTGGGGGAAAGCAGAGACTCAGGCTCCACCAGGTACTGGGCATCCCCCCTTCCCCCCTGCGCCCATGCCCTGAGCTGCGGGAGAATCCCAGGTCCTACTCTGGTCCCCGGCAGGAACTGACAGACAGACAGACAGACAGATCCGTCTCAGGGCAGGCCTGAGGCTCACCCACTTCCTCTCCCACCAGCCCAACAAGCTCCGGAGCGGCCATAAGGGGCTCCGCGTGTTCTGTAGTGATGATGAGCAGAGCCGCACCTGCTGGCTGGCCGCCTTCCGCCTTTTCAAGGTGAGGCCCAGTCCCGGCAGGAGGTCACAGTGCTGCCCCACTCCAGTCTCCTGAGGGGTGCATCCCTGCCAGGCTCCTGAGAACCCCTGGAATCTGAGGACGCCGCTCCCCAAGGGTGCCCTGATCCTAGGGATGTCACAACACAGTTCTCAGGCCCCCATGACCTGGTCCCCTTTTTCCCCCTGCTTGTAGTTCGGGGTGCAGCTGTATAAGAATTATCAGCAGGCCCAGGCTCGCCACCTGCACCCGTCCTACTTGGGGTCCCAACCCTTGGTGAGTACCCAAGACACAGGGTGGGGTGTGTAGCCTGGCTTCGGCCCAGGGTCACCTTCTGATCCCTCTCCCCGCTGTCCCCTCTCTGCAGAGGAGCGTCTCAGACAACACCCTGGTGGCCATGGACTTCTCAGGTCATGCTGGACGTGTCATCGAGAACCCCCGAGAGGCTCTGAGTGCTGCCCTGGAGGAGGCCCAGGCCTGGAGGGTGAGGAGCTGCAACCCAGCCTCAGGCCCTGAAAGGGGTCTCATGTGGTGTGAGGGGAAGTGGAGGGTGCCAGGGAAAACCTCCAAGCACACTCTGACTCCCACACACCCACGACTCTGCAGAGAAAGACGAACCATCGCCTCAGCCTGCCCACCCCGTGCTCCGGCTCGAGCCTCAGTGCAGGTGGGTGACATCTGGGGTCCCCAGGGTGGTGGCTGCCTGAGTTTCCCTGAGCATTCCTGCCAAATAACTGTCTGCTTGCCCTCGTCCCAGCCATCCACCGCACCCAGCCCTGGTTCCACGGACGCATTTCCCGAGAGGAGAGCCAGCGGCTCATTGGGCAGCAGGGCCTGGTGGACGGGTAAGGGGCAGGGCCGGGCGGGCACAGGGCCAGGCTGAGTTGCCCTGTGTGAGCAGGTGTCACCAGCCTGTGGGTTCCTGGCTGCATGTCAGATGGAAACTAGACATGGACTGGTGCTTGAGCCCAAGGACAATTGGTACCACTGTCCACTGTCCTGTTCGGGGCCTTTAAAGGTCAGGGTCCCAAACAAAAAAAGGTCAGGGTCCCCCTGCTGGCCACCAAGATGTTACCAGTCATGCGGGCACCTTGGCTCAGTTTGTTAGGAATCACGCATTGGCAGTGTGACACTCTCCTAGTGTTAATGCTCCAGGCTTTGAATGGTGCAGCCGTCAGCTCCTAGCCTTGCTGTCTGTGGCCGACTGTGCTGGGTGGTGCCCCAGAGATCTCCGGTCCCCTGACATGCTGGTTCCTGCATCTCTGTTGCTCTCTGAGCTATCTCCGGCCTCACCTCCAGCTGCTGCCACTTTCAGTGGCAGGTGCTGTCAGCTCTTGGAGAGCACCAGCCCAGCCTGCTCCGCTTGGCAGAAGTCACAAAGGGGCAAGCATGCGCCCAGCATGGTGGGGCCTGAGCTGCAAGAAAAGAGGGGCAGCGCAGGGCTGAGCCCTTTAAGGGTGCAGGGGAGGTTGCTTTAGAGGAAATGAGGCTGCCTTGAACATTCCCCGCACTGAAGAGGAGGGTGTCCCCAAGATGGGCTCTCGGCTGTGGTCATCTAGGACAGGTCCACGGCCAGAGCCAGCTGTGGCCAAAGTAAATATGGCTGAGCATCCGTGAGCCGCTGACATCGTTAGATGGGCTGTGAGATGTTAGGAGCAGCTGCAGAAAAAAACAAAAAATACCTCTAGAGCCAGGCATTGGTGGTGCCTGCCTGTAATCCCAGCACTTGGGAAGCTGAGGCAGGAGGATCACCCCAAGTTTGAGGCCTATCTGGACTACATAGTAAAATCTTAGTGTCTCAAAACAACCAAATAAATAAAAAGTGCCTCATGGGAGCATGGGTCCTCTAATGCCTCCTGCTTTCCTGGCAGCCTGTTCCTGGTCCGGGAGAGCCAGCGGAACCCACAGGGCTTTGTCCTGTCCTTGTGCCACCTGCAGAAGGTCAAACACTACCTCATCCTGCCGGTGAGCACAACCCTACCTTCAGCCCCGGGGCTTTGCAGCTGGGATGGAGGGGGACCCTGACAGCAGGTTCCTGGGCTCCCTGTGTGCCCCTGTCTGTGGCCCCTGAACTCCACCCCTCTGGCCGCTCTGCAGAGTGAGGCAGAGGGCTGCCTGTACTTCAGCATGGACGACGGCCAGACGCGCTTCACAGACCTGCTGCAGCTCGTGGAGTTCCACCAGCTGAACCGCGGCATCCTGCCCTGCCTGCTGCGCCACTGCGTCACGCGGGTGGCCCTGTGATGGCGAGCACTGCCCTGGAGTGGATGGGGGCAAGGGAGGGTGGGGGCCCCCACTCCAGTTTCCTTCTCTGCCCTGCTGCCTCTCACCTGAGGAAAGCCCGAATGTCCCTTCCCCTCCAAGGTGCTCCGGGCCATTGCCCGGGACAGGGGCAGACCCGTTGGCCCCAGACCCCACACCCCTGTACAGACTGAGAGGCCAGTGATCTGTTTTATACTTGTGACAATAAAGATTATTTTTTGATACACCCATGATTTCTGGCTGGCAAGACCTGGTGGCTAGCAACAGGGCCAGCTGTGGTGCACGCCTGTTATCCCAGTACTTGGGAGGCTGAGGCAGGAGGATCGTTGTGAGTTCCAAGCCAGCCTGGGCTACAAAATGAGTTCAAGGGCAGCCAGGACTACACAGGAAGAGCCAGTCTGAAAAAAAAAAAAAAAAAAAAAAGGGCTGGGGATTTAGCTCATCGGCATAAGCATCTGCCTTGCAAGTGCGCGGTTGTGAGTTCAATCCCCAGTACTGCACCCCCCCCAAAAAAAAGAGACCCAGTGGCAAAGGTGTCAGGTGAGCCAAGGCCACACCTGTCTGTCCTGGGTGTTCCTTGGTTTCTTCTGTGTGGGTGGAGATGCAACCCAGGGCTGGGTGAGTGCTGCTGCAGGACAGTGATTCTTGAGTAAACAAGAGTTCCCGATGCCCAGCGTGGAGTCCGGCACATATGCATTAATGAGTGGGCAAGGGACTGTTATCCAGATGGACTTCCAGGCAGGGCCTGGACCTTCAGGTGACTGACAGGGCCTGGGGACTGGAGACTGAGAGCTGGGCTGGGGGGTGGGACAGAACCCTGACATGCATGGCCATGCACCTACCATTGTCCAGGCCAAGGAGCAGCCCCTGATCTCCCACAAGTCCGGGGGCCTCCTCCAGCCACCCCTCTCCTCCCCAGCCTCCCGTATCTGTCCTCCCAGCCCTGTGGGCACCTGGCCTTTTCCACTCCACCCTCCGGCAGTCACCTGTCCATCCATCCCTCTGGAATGCAAAGGGGCCCACAGCCCTGCCATCCTGGGCCATTTAGCAAAAGAGACTGTCTCAAAGGTGAGGGGGCGCGCTAGTGATAGCTCGGTGCTTCTGGGGTTCAGTCTTCAAAACTGACCATAAGAAATAATCCAGTTCCTCAGACTCAGCTACGAGTGTATCTGGAGTACAAGGGACGGCAGCACATGTGAAATACCACTCGAGCACATCATGGCCAGAATCCAGACCCGGAGACTATACAGCAGATGACCCAGTTTCTTCTTCAACAAAATGACGAGAAAAGCAAAGCCGGAGAATGTCTGGATTCCAAGAAATTCAGGCAGATGTGTGATGTGTGACCTTCTCTGATTCAAATCCAAACCCACTGCAAAATAACAGTCGTAACAGGGAAAACTCGAACTCATGAGCAGTTTCATGACTTTAAGGAATACAGTTCACTGTTTGCGATTTGAGAATATTGTGGTTATGGGGTTTTTCTTTCTTTTTTTTTTTAATCGGTACCAGGGATTGAACTCACAACTGCGCACTTGCAAGGGAGGTGCTTATGCCGCTGAGCTAAATCCCCAGCCCCTCTTTTTTTTTTTTTAAGCTTTAATATTTAAGAGCACATTCTGGTTGGGCATGGTGGTGCATGCCTGCAATTCCAGAGCTCTCTCTGAGGCTAAGGGAAGAGGATGGCAAGGTTGAGCTCGGCCTGGATGATTTAGTAAGAACCTATTTCAAAGTTAAAAAATGAAGAGCCTGGAGATGCAGGTCAGTGCCAAGACCCTGGTTCCATCCTCAATAGTGTAAAAACCAAAACCGAGATGCATTCTGAGGTATCACAGGTGAAATGACAGCATGGGGATAGCCAGGACTGCAGCCTGGCTCCAAGTGTGAAGCCCTGACCTGGGCTGGCCAGCTGGCTGTCAGGTTGTCCTCCGGTGAGGCTGATAGATCTGTCACCACCTGCAGCTCTGGCCACTGCAGTGAGCCCCAGGGCAAAGTTTAGTAGTCCTGGCAACCACCTGTGTCCAAGGTTCCCTGATTTGGGGTTAGGGGGACTCCACACATTCTAGCCAAGCAGATGAGGTGGTGGATTTCACACCATTTTTTTAGCAGACTCGAGGCAGGGACCAGGTGGCCTTCCACCCATCACCTACCCAGGTCTGTCCCCACCACTGGGTCCCCGGGACACTTAACTGGCTGGTGCTGGCTATGTGGCTGCCCACAGGTGCCCAGGTCCACTTCTGAGGTACAGTGCAGGGTTTGGGGTGGGGAGGAAGATGGGGCACCTCCTAAGCCAGTCCAGGGGTTTAGGTTGCACAGGAGACCCCAGTCCCTCACTGCCTTGGGGTTGGTCACTAAGCGGGGGGGGGGGGGGTCTCTGGGGGACTAGCAGGCTTCCATTTCACAAATGTGAAACTGAGGCTCAAAGACATCTTCCTGGGGTCACAGGACAGTTAGGAACAGTGAGCCCAGGGGGAAAGAGGTGGGATGAGTTGCTCCCTGCCCTGCGCTTGGCTGTTCATCTTCCAGAATGGACTGGACAGCTGGGAGTCCTTAGAGCAAGGGCACCTGGCCCTGGCACCGAGGTGGGTGGCTGCCGCCAGTGGCTTTTGGAGATGCCTCAGATGAGGGTGTGGGTGAGGGGCCCCCGGGCAAGATCTCAGCTCTGACTGCAGCCGGACTGAGGATGGCAGCACCGGGGGTCAAGGACAGGGCAGTGCAGGGCCAGTTCGCAGGAACCGAGGCCGCTCAAGCCACTCCATTAGGGCCATCCCACTGGATCCCTCTGTGGTACCGGCTGTGGGAAGTGGGCGCTGGGACCTCAGGGTTTGAGGGGCAACTGTGTGAGGGACAGGGAGGGGGGCTCCCATGACCAGCTGTGAGTTCCCCAGCATCTGCACTCCAAGTCTCCTTAGGAATAGGTGGAAGTGGGCGTTCATATAGGCATGATTCCAGTGTTGCCAGGGACCCCGGGACCTTCCGCCTCTTGGGTCCTGGCCCACTGGCCCTCTAGTGCCTCCTGGACCCTGTGCAGGCTCCTTCTCCAAGCAGAGCCCCCTGGCAACGTCACAAGAGAAGAGCTAGGGCGAAGAGGGTAGCTCTAGTGAGACCTCGGGAGGTTGCAGCCACAGTCCGGACCCATGTGCAAGGGGAGCTACGTCCATGGTCCATCGCCTACCCTTCTGCTCCAACAACGCAAGGGTGGCCTAGCACTTCATTATACTCACAGCTGACTTTTTTTTCCTTTTCTTTTCTTTTTTTGAGACAAGGTCTCCTATGCAGTTCAGGCTGGCCTTGAGCTCACTTTGTAGCCCAGGATGGTCTCCAACTCGCAATGATCCTCCTGCCTCAGCCTCCTGAGAGCTGGAATGACAGGCCTGCGCCACCATGCCAGGCTAATTTTGAACTCGCTGGCCTGGAATTTGAGATCCTCTTGCCTCAGCTTCCGAGTGCCGGATTACGGGCGTGTGCCTCTGAACTCTGCCCACTGAGGTTCCCCGTAGGCATCGCCGTCCCCAGGCCCGAGAAGGAGGCGGCTGTTCGCTAAGGCCGGCCCTCTTCTCCATCGAGCTCCTTGGGGTAAGGCTGGACGGTAGATGTGAGCGCCGCCCAGACGCGCGCCTGCAGCGACACTCAGCGGCCGGCTCGGGAAACGCGAGTGTGTGCTCGGCTCCCAGGCTCAGCTCGCGCCTCGGGAGGTCTCCGGGTGGCGAAGCATGAACGCCCCAGGACCCGGGCCCCACGCCCTCCCCTGGCCCGCCCGATAGCCCTGTGCGAGGCTCTGCGCGGTGACTCCCACGCAGTTTCACTTCTGGATCCGCCGCGTGGAGACCGAACATGGCCCGGGTGGGCAGCGGTGGCGACCCTTGTGTGTCCCGCGACCCCACCTTTCCCCACCCACCGCCTCCGTGGGTCTCACCCGGTCCCCCAGCGGGCTGCGACTCCGAGGCAGCGGCGGCGTGGGCGGCGCGAGTGTGAAGCCGCAGGTCGCGGCTGCGGGGACGCCGGGCCGTTTCTCAGAAGGGGGCCCAGCCCCGCCCCGCTCCTCCTCTCCCCCCTTGCACCTGGGGTCTGCGCCTGCGGTCAGGGGCTCCCGCCCTTTAAGGCGAGGGAGCCCAGCCTGCCACGCCCTTCTCCCCAGCTCCTGGCGGCCGGATTGGAACTTCAGGTGACCCCCGAGCAAGCTGGGGCCTTGTCTGGAACTGGGGGAGAGGAGCTGCTAGAATCCCGGCTGGAAGGAGCCCAGGACCCCCTGCGCCTCAGGCCCAGGCGGGAAAGCAGAGTGCTGGGCCACCGGGGTCCGCACGAGGGGGACTTTGGCCTTGGTTGAGCGCGCGCGCACGCGCACAGCTCCCCGGGCCTGCCAGAAGGTGGGGGTGCTGAGAATGTAATTCCAGCAGGGGAGGCGGGGGATCCAGCTGCGAGCAAGGAAGAAGTGACACGTGCCACCCCTACCCCCGCACCCGGTTCCCGTCCACACCGCCCAGGCGCTGCGGTTTGCGCGATCAGGGTTGGGGCAAGGTGTTGGGAAAAGTCTGTTCCGGAGAGCGGCTCACATCACCCACAACCCTGCGTCCCCGGTTCTTTCCACTGCAGGGCTGTCTCCCGGGCTGTGCACGAGTTATTCTGGGGGGCAGGAAGAACTGTAGTTTGTGGGGGGGAGGGGGAACCTGCCTCCTCATGGGGCAGGACAGGGTTAAAAACAAAACCGCAGCAAACTCAATACCGTGTCCTTCAGGGACTTTCCGTGACACTGTCCCCAACTGGCAGAGCCAGGGGCTCCCCAGGGACCGCCCACCCCAGATGAACCGGCTTTTTGCTTTTATGCAAACGACCACGTTTGACCTGGGAATGCCACAGCCAGGACTCATGGCCCTGGCCCAGGGTGGCCTGTGTGTCCACGGGGTTGCAGCCTTGCCAGACCTTGCCTCCACTTCTCCCCAGACCCTGGGTCTAAGGGATATGGAGGAGAGAAGGAGCTAGAGAACGAGTTGGGGCGGGCTGTTGTCTCCAGGTGTGGGGTGGCCATCTCTGTAGACTCACCACCCTCCTACCGCCGCCCTCCTGCGGTGCTGGGCCGGAAGGACAGGAGCTTCCCTCTGCTCCCATGTGCAGGGATTCCCTGGTCCTTTCCTCCTGTCTCCCTGTAAGGAGAGTAGACCAGCTGATCATCCCCCCCACCCAGGCTGGCAGCCAACAGGGAGTTCAGGGGTCTTAGGTTAAGATACAAAGGCACCACTGCCCCCCCCCTGCCCCCAGGCCCCCAACGTCAGACACCCCTGGCCCAGGTGAGGGCAGGCACCTGGTGGAGGGGAGGAGCTTCAGCTCAGGTGGGGCTTAGACCCTGAGTACTGCCTGGGAGAGAACACGGAATCAGGATGGAGGAGCGGTGGTCTGGTGCTGGTCCTAGGCTTGGCCCCTGAACAGCAACAGACCACTGTGCTCTGGTGCCCCGGTCCTTCTTAGTGCAAGCTCCCCGCCCCCCAGGGCACTCCATTCTTGAGCTGTGGACCAGTGGACCCAAGTCCTGCCTGGAGGCTGGGCCAGAGCAGGACCCCACATGGGGTGCCGGGATGGGCTGGGCCTGTGGAGGTGCTCTCTTTGTGGGTAACTGCAGTTATCCTGCTGCTCTGGCTTTAGGAAACAGCTGGAGGTGCTAACTCAGGGTGGCACTGTGTTCCTGTGTTCCTTGAGGCACAAGGAAACCCCTCCAGCTTCCCACAGCAGCAGCAGCAAATGATAAACATGCACTCTGCTGATTTAATTACTTTTGACAGCATCTGGCCACATGTTCAGGTGGGGCTTGAACCCACTAACCCAGGCTGGCCTCAAACTTCAGGCTGTCCTCCTGCCTCAGCCTCCTAAGTGCTGGGATCACAGGCGTGCCCCACACACTTGGGAGATGAAGGGGCCACCCATCGTCCTCCATCAGGCTTTGGAGGGTCTTTTGAGAGATGGGGCCCTCCAGGCTGACTCCAGGGAAGAAGAGATGCTCCAGGCAGGGGCATTTTTGAAGTGTAGGTGGGAGGAGGCCAAGCACAGCCCTGTGGAAACTGCTTGGCAAGGCCCCTGCAGGGCCTGATGGTGAGGCCACCGTGAGCCCCAAACCGCCTTCCGTTCCTCCATCACTCTGCAGTCAAGGGTCATCCGCAGACCACACATGTGTGGCTTTGGCAGAAATTAAAAATATGCTGTGGTTTTTCCAGTAGCCAGAATGATCCTTCCCCAAAGCTTGCAGACGGAGAACCTGCGCCTGTAAAACCACAGTCTGCTGAAGGCGCGTCTGCTCTTTAAATGACCTTCGAATTCTTTGCAGCAATTTGGTTCCTATGAACCCGCAGATGCAGGCCGACCAAAAGGGCTGTGTTTGATGAGCCTGGAAAAGTCCTTGTGTGACTAAGTCTTTGTTTGTTTCATTTTTTTTTGTTTTTTTTTTTTTTTTGTTTTGAGACAGGGTCTCACTATGTATTTCAAGCTGGTTTTGAACTCACTATGTAGCCCAGGCTGGCCTCAGACTTGCAGCAATCCTCCTGCCTCAGCCTGCCATGTTAGAGTGCATGTTCTCAGTGTCTCCAGTTCACGTTCCGGATGGAGACCGGCTCTGTGCTGTGCGACATGGGCTGGGGTGAGGTAGGTGTCCCTGGGGGCCATTCCCCCAGCGATCCAGCATGGGGTCACTGGGTGAGTTGGACAGTAGAAGCCATCTGAGGAAGCTCTGGGTCTTGAGAACCAGGGGCTGAGGGCTCAGAAGTGGCAGGGAGCTCCTCCCCAGGTCACACCAGAGAAGGGGAGCATGAGGTTAATTCAGGCTGGTTCCTGAGTTTAGCATTGTCTGCTAAAACAGTGTGAGGGAATATTAGACACCAGTTGCCTCCATCTGCAGTACAATTACTATTCTGGCCCCAGCAGCGTCTTGGAATACTTTTCATATCTTAAAATCCAGACAACATGCATGCAGCAGAAAATCTACAATCATCCAACAGAATCTGTCCTATAAAAAAGTAACATCACCTCACAGACGAAATTACATCAAATTTAGCTGAGTGTGGTGGTGCACACCTAGAGTTGCAGCACTCAGGAGGCTGAGGCAGGAGGATCACTGCATGTTTGAGGCCAGCCTGGAATACACGGCAAGCTCAAATTCAGCCTGAGATGTATAGAGACCCTATCTCAAAAAACCAAACCAAAACAAAACAAAAAAACAAATTTCAGCAGGGAGTGGTGGCACACACCTGTCATCCTAGCACTTAGGAGGCTGAGGCAGGAGGATCGCTGTGAGTTTAAGGCCAGCCTGGGATACACAGTGAGTTCAGGGCCAGCCTATAATATACAGCAAAATCCTATCTCAAAAAACAGAGCAAAAGAACAGAAACTACATCAAAGTTCCTACCACCTTGGATCTTACATCATTAATGAAACGTTAACGCTTCCATTTCAAACGGCAGCTCAGTGTCAGTGTCTAGGAAGTGTAGCATCTGTGCTCTTCACAAAGCAAGCACCTGGTTAGCTACCGACGGCATGCAGATGCCAGGCAACAGCTGGGTAAACCAGAAGCACTGTCTCATTTCAGCTCCTTCAGGCACTCACGGAGGTCCAGAGCCCACACCTCTCTGCCAGCCCCTCCTCAATCCGAATTCTCAGGGTCCCCTGCCTGCCACCCTGGGCGCGGGATGGTCCATAGGACCTTCACCCTGCTGCCCTAGAAAACAGTACTTTTCTGTGTGGGCTAGCCTTGGGTTTCAGATCAGATTTGTCCTCTTTTCAGCCATTTAAATCTAAGCCCTTCTGCCTATAGAGCCTTTTTTTTTTTTTCTGTCTTTTTCGTTTTTATTGGTACCAGGGATCAAACTCACGACTGCCTGCTTGCAAGGCAGGCGCTTATGCCGCTGAGCTAAATCCCCAGCCCCTATAGCACATTCTTGTGTTGAACATAAAAATAGCGTCCCATTCTTTAGGAGGTAAAAGACACCAAGTCATACTGCTTATCTTTTGTTTATTTGTTTTTAAATTTTTTTTTTCCTTTTTGTTTTTTTGAGACAGGATCTTGCTCTGTAGTCCAGACTTGAACTCACTATGTAGCCCAGGCTGGCCTTGAACTCATGGTGACTCCTGCCTCAGCCTTCTGAGTTCTGAGATGATGGGTCCACCACCGTACCTGGCTCAGTAGGGTACATTTTAAAGTCAGGACTTCAGCCAAACATTGTTGCGACAGTCTTATTATTGGCGGTCCTGGGATACGTCCTGAAAGTACTGCTTTGGGGCTGGGGGTGGACTAGGGCCTTGGCCATCCTGGCCGAGGGCTTCACTACTGTGCTGCCCCCCAGCCCAGCGGCCCTGCCTTCCTCTCAGACATTCGGAGCCTTACCCTGAGCGGGGGGAGATGGAAGATGAGGACCAAGACAGCCGCCCAGAGGCTCCTTGCATACTCTGGGGGTAGGGGATTAGTTAGTAATGTGACATCTCAGCTAAGCTTTTGTGCCTTTACACACTTGTCTGTTCAAAAGCAACCCAGGGCATTTTCATTCTGGGCCTTGGCTTTAACAGGTGAAATGTTTTTGTCACTTCCCATGTCAAACATGGAGCTAGGAGTGGCTTGGATGGGTGGCCGAACACATGGCAAGCCACCTGCCGGCAGAGGCTCCTAGAGGCCATGGCCCTGCCAGGCTCTCTCTGCCTGGCTGCGGGGCAGGGCTCCTGCGCACCTCTCGGATAGGCATGGCACAGGGGATATCGGGTCCCCTTCTCTCTTCCCTCACCCGAACTCTGTACTTTGGCTGTGAGGGAACTTTTGTGGGTTTGCTTAGCCCCCAGGTTGCAGTCTCGTGGCATGATGGGGGAGCCCACCTGTGAGAGGGCTGGTGTGAAAGGAAGGAGCGGGCAACAGGGCCTTGGTGAGCTGCAAGCATATGGCCTGAGGCTGGTCCTGTGCGTGGTGCAGGCTGCTGTCCAGGTGGCTGACAAGCCTGTGCTGAGGAAAGTGTGCGGTGGCGGCCGCTGCATGTCCCTGGGGTCAGCTGCAGAATTTAAGAGTGCAGAGGATCGTATTTTCATCTGGGTGCGTTTGGAGACAGGGTCTCACTCTATAGTCCAGGCCAGCCTTGAACTGGCTGCAATCCTCCTGCCTCAACCTCCCAAGTGCTGGGATGACAAGGGGGCGCTAGCACACCCGGCTGGAGTTTCTACATGCACCTCCCTTCTGGAGGCAGTGGGCTTTGCGGGTGGTCACCTGCCACAGAAGGTGGCCTCAGGTGAATGGAAATCATTCAGAAAGTCCTTCATCACTCGAGGAAGGAGTGGACAGTGGGTAGCACCCTAAGGTGCTAGAAGGGGCCTTCATCTGACATCTCAAAACAGACATAGTGAACTGGGTGTGGTGGTGCACGCCTGTAACCCTAGCACTTGGGAGGCTGAGGAAGGAGGATCACTGTAAGTTTGACCATCCTGGGCTACAAAATGAGCTCAAGAACAGCCTGAACTGCATAGCGGGACCCCATCTTAAAATAAAAGGGGTGGGGGCTGGCAAGCAGCTGCAGGTGCCAATGTGTGCATGTACTTTGGGCAAGATCAAAATGCCTTCCTGTTTTTTGTTCTTCCCCACAACTCAGTGGTTAAAGGAAAAGCTTAATACACCAACATTTTCACACCAAAGACATGTGAAGCGTTCTCATGTGGAGACGCTTCTGCTTCACAGCCGAACACTCAAGGTTTAGAAAATGTTGCTGTGCGATCACATAGACATTTAAACCCGAAAGGACTCCTGAAGCCTAACTCGAAGCATCTCAGGGCCTGGAAAGCTAGTTTTAGGGGTTCGGGTCTTCAGTCATGCTTACCCACTACTTAGTGGCAAAGCAATGAGCAAGCAGGCTTTTGGGCGCCCGCTGCGGGGCTGGATTTGGGACCTGTCACGGAGCTTCCCCACAGCTCGGTGCCCATTAGTACTGAGGAGGAGGTCGGCGAGGCCCGACCGCTTTCAGCAGCGTTCCGGCAGTGCAGGAGCTCTGCTCAAAATGAGGGAGGCTGAGGCAGGAGGAGCACCAGGCAGGAGGCCAGCCTAGGGACACGGTGAGACCCCGTACACAGAGGGGCATGTGCAAGCTCACGCTTCCTTGCAGAGGAGGACCTACCCATGGGGCTGCCCCTCTGCCCGCCCTGGCCTGGAGCGCATGCATGTGTCCCTGTCGGGCCCTTCACCTCCCGTTCACCTTGGTGTGCCTGCCACCCTGGAGGAGGCGAAGCTGTAAGGTAGCGCTGGTTCTGCCGCGGGTCTCTAATCCCTTAAGCTAAGGTGGCAGCCTATGCTTGCCGCCTCCTTGTGACTGCAGCCCCTGCATCCCTTGCGGGTCTCGCGATGCCTCGGGGTGTGCACGCTCCGTTAGAAAAGTGCCTGGCTGCTGTCGCAGGAGACACCTGGTGCTGTGTCCGGATGCTGGGCCCACCTCTCACACCAGCGAGCAGGAGGGCGTCCCAGCGTCTGCCCCACGGGGCAGAAACAGGCGCATGCACAGCCCCCAAGGAGGGGAACCGAGCTGGGCCGGGCACACGACAGCGCCCTGGCCTCCCAAGCTCCGCTACAGCCGCCCTGGTCAAGCGTACTGTGTGCCTCCGGCGCTCCCCGGAAAGCGAGCCGCCAGGCCCAGCTGCGCCGCCTGGCTGCAGGAGCCGTGGTCCGCCCACGCGTCACCTGTGAGGGTTCTGTCCAATTTATTGAAAACACACTGTCGTGATTACACATCCTACTGGGTTGCAGGTAAAGAAAGCGGCACACTTCAAAGCGCTGTCTGAAAGAGGAGCAAAAGTCTTCCTGGAACAGGCATGATAGTTTTGCCACCACAGCTCCGCCCCGCGGCTGCCTCTTCCGCTCACAGTCCCGAGCGCAAACTGGCGACCACCGGCGTTCGGACAGACGACGGAGCAGGGCGCCGGCCTACCCCCTCCTCACTCGGGGGCTCTGCTTTGGGTCGGTGAGGTGCACCCTGAAACTCGAGCTCCTGGGGGACGGGCGACCCTAAGTCAGCCTGCCTTTTGCAGTCCAGGCGCCCCGCAGGGGGCCGGACAACCCGGGCCAGCAGGGCCGGCAGCCACAGTTCTGCCCGCTGCCCTGAGCGCGACCCAGTGACAGGTGCCCCTCGGGAGCTCCGTCCCACAAAGCAGCCCGGCTGCTGGGTCGCTGGTGTTCCGGACGCAGAAGCAGCCAGCGGAGACAGCCACGCTCCCGCAGAGGGAAGTGGGCTCCTTCTGTCTCCCCAGTCCAAATCCAGCAGGATGAAGACCGCACGACGCCCACCAGGGACGGGGCTCCCCGCCTGCCGCGGCGTCCCGGGACTCCCTGGCTTTGTGTGACAGGAGTGGCGCAGACACTGCTTTCAGGGCGGACTGCAGACTTCCTCGTGTGCGGAGGGGACGAGAAGGGGAGGGAGGAGAAGGGAAGCCCAAGGACTGGATGCGTGGTGTGCGTGGAAGCCCCAGAGCCGTGAGCTGGGTACGGAAGGGAGCCGGTCGCCGGTACCTGGGGCTGCTGCTTCTCTGAGGATCCAGGCGTAGGACCCACGCAGCCTCAGAAAGGCGCCGCCTAGCATGCAGGTGCAGGCCTGTGCTCCCGTACACCAAGGGAACCCGGAAACACTGCAGGTTAAAGACGAGTGCTGCTGAGCGTCCCGATGCATGCCTGTGACCCCAACACTGGGACAGACTGAGGCAGGAGTCCCTCAGGCTCTCGTCTAGGGAGGCCAGCTTGGCGATTCGGCAAGACTGTCTCAAAAGAAAAAAGATTTACAGGGCCGGGGTGTGGTTCTGCATGGAGGCTTTGGGTTCAATTCCCAGTAGAAAAAAAAAAAAAAAATTCTCATGGTGCTACACTGGAAAGCTGCTTCACTTCTACTGCTGCCAAGAGTAAGGTCTAAGCCAGGCGTGGCAGTGCACACCAGTACTCCCAGCACTCAGGAGGCTGAGGCAGGAGGACTGCTGTGAGTTTGAGACCAGTCTGACTACACAGTGAGATCTTGTCTCAAAAAAAATAAAAAATAAAAATAAAAATAAAAAATAAAAGAAAGAAAGAAAAGAAAAGAAAGAAAGAGTAACTAAAGACTTCTTTGGTCTTTTAAATTCCATAAAATTCAACTAGTGGGAAAACAAAGGTATCCCACAAGTAGCAACCAACCGTTTCTGCTCAGGCATTGTTTCTCTGCTTACTGAGCCTGGCACGGGAAGCCTCGTGGACTTGAAAGCAATCGACGAGGGTATAGTTTCTATGGGCTGCTCTACTTGAGCGTGGCTCTGTGCTCGCCCCTGGCTATGTGTGAAGAGAACTCGTACCGGTCTTGGCTCCGGTACCCACACATGTTGCACTCGAAGGGGTCGCGGAAGCCGTGACAGCCCATGTGGATGGTGAACATCACGTAATCTAGGAAAAGCACGCGGCAGTGGTCACAGCGGAACACGTCGGTCACCTCCCCGTCTTTGGTGATCACCTTAACCGAGTCTCTCGGGCAGAGTGGCGGGGGCTTGAGGAGTTCGTAGGCACGGGGCGCCTCCTTCAAGAGTGGCACCCCGTTGCGGGCCCGGGGCAGGAGCACGTGGTTCTGCTGGTAGAGAGGGTTCTGGCGCTCTTCATGGTTGCTGTCAGTGTCTGTGGAGTCGTGGCCACTGTTGTTGGGGGAGAGGCCTCTTTCGGAAGACAGGCTCTTCTCTGGCAGGGGGATGCTCTTCTTGTCTAGCTCCTGGGGGGTACCGTTGGGCACCTCAGCCCGGGTGAGGGCTATGGGGTACATGCTGCTGATGACTGGAACCATTTCAGAGGACGGGGGCACGGGTGGTGTCTGGACCAGGGGGCGCAGGGCCTCGGCGCCAAGGTAACCGATGGCATTATTAATGGCCTGGTCCATCATGCGGGTCTGCATCATCTCGCTGTCCTTCTCATACAGGTAGCTGGAGTTATAGGTTACGTCAAAGCAGTGACGCTTCTCACCTGGAACAATCGAGGAGGAGGGTTACAAGGTGACGGCATCAAGCAGAGTGCATGGGTTGCTTTTCCAGAACCCTGGAAAGTGAGGAAGCAGAAGCTACCACTGCTCAGGCCCCACATGGCCTCAGGGACACTGCTGCCAAAGCCTGCAGGCAAAGGGCAGGCCAGGAGGTGCAGGGTGCAGGAGAAAGGAGGCAGAGAGAAACAGAAGCCACCAGAACGCCAGAGCCCTTTTCTGCTTGTTCCTTCCTTTGTTATCAGGTGGTGGTGGTGGTGGTGGAGTTTATGGAAGTTTTGGAGTGGGTGGGGACACTCAGCGGCAGCCTGGGCAGCTAGGCACACCCCAGCCGTGTGGGCTCCTTAAGGTCTATCTCACACCTAACCCATGACATTTACTCATGGTCACCTTCTGTCACTGCTCCAGTTAACTGCTGACAGATTCTGTGACAGGGCCAGCCATGGCAGAGTGTGTGGGTGCTCTGTGTCACGAGAGAGTGAGGGAGGGAGACGGAGACCGGGCCAGAGTGTGGGTCGCAGTTAGGGTTGGAGGTGAGGTGAAGGTCACTCTGCAGCCTAGGCTGTGGGCCAGGTTGCTGGCTGCCAGAATTCGGTGCTGCATACAGAGGGTGGGTCAGGGAAGACAGAAGATACCAGGAGAAGCAGTTTCTGTTTCTGAGGCGTCTCCAGCCCAGCAGGAAGAAGCAAGACTTGCTCACATGGAACTGGAGAAGAATTACAGGTTAAATGTTGTGAAGGGATGTCTTGCTCTCTGGAGGCTTTTGATTTCATTCTAAATGTCATGTGAGAGACATTTAAGCAGGGGACAAGTATGTCTCCTGCAGAAAGGGCCCTAAGTACCACCTGGGTGAGTATGAGGCTGTTAGGTACCAATGATATGTTGGTAAATCTTATCTCCCCAGGACTGGGCACTGAAGCCAAGGCCTCAGCTTGGAGCCAATCCCAGTCTTTTATTTTTTATTTAAAGACAGGACATTGCCAAATGGTCCAGGTTGGGCTGGAACTTATCCTCCTGACTCCCAGGCTGCTGGGATTATGAGTATGTACCACCCCACCTGGTATATAAACAGAATATCCATACATTAAGGGAATGCAAAGCCTTTGGGAGGATTGGGGGAGGGAAGCATTCTTGGAAACAAATTTTGAGACGGTTCTTGAAAAACAGGTAGAATTTAGATTGTCCAAGAGGTAAGAAAGGGGTCTTAGTTGAGAGGGGAGCAAAAATGAAGGCGGAGAGCTGGTACTGCACATCACAGGCACAGGAAAGAGTAAAAGAGTCTGATTCAAGGTACCCCAAGACCTGTGTTTGTTTTTTGAAGCAGGATCTCGCTAGTAGTTCGGGTGACCTGGTGAAGATCCTTGTGCCTCAGCCGCCCAATTGCTACGATTATAGGCACGCACCTTACACCTGGCAACACCAAGGAATATGAGATAAAGTGTTTCTCAGACTTCGCTTTCCTTTTGTGTCTGCAGTGTCCATCTACGGGGGCCATGTGATGGCTGAGAGAACGAGGTCTAGTGCCGCCCAGACTGGGTTTGGTTCTGATGGTTCCCAGTGGCGTGACTACATATGAAGTGGTCACAGTGACTGCGGTGATCTTGTGGGGCCACTGGACTGTGCTCAGAGCTGTGCCCAGCATGGAGAAGACACTTGGTTAACACCAGGGTGTTTTTTTCTTTCATTATTTGTTTGAATCAGCTCACATTTTCTTTTTTCTAAAATGAAAACTTTAAAGGAAATTCTATATCGCTAACATAAATGGAAAACTAGAATCACTTGCCACAAGTAGAAGGTGATTATGCAAAATAAAGGCCACGAAATGAGGCCCCTCACTGCATTTTGATCTGATACCACTACGGGGTCATGGGGATCCCAGCCCCTCTCGCAGTCAGGCACAGAGAGGGCCGAGCATGAGACACTAGCATCACACTCAGCCTCTGTCTTTCTCAGTAGTACTGTCCATGTACCTGGAGACTAAAAGAAAACTAAAGAGAAAACGACTTTCTTGGCAGGTGGATCAAAGGTTTTAAATGTCCTGTTGCCGCGTGGCAGTCCACATCACGTTTTTGGAAACACTGAAACAAAAATAACAGCAACACGTCCAGAATGACCAGCCCTGGGATTTGGGTCTGAACAAACAGCAGGCGATGGCGGGGTCCCTAGCGGGGCCCAGTGAGAGGGCAGCAGCAGGGGGTAACAGGGCCGGATGTTAAGCTGGAGAGGCCAGAGCACGGTCTCGGTCTCGTCTACTCCGGTGGCTCTGTCAGGTCACTATCACTTCGGGCCAACCCAACAGCTTCGAGACCTGAGAGCAGGAAGACGACGGCTTCTCTTGGCAGTTTGAGGGGATGTGCCAGGGCATCAGGCCTTGACCAGATGTCAGTGGCCCTTGTTTTCACTCCCAGCTGCACATGTCTTTGATGACACTGCCTGCAGGACACTGAAGACATGAATGCCAGCTGAGGCCAAGGCCTGGAAGTGACACAGGGGCAATGAACAAGCAGCTCTGGTGATGGAACTGGGTTTTCTGGCCCTGTCAAGGTTACTGAAGACCTCCCTGTGTCACCATTCCCCCTGCTTTCACATGAGAGAGGCCTGGAGGTGGCAGGTGGGGTGGGCACACCATGACCTCTGCCCTCACTCTGTCCCCTAGTCGCCCACCCTAAGCCTCCCACAGCCTGTGTCAGAGAACAGCACGCAGTGCTCGAGTGGGAAGGAGATGAGTGGGAACATGCGTGGGGCCCTGTGGCCAGGATGGCCCAGCGTGCACTGTCAGGAGTGGGGAGCTCGGACCCAGACTTGGGTCCCCGTTGCCACGTTACGGTAACTCGAGTGGTGGAGATGATTATCAGTCACCTGTAGACCCGATGACTCAGTGTGTATGAAACTCAAGGGAGTCAGCTACAGTAACGAAAAGCCAACAGCTCACGTTTCTTCAGTAGCACACTCATAAAGATGGTGAGTCAAACCACAAGCCCGTAACTGCTCCCAAGCTCCCGGGAGCCTTGGGTCCGGCTCAGACTTAAAGTCACACGACGCCTCTGAGTGATTCATGACACAGGCTGAGCAGTGGTTTCCTTCCAGAGAAAACTCAAATGGCCACAGCAAGCTCTAAGTGTAGGAACGGGGCCACCTGACTGGGCTGTGCTGTGCTGCGTGTCTCTCTCGTCCGAGTTTGGTAGCTAACCCGAGAGCCTGCCTGCCCTGGACCCACGCCATGTGGGGGGCGCAGGTGGTTGCTGGTTTTAACAATGACCCACAAGGGCAGAAGCAGACCCAGGCCTCTTTTCAGGGCAGGGCTCACGCTCTACCACCTGATTCACTGACCGCTGGGGCCTCAGCCTCGCAGCCCAGGGAGACATGTCTGCAGAATACTGACCACAGCCACTTTTTAGTGAGGCCAAACATCCTCGTGCTGTGCTCCCATTTCACTTTATCAGGGGCTGCACCTCGGGATGGATTTTTATCTGAGTTGGGTGAGGAGCCCAAGGCTCACAGGCAGGTCCCCTGTCCCCAGTCAGGTCAGCTGCCTGCTGGGGACTGGAGAAGTAGGGTGTTCAGTCCCAGAGCCCGCCTGACTCACAGCTGCTGGCCGATTCTGGAGGCTTTTTTGCCTGTGGCAGCCCAGCCCCCCACTGACGGTGACCAGATACTCTGCATGACAGGGGTGGAGGGCACTTAGTAGCAGCAAGCCTGTGTTTTCTCCTCCAAATGCATTTAAGGTGTGTGTGTGCACGCAAACATGCATGCAAGCGCACATGTGTGTGGTTCCAGGGGCTTCACACGTACTAGGCAAGTGCTCTACCACGGATCTATACCTCTAACCCTTTATTCTGAGACAGCCTTTCACTATGTTGCCCAGGTTGGCCTCTAACCTATGATTCTCTGCCTCAGTCTCCCTAGCAGGTAGGATAATAGGTGAAGGCTGCAGCTTCTGATGAGCAGGGTGTTTTCATTTTGTTTTGTTTTTTGTCTTTTTGAGACAGGATCTCACTATGAAGGTGGCCTTGAACTCACTCTGTAGCCCAGGGTGGCCTGGAACTCACAAGGATCCTCCTGACTCAGCCTCCTGAGTGCGGGGATGACAGGTGTGTGCCACCATGCCCGATGGCCAGAAGTATTTATGAAGCACACAGGCTGTGACTTCTATGAAGTGCCTGACAGAGAACCTGGCGCAGGTGCGCACTCAGGGACGGTATATTTACTGCTGTGATCTTTACCATTTGCTCAGCGCCCCTCCTGTGCTCCGAGGAATGCACACTTAACTGCAGTCTGACGGGGACAAAGCATTTAACACCGTTTCATCAGGTCAGCATGCTGGATGCTGCCCATACGGAACAGCCGAGAGGGTGGAAGGGGAGACCGTGGGCCACTCTTCAGACATGTTGCCTGTAACGGCAAATGTCAGGCCATGCTCGGTGAGGTCTGCTTGCAGTCAGAGGTGATGCTGAGGGAGATGGAGATGGTTTTGTCTGTAGCAAGGAGCAGGCTCTTACAGGTGCCCAGAGCACAGAGGAGCAGAGGGAGGGCAGGGCACACAGCCATCGTGTACTTTCAGGGCTGGGTGGGAGGGCATTAGACTGAGGGTCTGGAATAACCATGGTGCAGAAGTGAGGAAGGATGAAGAGTGGACAGGGAAGCCGGCTGCAGTGATGCGGGCGGAGAAACCAAGCAGACAGAGTGTGGAATGCTCAGAAGGGCTGGGCTGAGTAGCAGTTTCAATTTTATTCCACTGGGGAGCCCTAGAGAACTTTTTTGGGAGAGGGAGGAAAAATGAATTGAACTTTGGAAAAATAACACAAATCCGTGATGAGAATGGGAAACAGGCTTTCCTGAAGTCTGTAAGTTTCTCAAGCCACCTGAATACGTCTGTTGCTATTTCTTATGATTTCCCACCTGCACCGTGCTTCCCCTACTGCAAGCGCACATCCAGAAAAGAGCAGTAAGTAGGAGAACTGCAGCGGTGGGGATGGCGGAGGCCCAGGCCTCCCCCTCAGTGAAACTGAGCTTGCAGAGGCCACTTGCGGGAGGAGACAACAGACACACAGACACGGCAGGAAGGGGGGCGGCAGTGGGAGACCGCATTTTGCAGCTGCTGCAGAAGCTTCTATGCTCTGTGGGACACTGAGGCGCTGTTTGTCCCCTGTTCTGAGGGACAGACTGAGGACTGTCCTTTTCTCCAGGAGACACATCCTTGGGACAGAGTGACTGCTTCCTCTGCGGCTTCCCTTCCAGGCTTTCAGCAAAGCAACCAAACTCCCAGCAGCAGTGCTGAGCCCCCAGGGCACACATGACCTGGGAAGCAGGCCTGGGGCTGTCGGTGTGGCCCTGCTGTGACCACCTGCTGAGCCTCAGCTCTTTGGCCCTGGGGGTTCCTGAGATCCCTGAAATGCCATGAGGCTGGGCTTCTTGCTGGGTTGGCCGTGGAGCCCCTGGAGGGGTGGGAGAAGACACTCTCCGCTCTTAGTCCTCGAGCCACTTCCTGTTGCTCTGTTAACCAAAGCAGGTGACTTCCCATTTGCCCTTCACAGGAGAAGCGGTGGTGTTTGCTCAAGTGTCAAAACCTCACCAACTGTTTGCTGTGGGTGAAGGAGATCCTTTTTCATGCTCTTTTTAACATGAAAACCTATGATAAAGTAACGCACAAGCTTTTAAAAAACAAGAAGGTGCTATGATGAAAATGTTGCGCTGAATCAGGTGTCTGTTTTGGAATGAAAAACCAGGAAGGAGAAAATTCAGGCCCATGCTCACCCCTGTCCTCCCTCTGGGCAGGAAAATGGCCTTTGTCTTGAGCCAGGCAGAGGGTGGAGGTCTAAGTTGAGGCTCAGCCAGACAGCAGACGCGGAAAAGGGCAATGCCCAAGATGGCCGGGGTGGTGACAATTCTGTGTGCCTTCTGGAAAGATCTAAATTGTCTGGATGCCGTACACATGCTGGGGACGCACATCCACAGATTCCTCACTGACGCAAAACAATACAAAGTTTCTCTGAAGAATTATCTTCCTCTGCCTGGGGCAGTTTTACTGTGACTTGCAAACAGTCTGCAGATGTACCCATGTCTGTCCTCCCTGCTCAGCTCCCTCCTGGAGTCACCTGCAGCCACTCCCTCCCCTCAGCTCAGGAGGTCAGGGAAGCCAACCCTGGTCAGGAGTGACTCACTCTTTCTTCATATCTCATCCAGTGCCACTTCCCTGGCTGCTGAGCCTTTTTAGAAAATGGTGCCGGGAGGGGAAAGACAGGCGACAGACAAGGAGGGGACAGGCAGAGGGAGGAGAGACAGCACCAGCCTTAGGTGCCTGCGCACCGCTGGTCTCTACTTCCCCTTGACGGCAGGATGGCTGGGTTCAGTGACCCAGGGAGACAAACAAAGCTTTAAGGTTTGGGGGTGGGGGGTGCCGGGAGCTCTGAGCCGTGGGCGTGAGGCGGGAGTGGACACTCGGGGAAGGAAGAGGGCTGCCCCAAGAGAAAGCCAGAAATGGTGAACAGATGCAATATCGTTTTATAGATTCTCAGATTTAGTAGTATCTTCTTCCTAAACAATCTAAAGGACTGGGAATGCAGCTCAGCCCAGCGGTAGAGCACTTGACCAACAGGCCCTCAGTCAACCCCCAGGCCCCTGAACATGAGAAACTAAACAAAAACAGCCACTGTAAAACACAGGACAGGGGTGACATAAATGCCCCATCTCCCAAGCCTTGAGAAACGTTACTGAAGTTATGCGTATGGCCCTGGAACACAAAATGCATTCATACTTTGGCGCCTTAGGTTTCTCTTCTGACTTCTGTCACCGAGTGGCTGTGGCTGGGACAGCCCTTCCCAGTCACTGCGGCTCCCACTGAGCCCCTCACTACATAGATGAGTGTGCAGAGGTCTGGGAGGTGACCAGGGCTGTCTACACACACACAGGTGAGAAGAAATGGGAGCAGGAGCGGAACCTGGGTCTTTGGACCTGTGCTCCGGTGGTCAGCACCACTCAGTATCACAAAGTACCAAGAGGAGAGAGGAGGCCTCACTTATTCTGGGCCTTTAACCCTGAAGCTGCTACCTCTGCTCATGTCAAGTGCTCACCCTGAACACTGTGGCTCAGTAGATGTGCAAGGCTGGAGGTCAGCGTCTCTGCTGAATGTGGGGCGTAGGAGACACTACGGCAACAAATGCATGGGCGGTCACCGAGGTGACGAACAGCCATATGCACCCATGCAGGCAAAGCCTTTGGACATATTTTCACCCGTGAAAGCACCACAGTGACTTACGACAGTGACTACAGGTTTAGAGCAGCTCTGAGAACCGGGTCTGCACTCTCAAGTTTTAGTCGTTGCAGATGGAAGTGCCTTGGCCCAACCGGGCTGGAGTTAAACCCTTCAGACACTTCCCTCGCCTGTCTTCCCAACGCTCCCAGACCGGCTCCAGCCATTTCTAGAATCAGAACTTCCCCCAAAGTACAGTACTCTGATGGCGTAAAGCAATAGTGCAGGCTTCCTTTCATATCCAGTCGGAGCCTTTCACATAAGTAAAAGGCACACAGGCAGCATCTTAAGATGATGCCTCTGATCGCTATCGGGAGCCTGTGCTCATCCTCCATGAGGAAGTCACCTCACGCCCCTGGCACTGCCCAGCTAGGAGGGTAAGGGTGGGGACGCTCCCTAAGCCGGAATGCCCTAGCTGCAGTGCAACACCCTTCATTCTTAGAGTGGTCAGAAGGACACAAAGCCTTCATCTAGCAAAAAGAAATGAATAAAATAAGTAAAACCAAATTAGGCAGTTTTGGACTCTAAAGGTTCTTTCAGTATTCCCTACAATGCACACAGAATGCACTTGTAAAAAATATGATTAGACCAGAACCAGATTTAGCCAGATCTAAAAACCAGGCAGGAATGTCTGCACAAAAGCTACTGGAAAGAATAAACAGAAAATAAAACTGAAGTAAGAAATCAGTAGCAGCAAGCAGCTTTGGAAAATGGTATTGACAGCTTTCTAAAATATTGAGAAGACCTATTTTTATGTGATAACTATTTTTGTTCAATATCATCAACTTTTAATTTGTAACAAAACAGATACATTCAGCTCAGCTCTCTAGTTCCCAACTACAAATCTATTTTAAATGTCATGGTCACGTGCATGTAAACATCTGGGAGAATTCAGCAAAACATCCTCACCATTTGGGAGTCCTAACACTCTAATGAACATAATGACTTCTTAGTCATCTCATTCTGCTGTAGTCTTTGACAATGTGAAAATCAATGGCATAAAAATTAACTTCAAGAAGACAAATGATTCAATCCAACCACGTTATTTAAATCTGTGCACCCCAGCTACTTGCCCTTAAAAGCAAGTCTCAAATTCAAGAAGGTACTGCAACGCGTTTTAGAGCAGCAAAAAGTTCAAGCAAGGTAATACAACCAATTTGTAACATATAATTACAAAAGATGGCAAAAGTGCTATCTTGGACATCTTACTGACATGAGTTGCGTAAACACGTGTCATTCAGAGCCAAGGAGAAGGAACAGCATTCTGAATACCGCCTCCATTTAGGAAACTGGGTACCAAATGCTCCCGTCTTCAGTTGAGAAGTCTTCAGTTAATACTGTTTACTGTTTGCTAGTACTCTCAAATGAACCACAAAGACTAAAAGCGCATGATGGAAACTGACTGCTTTGCTTTAGCAGAGGTTAGGCAAGGCAGGGCCTGCAGCAAGCATCTCTACGTTATCTCATTCAAACTATCTGCCGGCGGCAGCAGGGGAAAGGTCTGTGCTCTTACCAATGAATTTCTGAGGCATTGAGCTCTTTCGTTTTGCCACATTGCTTGCTAATCTGTCCAGAACGAGGGCTCTTTCACTTCCCATCTCTGCTTTGATGTGCCTTGCCTCCGCACTTGCTGGTTTGGAAAAACAGAAAAAGAAGAGAGAGAGAGAAAAAAAAAAAAAAAAAACCATATTGGTAAAGGGGGAGCAAAGGAAATCAGCCAGAAGGAGAGGGCTCCGAGGTCTGCCATTGTTACCTGTTATTCCTGCTCAGATTCCAGCCTGGGATACCTGCTGAGGTCAGTGAGGGACACCAGAGCACATTCAAATCTTGCAGGCTTATGACAGATGGGAAAGCCCAGCCCAGCCCCAGCCAGTGCCTTCATTAGCAAGAGGAAGTATTGAAGAAACAGGCTGGACGTGGTTGGTTGCAAAGAGATAAATAGATGGAGATCTTGTAACCCCCATCAGCCTTCTTTCTGATTCTGAGTAACTGCATGTAACACCTGCACGCTAACATAATTCTTAACAACTTTGAAAAAAAGAGCATGGTGCCCAGATTACTGCTGTGTTTATGTTAATAGCACTTTTGAAAATAGACACCCAGATAGCAAGACATCTACTCAGTGATTTGTGTATTGAAATTCCGAGCATCTTTTTTTCTTTCTGTTTTTAGCATGCTCCTCTCAGTTCCTATCTTTCACGTTCTGTGTCACTGGGCTCTGCGTTGTCTGTTTCATTTGCTCTTCACATTTGAAAACCATCTCAGTTAAAATTCCCCCAAGCCACATTGATGTCGTGAAGTTGAAGAAAAACTGGTAGAATGCATTTCTAATGAAAAATGTGAATCAGAACCGCCCGCCAAGATGGGCTGGGATGTTCCAGAGACACAGGCCGCACTGCTGGCCTGCTGCACAGCAGAATCGCTCGAGGAGTGCGCAGGGGAGCCACGCCGGGCCTTGCGTGGGTGCAGCCAGGCTCTCTGCAGGAAAGGCCTGGGCGTCAGTGTTTTTAGGGTCTCCCAGGTGATTAAAAACGAAGCCAGGTTTGCAAACTGCAGAAGAGCATGTGGGGAGTGGCACTATCAATTCATGAAGAGAGTCAGCTGGAATAAATATGCTTCACCTTGGTACACGGCCGGTGGGACCTGGAAGACCTCATGTCTGGAGCTCACAGAGACACAGGCTGCTGGAAACACAGCGCTCAAAACCTGAGCATGTGACACAGCCTAAGCCTAGAACCCACAAACAGTTTTACCAAAAGGCCAGATGGAAAATGTTTCAAAACTGGTGGGACATGAAAGAGTTGCTGGCCCAGACCGGACACTTTAACCAGGAAAAGCCGAAGCCAAGTTAGGGGGCTCCTGCCTCCCCCGTCCCTATAGATTTGCCTGTAACCCTATACCCCCATCCCTGGGAACCTGTTTCTGGCGCCAGGCGTGTGCCAATGAAATACCTGTGCATCCCTAATGCCCCTTGGGGTCCGCCCCAGACAGAGGTTACTTATGGGCCTCACTCCACGTGTTAGAGAAGAAGAAGAAAGGGAGAGTGTGTTCCAGAGAGAGACCACCGGCCCTGGGTGCAGTAGAGATGCTGCACCCCGGGGCCAGGGGGAGTCTCTCCCTGCATTCCCAAAATAAAGGTTACTTATATTTTATATTTCTTATCTTTGCAGCCACCACCACCCACTACTTTCACGGCCGTCCACTCCACTCCTTCCACGGACCTCTTTCCCCTCTTCCCCTCTTCTTCCTCCCTCTTCTCTCAGACCTAACAGGACACATATTCCTTGTCCTGTATTGTGTGTTTTCTGCCCCATATCCCTTTAAAAGTATAAAAGTCCCTGTACACACACAGGCTGGGGCTGTGCTTGGCCAGAAGGCTATGATCCTGCCCCTGCCCCCTGCAAATGTCCTGTGGTACTATGGACAGGCTTCTGGGGTTATGGAAGGCAAATCTGAAAAGAGGTATCCACGTACTTCTAGTGTCTTTAAGAAAAGCACCTTGACAGTAGGGGACCAAGTGGTGACTGCAGAAGGCATGTTTTCCCCGAATGTTTGCCTTGTTTTGGGAACCATTGGGCTCACCGTGACCCACAGAGCAGGGTGTGTTGGCTGTGTGAAGGAACAACACCACAAAGCCCGCGCTCTGCCTGGCAGGAGGCAGAAAACTGGCCACTTTCGCAGTGAACCAGTCACAGAGAAGAGCTCCAGGGTAAGACAGCTAGGCAAAGACAGGACAAGAACCAAAGCCAAATTAGAAAAGGACAATCCAAAGTATTAATTTTTAAAATTTTTTATCAGCAAAAACACCAAAGAAACAAAAAACCCACCTCTCTGCCAGTCATTACCCAATACATTCTAAAGCTCCTCACGTTCTATTTTTATTGTGTGTCCTGGGGATTGAACCCAGAGCTGCTCCTCCCCTAAGCTGTCTCCAGCCTTTCTTAAAGACTTTGAGATGGAGTGTCACTAAGTGGCCCCATTAAGCCCTGCAGTGGTACTGGGGATTAAAACCATTAAACCCAAGCTGGCATTAAACTTCATTCCTCCTGCCTCAGCCTTCCTGGTAGCTCAGACTCACAGGCATGTGCCACAGAACCTGTTGTGTTTTTTTTTAATTCAAGACTAAAAGGAAATCTGGCTCCAAAAATGAATAAAAGAAGGAGATGGTGACATGTCAGTGTTTACTAGACCTTGCTTCTTGTCAAAGATAATCAGCACTGCTGTTCTAAGCTTGTTGACTATTTCTGTAGATGGAAAACAGGAAGGGCCAGCACAATGGGCCCCAGCAACGCTTGGACTAGTGGTAAAGTCCTTGGGCTCGGGGTCCTGGTGACAGGACACTGCTGCTGAGTGGAGTGGGACAAAATCTGTCCAGCCCCTGGATAGCTTTCAATGACCAGACAGGAAACTATTATATATATTATTTCCTTTCACACAAACCACCACCAGATGTGGCACTACCCCAAGCCCTGAGAGCAGAGAGATGAAAGTCAAAGGTTGGAATCTGAAGTTAGTCCCTGAGGCTGTGAAGGTGGTTTTCTTTCTTAGAAGCAGGGCACAGGCAGTTAGGTTTGTGCTTTGGCAAGGAACACTCCCTTTGACGTGAGCAGTTTTGAAAGGCTGAGGTCCACGTGCAGCTGCCCTCCCTCCTGTACGCACTATTGGAAATGAGAACAGCAAGCAGCACTTGGGAAGTGTCACCCCCACATCACCTCGGTTCTCGGTAAGTCTCCTGCAGACAGCCCACCCTGGGGCCAAATGACTGTCTAGGACTCACTCAAGCACTGCGTCGCCAGCCTGGTCTCCCTGCTCGTCTCTCAGCTGTCACTGCCTACATTTTACCAAAGTTACCCTCAGTGACAACAAGCAGCTTTCTGAGGACACGTAATCAACATCCTCTCCATTCGGGAGGATGCTCAGCGTGGACACATTGACCTAAATAACTATAATTAGGGCATGTCACTAAATGGCACCCTCCCGAGATAACATCACCCTCATTCCTGTCACCCGCCGAGCTGGTCTTGACAGTCATTTCCAGACACCTCTGACTGTACCTCAGTGACCAAGTGCGTGACATTTAAGAGAACAAAGTTCCAAGTGCTCATGGGTGGACAGATCACCCAAGCATGGCAGACCCTGCCATCTCCATAGCTCTGCTGAGGTTGGAGGAAATTTTCGGACTTGAATCAAGGGGCCCCTGTTCGCCTGTGTCTCCTGCCTGGCCAGCTTACCCAGGATGGTGGCTCCACTCCCAGCCCTCACTGTTCCTGGTCATCTGCTTGTGGCTCTGCTGGCCAGCATGCAGCTCTCTCCATAGGCGAGTTAGGCAAAAGTCTGATTTATGGTCAGATATGGTACACTCTTCGCCTCACAACTGGCAGACAACTGATAGGTGAAATCACTAAATACTTTTTTTTTTTGGTGGTGGTGGTGGTGGTGGTCCAGGGGCTTAAACCCAGAGCTTCACAATGGGCCATATCTGCAGCCTGATTTTTACTTTTTATTTTGACATAAGGGCCCACTCAGTTGCCTGGCTTGTGACTAAACTTGCAACCTTTCTGCCTCAGCGTCTCAGAGTGCTAGATTTCCAGGCCTGTCATGGGCCCTGTTTAATACAAGAAGCAGTTGTCAGCTGAAGAGTCCCTTTTGGATTAGGAAGTTTAGGTAACACATTGAAAGAACGAAACAGGAGGACTCCGGGCTCCAACTACAGAACCCAGCTGTCTGTGTATGCAGAGTGCAGACTTAGGTCGTCACATCACATCTCTGAGACTTGTGCAGAGGGAAATAAGTTTGGCAAGACAGTAAGAGAAAAGATAATGGGCTCAAATGGTGAAACAGGAAATCCGTTCCTGGGTGTTGGGTAGTGGCTCAGTGTTGCAAGGGGTGGGTGTGGGGAGTGTGGGATTTTAGTAAGGAGTCAGTCATTCGCACGTTCAGTCCTCACCTGAGCACGACTGCGATTCTGTCCCCTGGTGTCACCTGTGTGTATCGCAGATGTGCCATTCTCATTGGCAAAGTGATTTTAAAGACATTTTGAAACATACACAATGACATACAACTGAAAAATAACAATCGTAGAATTTTTCTCTGCATAAACCTTAATAGCTGTTAGTTAACTGTTTCCACAAGGCAATTTCTCTCTCAAAATTATTTTATGTTTACTAGTATTGTGTGTCTGCTTTTGTTCAAAATCCTTTATTAGGTCCGGAGTGTGAAATTGAGCTTAAATAAAGGGCACTGCTGAAAATAAATAAGTAAAAAAGACCCTGCTTCCTGAGTCTTCTGTGGTGTGGTCAGCAGTAGCTGACAGTGAGTGGAAGGAAGGGTGTTAGGGTGCAATTCGAATTGTCTAGCAAGAGATTGCTATCAAGGACTGAGGCAGGTTCTAACACAACACTTACATAAAACTCTTGCCTTTTTGAGCAAGTAAAATGAATATTATGCAAGAAATACTGGATGGGAAAAGAAACCTGAAGCTTTAAACACTTTTTCTTTCATCTGCTATGTTGCTGAAAAATCTAACTTCATCCTTGAAACCCTCATAGTTGCATAAGGTCAATTGGAAGAATGAGAATGAAAAGTTGTGACCCCGAGACTCATAATTACAAAGAGATATTACTCTAAAATCTTATGATGTCAGAACTCACTATTACATAAAAGTATGCTCAGCTCCAAGTGTTTGGAATTTGTGTGAAATGAGGCTGAACGCATCTCGGTGCCAGCAATGAGTCCCTTTTGGGAGTACGGATCAAGCTAATGATGAAATGAAGTCCACGGTTTCTTTTTTCTCCTGCTCATCTATACGCCATTAAGACAGAAAGCTGCGATGTTCTGATGATGTCACCCAGAACCTCTGGCATGGAGACTCGGGCTGAGGCAGTGGTGACTCCCATGTCTATTAGACCTCTGCATGGCAGTCACAGATCTGCATCTTGCTGGCTTGTGAGTTCTTTGAGGTAGGAGCTCAGCTTCTACTCCTCTGCCCAACTGCAGTGTTGCACAGCACTGCTGTCTGAACGGACGAGATGACTGGCAGGGCTGGAAGTTCCTGTGCCCAACGCCAGCACGACCTTTGGGTGCTGGGCTGCACCCCAGTGCCTTCTTGTTTGTCTGCTTCCCAGAGCAGCAGCCCCGCCCTGGCTTGGCTTCCACCCTGCACTATGCATCATTCTAAGGGAGCACTGCAGGCCAGGGCATTGAGCCCGTGGCAGCAACCCACCAGCCCTTTAGAAGCGGGGAGGAGGGTGCAAGGTGCGCTGGGCTACTCAGGCTTAGGATGGATCGCAGGTCCCCGTGGACTCCCATGTTAAGAAGGGAACAGAAATGAAAACCATGTAGGGAGCAGTGACAAGAACTAAAGGTTTGGCTTATTGTAAACATCCTTCACATTCTGGATCCCTGGAAAAATCACAGAAGCCACTGAGCAAACGAGAGGAGCACATCACTGCCATGCAGTACTTAGACTGGACGAAGCTGTGACTTTACACAGTTGTAACCTGAAAACCACCATTACAACATATTTGTTTAAAAAAATCCAAACTTGCTGACTTGGTTAACTATTTTTTTTGCTGAGACTTAAAGTATGTTGCATGCATCTATCAAACCACCCTATGAAATGCAAATTAATTCAACCTCTGTATTTCAGCATTTCCTGAATTATCTAATACCACTGAAGAGAGCTAAAATATTTCTCTTGATACTTTTACCAATTTCGAACTCCTGAAAGAGTTGTGAGGGTGGAAAGTAAGGTACACTGTGTATAAAGCACAGTTTACTGATATCCCTCCTACTTCCAGGAGAATCAAGGCACACATATATGGATTTTTATATGGCTATGAGTATGTATTACCTCATTTCTTTTGCTAAACAGATCATCTGTAACCTTTAAAGGCATAGCTAGGGCCAGGGATATAACTCAGTGGCACAGTGCTTGCCTGGCAAGCACAAAGTCCAAAGTTTAATTTCCAGTACCAAAAAGAAAACACCTCCTCTCCAAAAAACCCCCCACATAACTGAGGCCAAAAAAGTGGGAAAAATTACAAATGTTCATTAATAAATGAAAGGATAAACAGAATGTATAGTGAATCCATAAATTTGTACAATGGAATATTTCTTGGTCATTAAAAGAAATAAAATACTAACACATTCTTCAGCATGAATATACCGCAAAAACATAACGCTGAGTGAAAGAAGCCAGACACCAAAGGCCACATACTGTCTGATTCTCATTGTGCAAAATGTCCTGAATAGGAAAACCCACATAGACAGAAAGTAGATTCATGGTGGCCAGGGCTGGATGCTGGAAGAATGGGAAGTAACTGCCCTGAGTGTGAGGTTCCCCTCAGGAGAGATATATGCTCTGGGACAGGCAGTGGTGGTGCTGTGTGACTTTGTAGATATACTAAAGACTGCTGCATTGTATGGTTATTTACTTATTCACTTA